CTGTAACTCGCAGGTCATATCAAATCAGTCTTAGAACAAAATTGATCCGGTGAAAGTGACTGACAGGTTGAATGCCTGTCTAATCAACTTGCCAATGATTAATGTCAAAAATGAATGTAGTTTTGTATTTTAATACTTCAAAATACGCATCTGAAGCATACCTTTATCATATATACTCGAGTATGGGGGCTTGAGGCTACTCGGTGCAGGAGTGAATATACACCCCGTGACTAGCATACGACGCGGTGTGTAGTTTCAATAAGTCTTACATCTCAATTGCTGCAAGTAACCGCAATATATCTTGAACTAAGCCCGTTGAACATATATGAGAGCTTGTCCGCCAGGAAATATCGAAGAAATAACAAGACAATGGTTCTTCTCATGGCCCTGCAGATATGGTGTATATATTACATCAAGGAGTAGGATGTTGAGGATGCTTACCAGTCCTGTATCTCTTTTTGCTTCATTTTTTAGGTACTGTGACTTTGACCCCCCTTCCCAACTTAATGGCTGGGTGCCTTTGCAGGACTAACTATATCGTGCAACTTGGTCTGGCTACTGTCAGATCAGGGTCTTTCGACTTAATCGTATCATGTATCTTTGACATAACGCTTTTCACTTTTTGATGTTGTTGTTTTTGGTATTTTGTGAGCTGTGTGTCTTGTTGGATAGAAAACCCCTCAGTAATAAGGATTCAAGGTGCTGATTGGGTCGTTTCGTACTCGCTGCTTTTTGTATGGACAGGATGATTCTTGTTTCTTGTTGAGCGGAATTTGGCCTCAATCAAGTAAACGTGACGCTAGGCCGCCACAATTGCTGTATTGGCTGGTTTGCTATTCAAATTGTTAGCATGTCTTTCTTCAAGTATCTGAGCCGAGCAGTCATGACGGCTACTGGAGCCTTTGGTTTATTCAAGAATTTGACTTCAACAAGGAGCAAATTGAGTAGCGGCTCATAGTGAACATGAAGAAGGGTTGTGTTTGACGGAGAGGAGATGATTACACGGCCTAATAATAACATTCGAACTGGGTCCTGGAATATCTCTTTCGACGATTTGCATATTAAGACAGTATGATATCTAAGCCCAGGCCAATACCTGAGCAAAAAGGAATGCGCAAATCAAATTCTGGTCATCTGTTCTAAAGATTAGCCCATCATGAATCCGAGTATATTAGGATTCGACAAGATAAATTGGCCAAAAATGTAGTTCTCACAGGCCTTGTCTGTCTATTGCTAATATCACATATGGGAATTAGAATCTTACCTCTTAAATACACACGACACATACAGTGTTCTCTAAGGTATCTCTCTATTAATTATGCTGTATGTGTCGTTGGCGATATTGTTATGCTGGTTTGGTATATTGTTTTTCGCTTTTTGGATGTTGTTGGCGACTGGTTGTAAATCTCATGTATTATACATGTTTGACTTGACGTATTGCATTTCGCCTCTGGTCATTATCATTATCATTATTATATATATATTGATCGTTGTTAGGGATCAATATAGAAGGTGCGAATCTAGCCTAGTTGATTAATATATAGCTTCACTTTTTATCATAATAATAAGGACACCCTTCTTCATACCTACCACCTGAGCCCTTTCATCGTCAATGTATAAGAGCGTATGGTGGTTGAAATTAGTGAAAGTCTGGGTTTGCTACATGAATGTTAGTGACATAATCTTCGAGAGTCAAGCATGACTCGACAAGGCCATAAGAGCATCTTGTTTTTGATGGAATAACCTTCAATCAGAATATAAGGAATGAATTTTAGTCCAGGTGAAGTGGATATGTGGGAATTTTATCCTCATAGGACGTCCCTAAGAGAACTATGGATACATACTATTTGTAAGACCACACACTACATATGTTGTTTGACCATATATGGCCTTGATTTGTCATAATCCTATCTTTTCAAGGCATACAATAGAACTAAAACAGACTTATTTCACTAGTCTCCCCTCCTAAAGCCAGGCTTAGAACTAGCTTCTTTTTTAGATCCCCCTTCATCCGAACCCACTCACCATCATCACCATTCTTACCATCCACCTTTCTACTTCAAAGTAATACTTGTTGTACAAAGTACTCAAACAAAAGAATTGTTGAAGTCTCCAAGAGACTTTTCGAGAACAAAATAAATATGTGATTGTAAGATTTGAAAAAGTTCAATATATTTCAAGATTGAACCTCAATATTGTTTGAAATACTATTTATGTAGTATAAAAGTAAAGGGAATGTCCTGAATGAAAACAAAAATGAAAGTAAAACGATGATTCATTGATAATTAGCATATAAATGGCTTCAAACTAAGTGGAGGGGAGGGATTAGATTAATTAAGCGACAATAGCTTCATTCCAACGTTCCAATCTCAGGGTTTCATTTATACTATACAATACAATTCAATAGCGATAAAGGGGTTGTTTTTGTAGGTGTGAGAGGGCTGCTCTTATTATTATGATACGAGTTGAGGCTATATACTAAACGACTAGGCTAGAGTCGCACCTGCCATATTGGTCCTAACAGCGATACATCATACATCCTGTTTGTTTTGCCAATGTGTATGTATTGCTGCCACCTCAAGGCAAGTAACCATTTCACAGTTTTAGTATTAAATGGAGTGTGTTTTAATTGTATCATTTTATGTGCCATTTATATACATTCAGTGTGTGACTACAATTCCCAGAATGCATTGCCGAAACTTTTCTCAAATTCATCCCTAATCTTTATGCTTTCTTGATGTACACTAATATGGTGAACTGTCTCTCATCTATGAAATACTAGTATCACGGGACCATCTCAAGGTGTCATCTCAAGGTCTTGAAAAAATCAGATACCGGTACTCGGTACTCGAGTATACACACAGGCAAATAGGAACCAGATTCAGTCAGACAAGAATAATATCAAGATCACATGGCTACCATAAGACAGAACGAAAGGGTGAATGTCAGTTTACCGAATCTCTACCCCTTTGTCTGCTTCTATTATTGAGGAATCACCATGTCTTTTGTGTTGGCAGATCTGACATATGGTAGGATATCATACAGAAGCAAATTATATGGATGATTGTGGCAAGCCTGTAGCTATCTCCATCTAAGCTCGAGCTTCAAGACAAATGCTTCTAGAACCGATAGAAGCTTCACAATGAAGAAGCTTTCATCTGCAGTACATATCAAGAATATCAAGGTCACTGGATCTGACAGTCATGCGGCTGGCTGCAGCTTGCATTTCACTTATCAATGAAGTTGCATCTTTCATATTCCAACTTTTGATTGAGTCATCTCTTCATTCCTTACATATGCTGGCTAAGCCAATTTTGCGCTAAGGCAATCCCACGCAATGCATAGATACAGATGCAGTACAAGCCCTAACAACAAGAGTAGAACAGCAATAAGTACAATTAGCAAGCATTCCACGATATAATCAACCCTAACCACTTAAACACACTTATGTACAATATGTGAGGGTATACCTGCACATCGCCATCTGTAAGGTCTCTATGATAACCATGACCCCGGAAAATGCGGGGTGATTCACAAGTCCACGAAGTAGCTTTCCGGCACCAGGCCCGACAAGCCTAGCAGCCACCTTACATCCTCAAAGAACCCGGAGTTTCCACAACACAGCTTCTTAGACATATGCCCCAGCCTCAATTTGATATATATCATGGCTTTATCAGTATCAATCCCCGAGAATAGTATCTATTTCTCCAATTTTCGAACGATTCGGCCCTTTTTGCCTCTTGCCACTGGCAGTCCGTTCCAAATCTTCATCATCCGCTGATTGTCATCAATTGTCGCAATTTCATTTTCCGATGATTCCATAATATGAGCATTCAGCCGCCAAGATAGCTGCGTCTTCGCATCTCAGCTTCCCTGATTATTTCGGCAGACAGACTTAAACTAGGTGCTAGATGGGCGTATCTTTCGATTTCCATGACAACGTCATTTATGATCCCGTCGATTGTGTCGTGGATGACGAGGGAGTTGATAATAGCGGCTAGGGAGGGCGACATGGTGGCGCCCATTACGAGAAGGGTTTGAGAGACGATGCTGAGCGCTCCTTGCCAGAGGTAGGGCATGTGACCTGCGTGGCTGGAAAGGTTTAGTCAGATGATTTCTGGGAGAGAATGGAAGGGAGAAAGGACTTACTGTGCGCTGATAAACTCAAGTTGTCTGACTGAAGCCTCTAGACATTTTCGGCAATTTTCCCTAACTGATGGATCCATGGCTGCCTGTTCGTTGTCCAACACAGCAAGAATATATGGCCTGAAAATAATTGTTCGACAAGCAAAATATCGCAACCTCAATACTGTCTGAACAGGATCCGCAAGAGGTGTGCGAGTGTAAGAAAACTGTAGAGGTAGAGGTAGACTTTCGTACCATTGCGACAATTGAAAGTCCAGTTCTGCCACAACGGGCTCCAAACTCGATGTTGATGCCATCGAATCTTTCGAATAAATGAGTTGACTGACACGGTTCAATAGTCGGCGCAGTGCAATCTCAGCCAAAAAATACCATAACTCATCTCGACCCACTCCACCATCCTCGTCTTCTTGCTCGAAGCCTCCCGGCAGCCCCACAATTTCCTCATATTGGACTATTCCTGAGTGTGGTAAATCTAACTCAGCCAAGAGATCACTCTCAAACAATAATGAATTCCAATACACTCTCTCGCATAACTCCCTTTGGCTCGCTGGTATCCTTCCCGGTGCGCTCAAGAGAAGTTGAAGCTTCATACTCGTACTACTCAGTAGCGTCCAAGCTTCCAATGGTCTCACAAGATAAAACAAATATGCAGAAGCAAGAACTGTGCACTGAGCAGATAACACAGAGCTCCTCGTCATCAAACTTGGAAGAAGAGCCCAAGCTGCTGCAAAATATGGAAGCCCGGGAGGATCCTCAGAACTTACTGCTCTAGATATACTCCCACTACAGCTAGCTTGACCCAATGCTAGTACCAAAAGAACGATGCAACTCTCTGGACCTTCGCGAAATCCATTCGATAAAGCAACACGGTAGTGGTTTGTCCAATTGAATGGATTAACGCATGCATACCAGACATTTGCTTTGGCAAAAAATGCTTCGATATATGCCGTTGTATTTGAGAGATCCAAGCAAGGAGCTTTGGACAATGCAAGTGGTTCTCTTGCCATTTCGAGTTGAAGAAGGATTTGAGGATCGTAAGGTCGTGAAACTAAATCGCGGATCAAGGGCCATTGAAGTAAGTGTAATGCGGCATTTGTGTGGATTTTCGGCATGGTGGAGATATTGGTGGGGTTCACCCATGTGCCAAGACCCGTGGCAGGAAGTAGAGAGACGAAACCTCCACTAGCTGCCATCATTAGATCATCACCGCTTGTTGTGGTTCCTCCATTTATAGATGGTGACCCGGTTGAAAGAGCGAGGTTGGATGTTTGTCCGATTAATGTCGATTGAAGTAACCCTTCAATTCGAGTGAGATGCTCAAGTATGAGTTTATCTCCGGCGTCGAGCTTGATACCTGGTTCACGATATATACATTCGGCACCCAGCTCTGTGCAAAGTTTACATTTTGGCTTGGTTCCGTCACATCGTGATTTTCGTGACCGACATATCTCACACTATCTTCTTGTCAGTCTTGTTATCGTCGCTCAAGATGAATACTTACAGCGATAGTAGCTCTTCGTCTTGGGTAATCAATACCAGCATCAGTACTTCTTCTCTTCAGTGGATTGATCCCATCATCGCTATTTCCATTGTGATTTTGATGCCCACTTTGATTTTGAATCTGGTTGTGCCTATTTTGAAATCCATTCGTGATAGATTCTCTGTCTCCGGAAGATTGTGATAAATTCCTAGCTTTCTGAGCGGATCCTAGAATTCCTTCTCGGGAAAAGGTAGCGACACGACGACCATTCGGTGATTTCAGCGAGGTTGGGGATATTAAATCGCCATTTGTTACGAGAGAAAGTCGAGGTGAGGGTATGCTAATATCGAATCTATCCCGAGACATCGAGAAGTGTCTACCGCTTCCGGTGTTGGAGTTTGGAGAATTTTCTTGAGAGGAGGTGGACATTGCGCCGATGCAAGTCATGTAAGGTGTGGGGTCATGAACTCTGTCTTGGCAAAAACGTTGTTGGTGTAAGATGAAGGTTGATTTCTGAAGGTAAAGCTATTCATAGAGTGTTAAAGAACCCAAGAATCTTTCTAATGTGCAATCCCTACTCGGCTCTTGAAGGGCGAACGTTGAGGCTTTTGTTGATTTGGATTTATACTATACGCTTATGGATGTACAGCGAGTGGCATGAACGGCGTCCTGCAATGGCCGGTAAAGGAGGATGCGCAGCATGGATTGGCACATCAGACGATATGCTTAGGGGTGTCTGCTAACATTGCAGCTTTCCATCAAGTGAAGCCTTGTGGACGTTTATGCAGGTTCACAAATTGAAAATCTGGGGTTCGGTAGAAAGCAACCGGCCGAATGGAGAAGAATGATCCCAGAAATTATGTTGATAGATATCTTAATGCCCGCAATTGCATGGGAGAATAATGCACTTAGCGAAATATTGAAGATGGAAGGTTCCTGATGAGATGTATCACATTAAAGGTTGCTTTGCCTTTGCAGATAAATATGGAGAAATGACCACAATGTGCAAGATCTGGTCGAATTAACGAGGGTGGGTATGGAGGGGGTGTAGAATGCTCAAAGTTTGCTCCTATACTCACTCGTTGGCGGCTTTAGTTACCACAGGTTGGTTTTATTGTGTATAGTCGTTTGGTTTGATATCACCACTTGAGGATGTTGTAGTTAAGAATATTAGTGTATCTGTTGATAACGTGTTACGGAGGATCAGGGTCCGTTAGCCAAAATAAGGAGGGGAATGAAGGTCTTGATTGGATTTGCAAGACGACGTGCATAAGCGAGAATGACAGGGGTATTTTTTTGATTGTCCGTATAGTCAAGGTTCACTCGGGTCCTTATGTAAGCGAAAGTTCATTTCAACCTATTGAGATGCAGCGCCAATGTACAATGCCATACACCCGAGATTAGAAGAATGTCGTCGCCAATCTTGCGAACGTGCAGCTTCGTCCCTTCTTTTCATTTAGCCTATGTTCATGAACATTTCTCGAAGTCTGGGGAAATCATGACGTGGAGCGGGGTTGAAGCGCCCCACGATCTGTTGGAGAAACTTTATTATAAGAATATTTTCATCACCGCGATAGCCATGGTCGATAGGCAGAGTTCTTCGAACTATATCTTGAGACGAAAATATGGGATACATGTATATGGCACTATGAAAGTCCATACTTGGCGATACCGGACTTGAGAAACAAGCAAGAAATGTGCAGAACATCTCAATCTTTAGGGAGGATGGTCCGATGCACAAAGTCCACAGCTATCTAGCCGTTCAATATGACCACGAACATGCCAATCTTCAAGTACCTCGGATATTGATCTTGACATGTCAATAATGGGAAATCCTATCAGACAAAGCTTATATTATTCGTCAGCTGTCTTACTTAGAGATTATCTTCCGCGTCCTAGAAACTACTTTCATGCAGTAAGTGTACCTTATCACAGTGTGCGCGGTATTGATCAAGACCAATTTTTGCATGAGCTATCAAGTCACTCAACCGTGATTAAATTGACATGATATAGGTCCTAGGGGTCCGTATTCTTCACAACCATCTTCGTCCCCGCGAATTTCCCTTCTAATTCCGAGACCCACCGTATATTGAACAAAATCCCCCGCATACAGAGTGCCGAGATCAACCATACGCATGGTGGCGGTTGCTACAGAATAACCCTCGGGTCCGTGAACGACATGTGGTCGGTTGTGCCCATATAATATTGAAGATATGTGTATTACTCGTAATATGTACATGGTACGCTCTTGGAATTGTTCGGTACCAATATACTTACATACCTATCCGCACAATAATACCTCATTATTGGTAGACATGACCGATATCCGAACATGGAGCTGGAAGACAATTTCGCAAACATTACTCTTACAGGTGAGGGGGCTGTCGTCAACTGAGACGGTATTTATCGTAATGCATGGCCGCCGACTTCGTCACTTCCAAGATAATAAAAGGGCGGAAATTACTCTCCCTGGAAGATACATGATCTATACTCCACAATATTGACTTGCCATTTGGCCGAGTTTTTGACTCAATGCATGAATACAGTCAGCATGCCATGGCGCCATCGTAAGCCGTCCCTGAGTTTTCATCTGATCACGAACATTGAGATCGATTGAAGATGAGATGTAAGTATGGGATGACGGCCACTATGAGCAACAAAGAGCTTAGCATGGGTTCTCAGGACGGCCAGACTCTAATTGGGAGTCCAAACATTTAGACTGATATCAGGGGATTTGATTGACCACTCGCTGCATCAAAAATCTGAATGACTTCACTTCGAAGTCAAGTGCAATCACGTGTATGAAGGGGTTGTTTGTGGGTTGGAACGCAATCTTTTCCAGATAGTCGTAGATAGTCGACGAGGTACTAGGCAGATTGTTTGTTTTTCAAAGACATTTGTTTGTAATCGAGTGATTTGGGTCTTCATATGTGATGATTCACAGCTGTTGGCACATCATAGGATCCTCCCTGGTGGAGTGAGCTATGCATCTGAATGATTCACCTGTCTATTCACTCTTTTCATTGTAGTATTTCACAGTATTGCCCCAGCAGCCGTTCGTGCCTGCCAGACCTTTACAACACAGACAAACGCAGCATGTTAGATCAACTAGTCAAAGATATCCTCAGAATGCACAACGATGGTAAACTTTCTCTCCGTCATGGTTTACCACCAGCACTAACCTAATATTAGCGCGTCGGTATGCTCTAGGCGTACAACGGCCTCCCTTGATCGTGAGTTCATTGCATCGCAGCAATATTGAATATTTTCAAAATCATTATTACACCACTTATTGTAAGATTACCTTTAAGCGACCTCAAAAACTGACTCCAACCATTTTCAGTGGGACACCAAACTAGAAGCAGCAGCCGAGCGTCATGCCAATATTCTAGCAGGAAGAGGGGGCACCTTACAGCACGATTCTCATGACGCTAGAAATTGCAACCAAGGAGAGAACATTTACTGGGAAGCCAGAAATGTCAGTGAAGCTGAAATGTATCACAGTGCAATATCCTACTGGACTAGCGAAAATAGTCTGTATCAGGGCCAGCCTATAAGCCGAGAAGACTTGAGAAGATGGGGACATTATACACAAGTGCGTTCTCTCATTCACTACCCCTCGTCTCCGCTCTTTAAAATAGGATAAAACTCTGATACTCCTCGAATAATAGATTATCTGGCCAAGCACAACGCGTAAGCTTCATTGGATCACAGATCTCGCAACCTCTAGTCCAACCTTCATGTTTCCTCACACACATCCTTTTTACTTCCTGATACACCTGAACTCCTCCAATATCTCAATATATTAGGCTATTACTGACTTGACAATCGTACAGGCGTTGGTATGGCTTCAGCGAAGACGAAAAGTGGCGCCACCTATATTGTGGCTCGATATATGGAGCGCGGAAATATTTTTGGCCAATCGGCATATGAAATGTAAGAACACTTTTCTGTACTATCTCAATTATTAGTAGATCTCCAGGTTTCGGCAATGATAATGAGAATCATATAGGTCATATAAGACTGGGAGTTTCCCCGCTGCTAGTAGTAGTGGAGTCGCAATTCAGTGGCCTGGAATCTCCACACTGAGCCCATCTAGGCCATATGAGAAGTGTCGAGAAGACCCTACTATTGCTCAACATTACCCTTCATATCAACCTACCAGGAAATATCCAGGGACTAGTATACGACTTCGGAGTCATGAGAATGTTTCAGATCTTCGTAGCTATCAACCGACGACGGGGATCGGGGATGTATTTGCAGAGGCAAGAACAGGGTTAAGTAGGGCTCGCACTTATCAACCTGTGACGGGGAATAAAATCCAGGACCTACAAGCAACGCTTGGACAGTATCATGTTCCTCCCCCTGTCGATCGGCCTGAGATTACGAATAGGGTCAGGGTCAGAGATATAAAGAATTTCTTCAAGGAAATTGAAGAACCAATCAGTAGATTGTCTCCTCGCAAGCTATTTGGTAAAGAGAGAACTTCTTAGCTGTCAGCCTGGATGAACGAGAGGTACCGAACCGAGGGACATAAGCTAGCTTCCGTTTCTCTCTAGCATAGCATGGCTTTCTTTACTTATTAGCTAGCATAGGAAGGCAAAGTGCATGAATATTGGCATAAGTGTCATGAATTACATCTTATGGATCTAATTTTTAACCTTGTCATATCTATGATATCTAATATCCTAATATCTAACGCATAATACTCATTTCCAAACTTTGGTAATACTTCTTATTGGACAGAATGAAATCTTATGACATAATATCGCCGATAATAATCTATATTTTGGACATACAATATCTCGTAAACATTAATGTCTCTCAAAAATGGGGCAGGAAATGTCAAATACGCAAGTGATATTAGCAGGTTGGAGATTCATTCGATGATGGAAAGAGAACTGAGAACGTAGTCTTACAATTTGCCGGACCCATTCTAACTCAACTGATTAATTTAATGGACGAAACGAGATACGGCAGTATGAATCAACCTTGAAGAAAAAAAAAACAGGCAAAAAATCAAAAGGAGGGGAAGGGAAACCTCGGAATTTGAATAAGGTTTTTTCGGTAGATAAAAAGAGGACTAATCACCAAAACGATCCAATGGCTTCCTTGCACATCTTTTGCTACTGAAGAAATCTCCACATACCGGTATTAGTTCTTGAACTAATGATGGGATGGAGAGAGAAATACTGAAATACTAGGTAGATTGTACAGTACTACACACACTGTTGTTGTGTATGTACCCCGCATTTCCCCAGGAACACTCTATTTGCACCCTTCATTCCACTCTCCACCCTTTAACCGATACGAACATAACTTTAACGAGGAATATCTGGGGTGCATATATACATACATTGTGAAACCATACTTTACTTTTCGTGGAAAATGTAGTAATGGTGTTTGTAGAGCAAGGTTCGAAAGGCCACCTTCACCCCAGCTTTTATCCCAGTATAGTGACAACTTTTCCCGTATTATTGATTGCCGGCGGGGAATTGATGTACTGAGGTATTTTTGTGATATGTACCGGTATATGTTCTCCATATATACATGACAGAATGAACTGGGGTAAGATAAGCGGGGGCTAGGATAAGTGGGTGTTCTGATGGGCGGATAATTAAGGTTAAGGTTAAGGTTGCGCATACTGGTAAATAGCCTAAGAACTTTATCCGGACGACTGGCATTCTTTTTTATCTTTTTTTTTCGGTATTTTTTTCTTGACTAGTTTTCTCTCAGGGGGCAAGAAAGAGGATAGGGCACACGTGATGCTTATTGGAGGAAATATAGGTACCGACTTGATGTAGAGGGGTTCGCTGTGATGAGATAACTCGGGGCTCGGTGCTTGGCGCTGCATGTTAGGGGATATGTAACTAGGTATGTACGAGTAGCTATCAAGGATTTCTGCTGATATCGTTGATCTGAAGTAGAGAATAGTGGGCTGCAAAACCGTTCGGTCACACGATGCGGTATGATGGGGGAGTGGAGGAAAGTTCTGGGTGGCGGTGGAGCCGGTCGATCTTTGAGGGAGTGGCTGGCGCTTCGTTAGATGCATTCTACTGAAGGCCGGAATGTCTTCTTTTGGTAGTAGCTAAGACGAATTTTGGAGGATATTCCTCCAAAGGGTCATAAATGAAACGCGAGTAAAAGATGAGCGGAAATTTTGCAATTTTCGTGGACGGATGGCACTGAAGAGAGGGCAAAGTTCGCAGATGAGAAGTTTCGATACGCCTGTCAGTAGCGACAGGGATAGATAGTTTGAGCTGGCGGTCGTTACCCGTAAACTGGGAAAAAGTTGTTGCCATTTTCTGGAGGGTAGATGACAGCCAGTTGCTGGATGAAACTTTGGCAATGTGAGGTTCTTCACCCCAACTATGAACGTTGTGCATTAATCGAGGTCCCGCAATGAGCAAATACGTTCTAGACATGGGCTGAGAACGTCGAGCAAGTTCTTACTGATTCTTACATCTCGGGATAAAGCTAGTGGGATGCAAACAAAGACACAAAGCTTAGAGGTTTGTATCTGTGGAAGTTTTTATACGGTTGAGTGGCTAGGGGATTTGCTGTAGAGTAAGGCTCTTCTCAAAATGTCAAGTTCTTCATTTCGTCTATCGCAATGCAGCGAAAGGGATCCCATCAGCTTGTGAGTCAGAGAGACCATTTGATTATCTTATATTATACTGTTCTGGATGTTCTATTACGTCTCCGAGAGGAGAGCAAAAGCCCTAGAAATATCAATTAGGTTTACCAAAAATCAACTTTGATCCTCATCAATAGCTCCTGCACATTTTCATATCTCCATGTTTATGATGCATTGCAACTGAAAACAATATAAAGGAATTCCCATACACAAATCACTATCATCTCATCATCATCATCGAACAGTTATTCCGCTACCACTCGCACTCCTCCTCATATAATTCACTTCTTACTAGAAACATAACATATCACATCAAATAACCTCTTATAGGACAACAAACATATATTCTCATGGTCTCGCGGGTTGCTCGATTGCTTTCTGAAAAATGCTGATATCTACATTCAAAAAAAAAACCAGTTCCTTTCATGTCCTTTATTGGACACAGAGTTCCGACACAGTCCGAAAGGACTTGGCGTAACTTTCTTACTTGTCTCTGATAGACATTCAGTCCATTCAATGGGCATCGCATTCTAGTTTCTTTCTGATATGGTCCGTTAAGGGCTTGGCATAACGTCTATTCGTCGATATACCAGTAGCTTCCCTCCTCCTTCCTCATACACCAGAAAGGTCCTTCTATTTCATACACTAGAATATCAATAAAACAAGCAAGTCAATCCCTCTTCTAAGTTTACTGTGGTGACCCGCGAGATTATATCATGAGAATACCATTTTTTTTGGCTATGAGTGCACTAGCAATCACCTCAATTTTTTGACTCTTTACGTGAAAGTATTGTTTACATTCAGATAGCTGGCCTCAATATGAAAACAAAACAAAAAGACACTCTAAGGTCTCGCAGTCTTCTTACTCGTTTCCCACAAAAAGTACACTAACATCATCTATAGACCGCAGCGATGAACTTTCCATTGTGGTCTGTTCGGTGCGTAAAACATGTTCTTATTATCCTATGCTCATCACAACCCATCGAGAATCATCGGCAGTAAAGACGGCAAATCGGTAAAGTTTCAAACCGAATTAGCAATATTCCCCCTCAATCCACCCAGGCTTTTGAAGACCAGATAGATATATAAATGTCACAACCAGAGCGCGCTTGCCCTCCCAGGCAACATTCTGTTGTGTTATGTGATCACCAACTTTGCTCCAGTAGCGGTGTATGTAAGCTGCCATTAGAATCCAAAGTAAATTGATTCCTCCTGATATCTGTGATAACCGCGAGACCTGAGACCTGTATTTTTATCATATTGGTAAGTTGTGAGTTCTTCCATGCATCTCACTAAAGCGGTCTTCTGGTGTTTATATTGGGTTTTTATGCAAAACTGCCTTACACTTGGCATCGCAGAACGAATCCGGTGTATATTCTAGAGGCTTTGTCATATCACAGTAGGTTTACTCCCGTATTTACCTCCATGAAACCCGTCCAGGAACAGATGTGAGATATGCCTAATTGCCTGATTCCATGGAATAGAACTGAGCGGTTCAAAACTCAGGGCTGTTGAATCCTGTCGCAAGAGACCAATATGACCACAATTTATACAGAAAGAGTTGAGAAGGAAAAGCCAGGAGATCTGCCACATCCGGTCACGGTATTTTCCCCGAATTCTTGAGAACGGTTGATGTAGTGACAGAGAAGTAAGACGCTTTAGTCTAAGTCTTAAGAATTATGGGCATGCGAAGGCATATTTGAGCTACATTCACAGTGGTCCTTGATGTTTTTCTGCTTTCATGTTGTCACATGATGATATTGAGACTTCTCTATCCTTCTCATTATCATCCTCGACATTCTGATCTTTTCTGGTACTGTGTAATAAGAGTATTATTAGCTAAGGCTCCAGATTTCAGAGTCAAATTGATATTAAATCTCAGACCATATAATGACTGGATCTAGAAGAAATAATCTTTGTTTGAGAGCGACTTCCATTTTCAGTAAGTGGAAGACTTCACATCTCTAACAAAATACAGAACTTAAAACATGCGATTGAATTCACCTTAATTCACTTCGTCCTATAGAGGCCCCCGCCTAATAGCTATTGAAGAGGGAAGAGGGCAAGCATAGCGAAATTTCTGGCAGATATTTTACAAAGTAATTCCACTTCATATCATATTTGGGAGGTATTTGCTAATGATCTGCAGGCAACATTAAGAACTCCACCTCTAGATACGAAGAGCCAGAGAAGCGCAAATCCAATATGTCGATTCCTCAGCAGAAGCCGGAAACCATGGTACGAAATAAAGTTACATGGCAGAAGAATATACTTCCTGGGGGTCGTATTGACTGGGTAATTGTTCACCTTGGTGGACCAGTCACGATTAAGACAAACTTCGAGGCGCAGATCGTCATTACTGAGATATTTGAGAAGAATAATCAGGTTGCTGCGGACATAGGCGCGGTCAAGATACCACTTGAGCTAGAAGATAAATCCAAAAAGAATTTTCTGGATTTGAATATTGGTGGAAGCTCACGAGAAATGGTTACAGAAGCTACCGAGAAGCAAGAGACAGCTACCTCGGGAGATGTCACGGAAGAAATCGCAATCTTCGGGAATGAAACAAGTTCGATACATGAAGGAATGACAAGGAGATTTGGAGGGCCGCATAAAACCAAGAATGGTGCTGGGAAAGTAACAGTTGGGCTGAAAGAAGCTGGATCAATGACATTGAAAGACTTGCGAGTCGAAGGTGTCAATGAGGCGCCACGTGTAGCAGCGGAGATCTTTACACCTTCACTAATGCGAAGCCAAAACACACCAGCCGCATCTCGCATCTCTCAAGTCGCAGCTGAAAAGAACAGGGGAAGCCCAGGTTTGGAAGCACAGAGCATGCAAGGGTCACGAACCGCATCGGCAATCTCAACCCCGAAGAGAGCACGCAACAACCCCCCCCAGTCCCGCAGTATATCCCTCAAACCTTCACCATCAAGAAAACCACATCCTGCTGACATCTTAAAATCATTCCGCCACAATCATACTACGAATCCGATCTATCTTCGGCCAATGTACCCTCCTGTCTCCGATAAATACAGCTCAAAATCACAGCTCACTAAGTCAGATACCTCCACAAATACCCGATCTCTGACCCTACGACCCAAGACATCAGTCAGTGCTGCTTCAAGATTGATTAGAAATTCTTTAGGTTTACGAGCCATTCCGAGGACGAGGAGGCCTCAGGTAGACCGCAAATGAATAGTCTCTGTATAAGCTGTTGTAGAAGGCTCGGGAGTAATCAGAAGATTGGTTGTTATCGCATGGGTATTTTACAGACTCGCTGGTGTTGCTGCTTCTCTCTGGATTCAAGTTGAATCTAGATTGCGATAGATAATATGTACCCCAAAAAAGCAGGCACCTTCTTGGCTGGAACGAGAGACTTGTTGAGTAGAGAAAGAACGATTATAATTTTCAACCATACCTTCCCGATTCTGCAATACACCAGTAATAATTGCCTCGGCGAGTGTGACTTGTACTTTCTATCAAAACAGCTTTTATTTTGTATATCTAGCAACTGTCAATACTCCATTAAATCATATTATCACTATACTCAAACACCATTGCTTTGCTTTGCTATCACTAACTTCATATCATATTCAAAATCACATATCTTGATGTTGGTTCTTCTTGGACTTGATCCACATCTCATTCCTCGTCCTAATTCCATTTCCAATTCCAACAACAATATAAATATTGGCCCCGATACCTCGTTGTTTTCTCGCCGATCAAGTGTTACACATCAACAAGAACAACTTCGAATAAAATATCACATACACAACATTACACACAACTACCCCAAAGACAGACAATCACAGGGATTGAGATCGATTCGGCTTTGGTGTGCTCCACGTACCAGAGACGGCAGAGTAGATATTCAAGATGTCGAGTCAAGAGGTTGCAACAACTAGGTATAGAACTGATTCTTTCTGGTCAGATTGTGTGCCTGGAAATGGAGACTTGACGGATTATTCGGAGGTTTCTGATGATGATGATGATGTTGTTGGACGGAGAGGGACGCTATATAATGGTTATTGGGATTCGGGTAGAGAGGTGAGTTTCACTTCGAGAGGAAGGATTCTTCTAAGAACTGAAGAGGAGGAAAAGGGAGAGACAGAGGGAGAGGAAAGAGGGGACGAGGAGGAAGATAATCACCAGGCAGATCAAGAGAAACTCGAATGTTTCGATCACGAAATACCGAACCTTTCACGTGGAACAATTGATGAAGATGGGCACCAGGCTGCGCAGGAAAACGTCAAAATGTTCGACCAAGAGATGCCATTTCCTCCAAGGAACATAATCCTGGAAGGTGATGAGCTGCTTCATAATCTCCCAGATTTCGATCAAGAGGAACTCTTCGGTGTATACGATAAAGCTTTTTTCTCCACAGATACGCCCGGAGATGAAGATGATTACAAGAACGTATCTGATTGGTCTGACGACGATGTGATGCCAGAAAATGCAAGGTGGATTTCCAACATGGAAAATATGAAACAGGATATCGATGAATATGCTTGCTTGGGCCTGGCCGACTTGCTATGGGAATACGTGGTATGAAAGTCAAATGGTCAATCACTTCTAAGAATCACGTCGCTAATACAGAGAAGAAGCTTGTTGATGTCGATGTTTTGACTCTACCCCGCTATCTATTGGAACACACGGTACGGGAATCAATGCTGTCACGATTTGCACACGAGTTCGTTGCTAATTCAAAACAGGAAAACTCTCAACCTGACAAGCGATATGGGAAAGTAATTGACGCACCGTTGTCAAAGTTCAGGAACAATATCCATCATCTTCTCGCCTTGACTTCAACAGGGGTGACACGTAACTTGATGACAGGCCTTTACGAACTCGTTTATTTGGCGGCAAAAGGCGATCTAATTGAAGGCGAGGTTTTGAAATATCTCGACCCTCAAACTCTTTCATTGTACGAGTATACTACGCCAAGAACAGAGAAATATGCGTATGAGTCTGAAGCATGCCTTCGAGTGGTAAACATAAGACCTTCCAAGACTTATGTTTTCGTGGCTGCATTAAAATTCTTCATGTTAAAATTTGTGGTTTCATCTGAAGGCCTCACCCCAGATACATTCTGTACGCTGAATCGAATCCTTTCGTCTGCGGATGAAGAAAGAATAACTAAAGAGAATGACTATTGGTACTTTGATGTCTCAAAGCGATATCAATGCAAAACAGGGATTCATGATTGGCTGACTTACTTTATCTTTCATATCAACACTCAAGATCATATGCGCATTGACTCCAAATTCAATCCCATCTATGAGATATCACTTCTCTACCTGAGATTTATCGCAGGTAATCGTTTCGGGAAACAAACCAGACATATGAGCATGATACTGCTCCAATCATTGGCCTTGAAATGGTTGCACTATATGGTTTTGCCTTTTGATGAGAATGAAAAGGAGTTTCAGTACATCATGACAATACCATCGATGATGGCAGTTCCAAAACTGGCAGGTTTCCTAGAGAATGTATTAGCCAGAAATATTGACAAGACTATTTCACGTTCAAGAGGAGTGACATCTTCTCGAGAAGACTTAAATAACATATCAGATACAGAAGTCAACAAGCTCCAAACTGCAGTTGATTTTTCATGTCGAAATGATGCATTATCGAGTTTGGATTTCAAAGAAGGGAGTTTCGATACGGGATTGGTACTTGAAGGAGTCTCTTTGAAACTAAATTCGATTTTGGCACTCTCAGGAGGCCTACGTTCCAAAAATGGCTTGAATGAAGAAGATCTTGCTAGTATCACCACATCGCCAGGCTTTCAATTTGGAATATCAGGACTGAACAGATCTGGCAGGTCCCCATTAGGCGACAAGAACCCGCCTTCTATAAGGAGAAATTCATGCACCAAATGTTCTCCACATGAGCTATTGGTGGATAAATGTATTATTTGTCATGGGAAGCCAGTTAAAGATTGGTCTGACGGACCGAGAGTAGCGTCCAGGGTGGTGAATCGGTCAAATGCCATCGAGATACCTTTTAAATTGTGGTCAAGAGGACCATCTCCCGAGAAGACAAAAACCCAACCCGAAAGTAATCATCATTGTCCTATATATGGGACAATTGGAAACATTAATCAGTGCTTTAATTGTGGACCTGGAATAACTCCATCTGTATCGGATGAAGGGTCAGAGTGGTCCAAGTCGTCGAGAGAACCCTCGCCATCACCGGAGAAGAAGGATCTCCCCCCTGCGAAAAAAGAACCACCTCCAAAGACGTATAATTGTCCTAATTGTGGAGCGATGGATTTCTTGGGCGTATGTCATATTTGTAGTTATGGGTCACCAGGACTTTCTGAAGCAAAGCCAACGACGCTCAAGAAGAGGAGTCCTACCTCGGATTGGAACAAGGACGAAGAGCAAGAAGTAGAGTTTCAAGCCCCCAGATATAGTCCCCAGGCTAGGTATCGGTTTGCGCATATCAGGAGTCAGAAGGATATGGTTGTGAGAAATAGACGATATCCTGCCACTCAACAACATCGCCATTTAGCTTTCCTTCGGGCATTATCCTCTCATCCGCAAACGGCGGGGGGCGTTCCAGATGTAACATTTGACGGATTCCAAAGGATTGCAGAGGCTCCTTCGGGACCTTTCTCTCTTTCTGAGGTAACAGGAGATGGTTCGTACGACGCAATTGAAAGGGATTGGGAAACCAATCGGGCGAGAAGTTTGGAGGCAGCGATGAGAAGACACGCACAAATCCGGCTCTCAAATCACGAGCCCGCTCTTTCGGTGGAGCAGGATGAGTTATGTTCAACTACGGATAAAGAGTTTGAAGGAGATGAAGAAGATAACAATGACCCATATTCAAGCTCTTCTCAGGAAGAAATCCCCCCTCTAGACTACCAGAATCATCCGTGCTTAGTGGAGAAATGTGAAACTCGCAATATGCAGACTCTTTGGGATGATTTCATGACCCGAAATATTGATGGTGGTGTTGTGGATGAAGAAAAAGGGATAGAATCTCCGCTTGCACAAATGTCTTTGCTGGAAAGAGGAAAGCGGTGTTTTTCGGGTTCGCCTTGGACTTTTACTATGAGCACTAGTAGTCTCTTGGGTCTTCGAATGGGCTGGTGTGTACGCGGACAGAAAATGAGAGATGAGGAGGCTGTGGAGTGGGTGGATGAAGATTGAGAAGGAATATATGGGTGGTTTATGGGTTATGGGGATCGCAGATGAGGGTATCGTATTTGAAAGGCTTTATGGCTTCAGCGGACATGTACTTGTGTGCGAATATATTCTTTGTATGGGTTTTGTGCTCTTCTTTTTTATCTGTTAAGGTATCGGTATCGGTATTGGTATTGGTATGGGGGTTCGAGATTGACTTTCCTAATGTAGGGAGACTGGGTCACTGGGGATATCAGCAAGCTTTCTGTAATATCTAACTAGATTAGAGGAACAGCGAAGAAAAAGAAATACTTTTGTGAATTATTTATTTGCTTTAATCTTGCAATTGTATGAAGTATAAAGGCAGATAGATGCTAGATGAACAAATGTGTTGAAAAGTGGAAAAAGCACAGGCTGGACTTTTTAAAGGGGATCCTCGCTTCGGTCGACCACCTTGTTTGTTCGATGGCTTGTATGTGATTTGTGTCACGATGCTTCTAATTCATCTGCAGATGGGTAAAAAGTAATTATTTGATGGGAATTTCTTTGTTTGAGGTTGATTCTGTGTGTGAGGAGGTGAGGCTGGGGATGGTATGGTATGGTACTGGTACTTGTAAATTGGGCATGGGCAATCACGATTAAATCACTTCGAGTCACACGATTTACTTAGGTAAGTAATGCGATGCAGTGGATGAATGGTATGTATTTATTGAGAGCGCTACTAATAGATATATGTATAGGTAGAGATAGATAGTACAGCACACCACCCTCGAGTATCCTCTCTCCCTTTCTACCACCTCAGCAACCAAAAAACCATTTAAGAGATCGCGCTCGAAATGTATGGACCGACATTACCCATTTTCACAAATGGACTCTGCACCGGGAATTTTAAACCCATAGATTAATCTGCATCAAGCAATCGTGGCATTTATGATCCTCATAGCGTGAAAATGGAGTCATCAGCTTAGGGGGATCATGGTTTACTTGACGAAAAAGCTTGAGGAAGGGAAAAAGGAAAAGAAGGAAAGAAGGAGAGGAAGAGGAAGAGGAAGAAGAGGGGAAGGATTTTTGGAACTAGTACGGAAAGAGCTAGGAGTCTCGGGTTAACGGATGAGCTGATGGGCTGATGACCTGAGGCTCGGAAGAGGCGCAGGTAGGGTTAATGGTGTCATGTTAACCTGCTTTTTGGCGCTAGGGCGAATAGAACTTTGGTAGTCTGCCGCTTTTTTCGGCCTAATTTGATTTCGGAGATTGAAGCGAGTCTTTTATGACTCACTAGTTCACACAACTAGTTTTCCTGTCTTTCTCTTCTTTAAAGACCAAATCTCTTCTTTTCAATTTCTCTTGAGCAACTCATTCGACAACTCTTCCAATAATTCCAATAATATTGGAGAGGACGGAGCACCATACCTAGGTAAACAACAATGCAATGGCAATAACTAACGCCGTCGGTCATGGTGTGCTCCGTCCTCTCGACACGAAACAAAAAACCAAAAGGTACATGAGATCGAAGACTTGCACTTATTATTCCATTCACTTCATCATCAATCACTGTGATCATCTATTATCCACTTGGTATAGATCAAACGATAACTTACTAACTGACAGTCAACTCTTCCAGAACTCATCCTCGCGATACTCCAAACGGTATTGGAGAGGACGGAGCACAGAAGCTAGCCATGTCTGTTTCCACTGCGGTGGACGACACCATGATGTGCTGTGCTCCGTCCTCTCAAAGTGAAACCAAAAAAACAAGGTATGTGAGATCGAAGCCTTTCCCAATCTACCATTGTTATTTATCAATTCTACATCGTCGTCGCTCATTATCATTACCTTCTGATCCACTTGGCAAGAACAAAAATGATCACACACTAACACGCAATTCTTCCCCAGAACTTTTGGGACCAAATGGTCTCACTTGGTGCCTGCGGCCCACCTCGGTCTCACCAACCGCAGATGGTGCTGCTAGGTTGTCCACTGGTATTTTCACTCAACTCCATTCGTCACAAATCCCCACTCTTCCTTCTATCTTTGCTAACCACAACAATGCATAGACAATCAAGAGGACTGAAAACGTCATTATCGACAAGCCACGTGGCGGGGACTCGGGACCGAACCACATACGGTGCCGGCGGGCATCCGGGGGAGGGTAGTTCACACGCTCAAGGAGCTGTGGCACCTCCCCCACGAGATGCCAATGGATAAAGGCATGTCCTGTGCCTGCCTCCTGCCGCACCCATGACCTTGTATGTGGCGAGGGACCGAGGACCCACCAGAAAATCAACACGTTGAGATGAATGCAGATTTTGGGATTCAAATCGAATCTCATTCTGCTGCAAATCTTCAAGTTCCCAGCTTCACCTTTGACCGGGCTCCCTTCGATGGTGGTCTTGGCGGATTGGAAATCCATCTTGCTGCCAAGAGTGAGCATGACAGGAAACATACCGAAATCAACAAGATGGATTTCCAATCTGCCAAGTGTACAGTGCTATGCAGTAAGAGCAAATCGAGACTACGACAGGTGATTACCTATAGAAACATTATGTGGTGGTGGTGGTGGTGGTGGTGGTGGATATGCCAAGTAAGTTCTCTTTTCCTTCCCCTCAATCCGAGTGAATGAATGCTCGCTGTGATTAAGACCGATATATGTTATCACTTCATTGAAGACTGCTGACTAACATCTGCAGCAGATTCAACTTGAAAACCAGATCATTCCCACTCATATGGTTCTGCTAGTCGGAGCTATGGTCACAATTCAATTCAACACGAAAGCCAAGGTTCACAGATTAGGGGTTTATTCGAAAAAGCTTTTCTTGAGCAAGGGGCTAGGTCCCGGCCTGTTCGGCTCGCGAACAGGCTGCTATCGAGCGCCGGACTTTTAACAGAGAAGGTGCCACACCAATGATCCCTAACAAGGTAAGCCGTGGAGAATTTTGATTTCAGATGATGATGTGCTGACATTTGTTGTGTAAAGATCGTGGCCAAACTCCCCCCACTTCCTCCACCGATGTTCTGCAGGTCACAAGCGATCTCAATCTCTTGGTGCCGGTGCCGGTGCCGGTACCATGAAAGCTGATCTCAACATCTTTTACGATGTAAGTTATGCATCAAATCTCTCGACTTGATCTGTAAACTAACTCGGTGTAACAAGTTTGAGGCTACTCAGTAGGCACCCATTTATCCTGGCTACAAGGAAGCAAATCTTCTCCGGGGCCTGGATACCGACTTGATAGGTGGGGTTCGGTCGGCACTCTAGCTTGACACGAACCCCACCTGTTACACTTTACCAAGACGACTTGGCTATATGCCGGGTAACTCGATCGCACCACCTCGACTTCTTCAGGTCCGGCGGCAGCAAATTGAAGCTTTTGAAGAGATTGATAGAAACAGCAGCCTCGAAACAATGGTTGCGGTTCTCTCGTGGACATTCTTGATCATTCTCACTGCTATGCCGAATAAGTAAGTCTTTCTTTTTCTAACATCAAAAACGGAGAATAGCTGACCATACCATCAGGTAATGCAGCCGGGAAGAAGAAATATTGGAGATCAATATGATGGTTTGGCCGGAGTAATCTTCATGTCGATGGACAATGGCTGTTGAGAATGGGTAGTGTAGTAGTTATCAGAATTATGTAGCAATATATCTCATTACCTCTAGCCGCCTTTGGACGTGCTTCTATCGATGCGAATTCTCGGAATTGTGATTGTAAAGTGAAAGAACTTCAAAGGCGGTCTCAAGATCTGCGTACTTCAGGTAGAGTCATATTCTTCCTCCATTTTCTTGGACCTCTGCTGACCACGTCTTGCTGTAGATGACTTCGAATTTTCGAGTGCTACGTCTTCGACACTGTGAGGGGCAACAGAAAAAATACCAGTCATTACTACCGTTCAGTCATTGAATGTTTTCGCACGAGCTCCGAATCTGGTTCCTACCGACTGCATCTCCGTCTTAAACATCACTCTGCATACCATGCGATATTACTTCTACCACAGAGACCGCCCAGATCAAGTGCTGTAAGTGATATACCCAACGCTATAGCAAATGTATTCTAACTTTCCTCGCAGTACTCCAAAGCCTTGTGCAAGGTGTCGAATATCTTTACCGAAAAATTCCTTGCATTTGACCACTCTAGCACATTCAAGCTCGCGACTAGCAAAGTCGACGCAGCCCCTCCGATTTGAAAACCTAGTCCAAGATAGGCTTGGATCACTATAAGACCCTATTAGCATCCTGGTTCCGAACCAGCAACAGGGTCCAGGACGTGGCACGGCCACCAATCAACGTTATGACCGCCCAAGAGCGTGGTGTTTCCGCTCAATACTTGAATCGTCGCGGACGACGTGATGCGCAATTTGGACGAGACGTGGATGAATAAATCTGGGAGCAATACACGGCCAACACCAGTATCTGAAGGGGTCTCGAACCCCCTTTCCCCCAACAACTAGCATATAAGCCTCGGAGCTTTGCCATGTCAAAATGGCAAGGCTCCTGAGCAAGGGGCTCGGTAATCTTGCCGGCCCTGCGCGGATCGCAGGAAGCGTTACCAACGCAGCCGGTATCGCAATCCAAAGGAATATGCCAAGTTGCAATGCGACTTGGTACAACAACAAATTCGTTGTGTCCACGATTGGTCCCAACAGAGCCAACGTGGGGGAGAAGCCGGCACTATCCAAGAGTGGGGTATTCCTCTTGGCTGTCTCGTGTGACTGCACTATTGGCAGGAAGCTACCAGGGATATCTTCTTGATTATGTTATGTTATATATATTTGCTGTTTGCTGTGTCACTCTAGTTTTGTATATTAGTTCGTTAAATAGTAATATACTTTGTTCCCCTTAGCCGCCTTGGCGTACACATTGGTGGTGAAAATGACGGTGACGACGACGACGATGTTGTATTTGTGTTATATCGGTAGGTCCATTGTCGGAAGACCTGATGCATGTCCAAATCTGATTGTGCTAGATGAGCTAACATGTTCGCAGTATGTTGTTCTGAGCCGAGCTATCTTTGCGAGATCTCCATCAAATGTGCGAGCTACAGAAATTCACGGCTCTTGGTCTGTAGTCATACGAAACGCGAAAATACAACCAACATGGATCTAAGAAAACAGTCTGGTCTCAAGATCATCCTTGAGAAATAAGCCATTACTGTCACACCTTGAGAGTCAAGCTCAAGCTGATGCAGTATTCTACTACTGAGCTATTACGGTGCAGAGATGGTTGCAGGGAGGTCACAGTCCGAGAACCCCGATATTCGCATCCCCATGCTTCTCCTTTCAGGAGCTAGGGTGTACAAAAGTCGGGAAGATCGGATTTTTACACGTTTGTTTAACTACACCATCGATCTCTACGACCTCCAGCGATGAATACTCTCCAGAACGTTGGCTTCCATCATGGCTGACCCTGAAGATGTCGCTTCTCGCATCTATGGCTCCATTATTGTAATTCCGCTCGAACAATGCATGCTGGCATTTGGGAGACATATCATCAGTCTCTACGACCTCCAGCGATGAAGGCTTCATCAACCGATAGACCTTCAGCAGAACTAGAACTGATAAGGAGCATACTGCATTTCGGGAGAAAATGCAATCCAAATCTGCCGACTTCCACCAATTTCTGTCGGATTAGGTATGCTCCTCGTCAGTTCTAGCTCAGTTGAAGATCCCAATCAAGTATTGGGAGATCAATCCGCTGCTGATTTCTCGGTCAGTTGTACGAGCTCAAAGCGAATAAGACTCCAATCACCTTTTTCAAGGTTGATGTTCGTGAGATGGCGAGCCCTAGATAACTTTTTCCACAACTAATCAACGACTTTTGTCATTACCGGTCGAGCTTCGACTGTTGCAAACTGCTTCTTCTTCGAATCAAGCGACAGATCGTCCAAGCTGATGATGACACAGAAGTCATCTACAATTCTAAAGGAAAGGCCGTTGTAACAACCAGCCTTCACATCACCACCACTGTCTACCCGTGAACCTTGATGGAGAAGACACGACCTTGCAACTCATTTCAGCACCCACATATGTCAGATATCGTGGTGAAACCGATTGGAACTCTGTGAGCGTGGAAAATCAAGCAGCCTTTCTACTTGCCTGAGAGACTAGATACGTTTGGAGATCCGGTGAATAGATTATATTCAAAGTCAAGATCTCCAGCCACATTGCAAGCAACTCTTGTTTCGAGATCAAAGAGTATTGTCGCCACTAATTAATGGCTTCTGTTGTACGAATAGGTGTCGTAGATATAGTGATTGTTGGAGTAGACAAAAATGGATGAAGTTTGAAAAATACTACCATGTTGCCAAAGTGACCCGTTGAAGGAACTGCTTTGGTGAAAAGTCTTGTATCACTGCTAGAACTTGTGTGATTGGGGCTATACGCGCACTACCGGTACTTGAAATGAAAAGAATGTAATTGACATCCATTTCCAGGCTCAAAAATTACAGTCTCGGTTCCCAGTGGCAAACGCAAATACTGCCCTCTCTGCTTCATCCTAATTTGTATCGTTCCGTCGACATCTCAGACCGGCGGTCCTGCCTTAGCCTGGACCACGATTTCATCCAAAGCTTTCCAAGCCTCTTCGACTGCCTTTAATTCCGGATCTCCAAGAAATAACGACATATCCCAAGCATGCCCCTTCCCAACTGCAGTAAACAATTGAGAGTCCTCTGAACCTGAATCACATGAGCACAAATACTCGCCTGGAGTCCGTGAATAACTTACCAATCACATCCAAAGCTTCCTTCGCCATATAATACGGAATCAATTCATCCTGATCTCCATGCACCACAATCGTCTTTCCGAATCCTTTCCAAGCGTCACTTTCCAACCCTTTATCGAGACCTTGCCACAATTCAGGTAATTTGTTTTCCTGAACTAGCCATAGGAATACTAAAGAACGATCTTCTAATTCAGCTTCCGGCAAGGTTTGGAATGCGGGATCGCGAGAGAAGTCTGGAAGAAGAGAGGAGGGGTGGAATATTGGAAGGAAAGGGGGTGTGGGATCAATAACTGGGGGGCTTGTAAGGAACAGCGAGAACTGAAGTTCGGAATAGGGTGTTTCTCTGAGAAGGGTCTTATTGCTAGCAAAATACTTCTTGGGGTCGTGAACGGTCGGGCAGCCGTAGTATGTGAAGACCGCGATTGGGGGAGATGAGAGATAGGGTTTTGCGAGGAATGAGAGATAAGCACCTAACGATAATCAGTCAGGAGCTCATAGCGAATGAAAGGCCGGAAAGCACAAACCAGCGCTGGAACCCATGAGAATGATATCAATCTTTTTATTCTGGCCTTGTTCAAGGGCGAGAATATCCCGGAGGTTATCATGTACGAAGGAATATGCAGATATTAAGTCGTCCAACATGTCTTGAGCACTTGCCTGGGGCATGAGACGATAATCAGCGCTGACGATGGGCCAATTTCGGAGGAGACATGATTGAGCGATATGAGGAGGAAGTAGCTCCCGGTTAAAACCGGTGAGACCTCCGCCATGGAGGTAGAGTACTGCGGTTGAGATGGATATGAGGTTTGCTGGGTGAATGATGTCCACTTTTAGGTCGAGACTATCGATTTGCTCCCTTGGGTGATCAGCTAGTATATGATGATTAGCTGGCAAGTAGTATTAGTTATGGCAAGATTCAGCAACTTCCTGTAGATTCTAGACTTTTGATTGAAAGAGATTAAGTATAAAAGAAAAGGAAAGAAAAAGAAGAAGAATAAGAGGAAGAAGAAGGACAAATATTAAGGAAAGTTAAGTTCTGATACAAAGGATTTTGTTTGTAGGTGGTCCGAGCTTCCATCTTCTAACCTCTATAACAACTCTCTATACATTCATTTCATCATCTCTATCTGGTCATATTAGTATCATGAATTCATATTACTTTTGTATTTTCAATACTGAATCTCAAGAGAAGCTCATCAGAAACACAAGCTCTTTGCCAACTTAATAGATTGATTTTTATGTTACAAATCAAATACAAGACATACATATGAGACGACTTTGCATCCTAATACTTCAAAAATATCAACTATAGCAATAACATCAACTATAGCAATAACATCAAATACACGACCTTCAAACTCCTTCTGACTGTTTCTCTTGAACAACAAGCTACTGTCACTCCCTTTGTTATCTTGTCGACCTTCAAATTCCTTCTCATTGTTTTCCTTGAACAACAAGCTCCTGTAACTCTCCGTTTTTATCTTGCGGTTCATTTCGACGCGGTCTTCTTTACTCACGGAGTACTCTTCACTGGATCAGCCTTCTTCACTGGGGTGGTAGCCTTCTTCACCGGAGTCTTCTTCACTGGGGTGGTAGCCGTCTTCTGTTTTTTAGCTGCTGGAGTAGTCAAGGCTGTACCTGCACCTCTTTTGTCGCCAGTTACCGGTTGTACAAGCTTATTCAACTTAGATTCCTTTTTGATATCGTTCAATATTTTATCCCACTTCGTTAGATCAAGTGCCACACCCCAAGCACCCTCTATTCGCGTGAGGTTCTCTGCATTGATTCTGCCCACGCGTCCTTCATAATCCTTTACATATAGGGCGGGATCGCCATCCTTGCCTTGCCCTATCTCCAATACTATTTCAGTTGCAAAGAATGGAGGGTATTTTGGTGGACCAGCTTGTGCTGCAACATCTGCAGTGACACGTCTCATAGGTAGTTCCGGGGGTAGTCTATCACCTGCGGTTTTATCGTGCTCAATGAGTGTTGCCAATACTACTGGTTTGGTTCTTCCCCATTTTCTGGGTTCAATGCCTCGAGCCGCACACTCCTCCTTCAATATCTTAAGTGTATAATCCTTCACGTTCGCACCTTCTTCAAACGGTTTGATAGTGTCTTTTTTGGCATTGCTACTCTCGATTGGAAGACGATCAGGGAGCCCCCATGGGTCCTCCAGCTTCTGAAGATTTCGAGGTTTGACTAATCCCGATGTTCCATCTAGTTTTGTCAAGATCGGATAAAAGCCTTTGAGCGGGTCTCGTTTGTCTAGGAGAAATTCGCTGTCCTCAAATGTGAAATTGTCCACAAATTTTTTCTTTGCATCGTTTGGATCAGGGTATTTTCTGCCGATCTTGGATGTTGGCTCAATAATGCGATAAATGTGGAAGTCGAGCCATAAGCTATCATCCCCGTCTTTTGTGCCAGTCTTATTTGCAATACTAGCAGCAGTTACCCCGGCTGCATCATGTGCATCTCTCAGAGCGTTCATCTCAATTCTCTTTATGCTATCTGTCGGGACGAGTCCGACAGTCCCTGGGATTTCGGAGTTATCAGCACCAAATGTTGGGCATCTCTGCAGCCACGTAAAACCATTTGGGGCATCTTCAGCCGGATCCTTCGGTGGTTCCCTGACAAAGTGGCCACGACTTAAGGCAATGTGCTGGTCACTTTCCGAACCATCAATGTCGGCTGTGACGATCCAAACCCCCGCTTCTACATCTTTTCTCACATTGTCACCAAACCACGTATTGGTTATATTGATCAAATGTCGATCCATTTGCCTGTGCAATGCTGTTTGGAGCGAAAAATCAGTAATTGTCTACCAAGGAAATTATGGAGGAAAGGTGGGAGTTAGGCCTTATTAGGAAGTGAGAGAGGTGTGTTTGGGTATGAAAATTAGTAGGAAAAGATATAACAGGAGTGTAAAAATGTGAACCGATTACGAACTTGAGAATCCCATCCAGTGATTTAAGATGACAGGGCTAGGACTTTGATGAAGCGACCGTTCTTCTGCCTGTGCGTTATCGTTATAAAGCCACACTACTGGCTGCCCGGTTCCATATTCAGGAGCTATCGTAGCTACCTGATGAGCTAAATCCCATATCTCCTTATCGGGGTCCCATCTAACATTGAAACCTTGTGTAATACTTCCTAGAACGTAGTGCGTATCGTACCTCTTATTTATATATGCGAGGAGAACATGAAGACAACTGCCTTCGTAGTTGTTTGGATCGTCCGGTATATATAATTTGGTTAGGTCCATTTTTGCCTTATAGGTTTTTGGACGTTTTGATTTGTCGGTAAGAAATTTTGCTTCGACATATCGCCACGCCTCGTCCCAGAAATTTTGGGTCCCCCGAAATGCTATCAACTCCTGCACCGTTGGGTTATTCGCTAGGGGCACCGCTGTACCTGCAGGGGCAGCAAGGTCTCGCGCTGCAGAGTAACTGTAAATAAAAGCGTAAAGGCCGCACAAAGCGCCGGTTGATTCGGTGTTTACCACATGTATCCCGGCGCCCAGATACGGGGTCAAATTGCTGCTTACAACACGCGGAAGGTTAATTACGACGGGTTCCAATCTAGCGGCGAGCGCTTCTGGATCATTATTGATGTTAGGCGCACGTTTAAACTTGTCTTTCTGTGGTGATGGAGAAGAATCAAAAAGATCAGAAGAATCAGATAATGGGTCTTTGTCAACCGGATCTGAGGTTTTGTCCTTTTTTGGCGCCATTTTGGCGGCTAAATTATCTTCAAATTTGAAATAGAATGTACAAAGATCCGATTATACTTGCCGATTGATATTCTTTGCTCAATTTGTGTTATAACCATACATTTATCAGTTTAAATGTTTAGCGGTCGAGGCTTTGTACTTATGGCAATTCTTTGTCAATCCCCTGAGCACCTTTCAATATCACGAATATTAAGTGTGTGAGTACGATTTACAAAGAAGAAATAACAAATTACATTCCGCATTTGGTTGAACGAAGCGCTGAGATTCTTTCATGGTAACAACCCTTAAAGAATAATGAACAAAAGTTTAATGCCGCAAAACAAAACCACAGTTCTGAACTTCAGGCTTAGGGCATTGCATATATGATCAGTTTGATGATTTGATGTAGACTGCAAACTGCAGATTGCTAAGCCCATCACACAGCAGCTCTCTACCATCAAGCAGCTATGTTAGACAAATAGCTTTTGATTGATTTATTGATTGATCTATGAGGGCCAAGAATTCTCGCGTTCTTCAAAGCAGAAGGTCTAAAAGATATTCAACTTTGGGAAACACAGGTTACTCCTTCCTTGACAGACTTTTTGATATGGCTCAAAATTCTACCGATATTTAATGATTCTAATCGATAAATAAACTAACAGTTATACAGCTAAATCGAGCTTTTAGCTAATGGCATTAGATGTGGTTGATGATCATTAGCTCGCTAAGATCAATCGCCTGGACAAGTGACTGAATTAGCGTGACATAGTACAAACACACTAAATGTACACTAACACTGCCCACAGCATGCTAAACGAACCTCGCCTGAAAATACTATACCTACAGTGCGTTTTCCAAGTTACATATAAATAAATTGATCCCTGTTCTCCTTATTGTAACACAATATATTTATTACAATCTTTAATTTTCATTTCAAATCATATTGATATAGGGATTCGAAGCTTTGCCCGTAACTGTCAACTTGCTTTCCCCTAGCTGATATTGCAGTTTAAATGGCTCTCAGCGAAGCCAAATTTAGCATACAATTCGCTTATCTCAGTGAATTGCAAGTACCTAAAGCAGTCGTATTCACTAATAAATTGATAAAGAATAACCTTTGTCTAGGCTACAATAGATATTTGGAAGTAGTCGAGTCGAGTACTCGAACCCTGTGTCAAAATAAAAGGAGAACGAGCATTAAATTATTACTGTTGTACCAATTGACGTCCATCGATGTCTCTAGAGAGAAGAGTCGAACACAGGTGATTAGTAATATCTCGAGGTTGTTAAGCTATATCTGATTGCCATTTCTCTTACTTTGGCATGTTTTCTCATATCACTACATGCTTCATTTCTTGTAAAGGTTTGTTGACGATGACCTCTCATTCAACACAGGTTTTTCTGTTTCAATTTTGTATTAGAAGATGACACCGTAACACAGGTGCCATTCAATCATTGGCACATAAGTCAGTTGTGATAGCCGTGGCTTTTTGTGTTCTCACAGACACGTATATGATAGTACGAGAGTGCAGATTTGATTTCCCGTATTGAGTTCGTTCACATTATTCATCTAAACAATAATTTACCAAATTAGCTCACCGGGTCTCAAGTCCTATGATACTACTTTATACAGTACTGATATATATAACCTTCTAAAGTACTATAATCCAGGATGAAAACCCAGGATTGAAATCAATCAAATGATGAGTAGTATCGAATTCAGAAGTTCATTAGTGTGGCCATATCGATATGCTCCCAAGTTGAGTTGCTTTGCCTAATTTTTCAAGGGAATCTCCAACGTAACTTTTTCTTAAACCACTATAAAATAGTGTCAATATCTATTCTATCAGTCTAAAGAAGCTTTAAAAGTCTACAAATGATTTCAAGAAGACTAAGGCTTCGAGAGTATAGCAAATGAGCCTTGATTTCTATGGATGGAAATCATCAGTGTGGTAGATATATTTCTGAGTGACAAAGGTTCGAGGCAAATTAGACTGTACTCTTTCCCAGGTCATAATAGAATAAGTTAAATGACAATGTTAATGTTAAGATGTGCATTTTATTGTCTGTGTACCCCTTTATTATTGCCTTTGTTCCTATCATCCTTTCATACCTGTTGTTGTCATTTCTACATCCCCTTTTCATTCTCAGTAAGCTTCATGTTATTTCATTATTCTAAGGGTGGTTTTCAGAACTTGAAATCTTTCCCGATAGAACTTTCAATGAAATTTGATCGATATCCTTTGGGTGATATCAATGTTCACAGAGAGTTTCAATCCATCAGACTCTCTGTGATGTTGATTTCTCTGCAACTAATGGTCCGATGGAAGCTTTTAGAAGAAACAAGATGCGTTATATATACTGCTTGAATCGAAATGACAGGGTGGATGTACAGTTAGATATTGCAAGTAGATAATCTTCCATATCAAGCAGCTCAGGTGACATATTAAGCTTATCCAAGGACATTGCCGAGCGTAAGATCCAGCTAGATAGGTGGTACTATAAAACGTTCTGGAATTCCCGATCTTCTTTGACGTTATGCTTATCAGATTCTGCAGTCTGTAAGGATGCATGTGGATGAAAATTCTGAATCGATGGAGTAAGTTGATTTGGGTTGGTATCGGGGCGAGAATTCCTGGATCTAAATTATATGTATGGTTTTGCTATATTTTTTTAGTTTTATTATTGTTCACAGTCCCTATCATTGCCATTATCATTGCTATTGCCAACTCTCCCATAGCTTTTAAGGGGTCCTTTGTATCACCGCCGTACTGGACGAAGTGATCGTTTCCGAAATCTAATATTCACATGAAGGGGTCTTTAATCCCATGAAATCGGATGGTAAGTCTCAATATCTGATTATATGAGCTTCGAATCTCTCCAAACATGCAATACCACCAAGTTGTATCGAATGTTTGAGATGGTTTTAGGTAGAGAGGAAAGAGTTATTTATCAAAAATCCATTTGGAAAAAGGTCAAGTGATTATGTGCGTTTTCGATAATCGAGTAGTGAATATTCTACATGAGTATTCTTGACTTTATCAACTCTTCATATACTCTTTAACACCTGGAGGTGATATGTACAGTAGATTTTTTCGTCTCTTAGTAGTATAAAAAGATCACAATATACACCCGCTTTGTTTTGTTATATTATAATTCTTGAATACGTCCCATCTGTGTCCATGCTAAATTTTATAGCACGATTGTGTACGATTGAATGTCAATTGGGGAATAAGGTGCTCGGAAGGAATATAAATATGAAGAATTATATTTAATAGCTCATTGTCAATCTTACAATTACTGTTACTTCGAACTTTTCCGATCCCAATCACTATCACTGTCGGTATCAGCATGGCGAAATAGCCGCTTAGCTTCCGAAAAGACTTTATTTGAATTGACTGATTTATCGTCACAAACTTTGAAGCTGCCTCTCTCCGCATATCTCCACACAAGGCAGTTTTCCAAACCACTGCTGTGATTTGAAACAAATTGAGAGGCTATTAAGGGGTCTGTTGAGACTCTAGGATGGTATTTATATGAGTTACTTGAAAGAAGTATGAGTCTTAGGGGGTGACTGAAGTCAAGTTAGTGTTTCCGTTATGTAATCGTAGTTATAGGACTGTAAAGTTTTAGAAAGTTCTACGATGTAAATTTATCAGGGATTGATATGAGAGGACCAAAAAATTCATCGTTCTACAAAGTAACAAAGTCTATTAACAAATGGGAAATGAAAAAATATGGAGAATTTCTGTCACGGAATTCGAAGTACGATGGACATCAATCGGAAATTCCAAGATTGAACCCGAGAACTTCGGTAAAATGCGGTTTAGAAAAGACTACATTAAGGCTCCTTGTCGTCGTCTTATATTTGCTGTCGCCGCTTTTTATTGTTATTTTGTTGTCATTTTTATCAATGAGTTACTGTTCAGGAATATTTAACGTCACCACTCTTCTGCGAGCTTTATGCTTCTCCATATCTGACTATACATATCAAATTTGTTTCTCTGCTCAGTATACTACAGATTCGCAGCACTTCAAAACCTCTCTAGAGAAAATCCGCGCAGGTGCTTCAAGCATAGCTTTCCAAACATTTTAACAGCCCAAATTCCAGGATAAAAAGTTGGCGAAGGCTTTAGGAGGAGTACCTAGGGCACAACTATTTATGCTGAAATCATTAGGAAGATGGGTTGATTCAGCTTTTGGCAATAGTGAATTCATTATTAGACAGAGAGTAGTATCCACACCACACTGCATTCTTTTACCTCCAGGTGGTATAAAAGGATCGTAGAGTACATCATCTTCCTAGGTAGTCTCATCATTAGTTTCCTCAAAACCGCATCCTCATGGTTTGTATAAAACGTCTTGAGGCAGTTTTTATTAGTTACTATGCCAAGTTGAAGTCAAGGTCGAGGAGTAAGGATATTATGAGTGAGACTGTTGGAGTAGAAGAACACACATAGGGCACTCGCTCTTTTATATTAGCGCTGTTACTTCCGAGCTGCATTGTCGATTTTCATACTACATTATTATCAATTTTAAAAACATTCTTTCCCTAGACTCGAGCTCAGAATACATTCAATAATAAGGATCCGAAAACATTCTTGCCCTAGACTCGAGCTCCTATCTCGTTCTAATGCTTCAATCCGAAAAAAACTCTTACTTCAAGGAAACTTTAGTAGGAAACGTAATATGTTATTTATATTAAAATTTATTTCAAACGAGAATCGGTTGAGAGTGCTAATGAACACTGTAGGTGAATAACCACAGTACAAAATTTTCAAAATAACTTCTATTGTATAATATCTTTAATAGTAGATACCTGGAATAGTATCATTTTGAACTTTGATACCCGAAATAACCTAAATACTAATCGAGGTATAATATATACTATTTCAGGTTAAGTCTTTTGTATTATTCTGATTACAAAATAAAATATGTTAATCTGATCTCAGGAATAGAAATAATATTATTCTGGTTACAAATTTATATATTAATTTGATTGCAATAAAAAATGAGGTATTATTCTAATTACAAAATTTATATATTAATCTGGTTAAGAAAAAAAAGTATTATTCTGGTTATAAAATTTATATATTAATTTGGTTATAACAAAATGATATTATTTACATAAAAGGATACTAGTATTAAAAAAATGAAGAAGGGAGAAGCTACACAAAAAAACATAGAGAAGGGGGAAGAGGAGAGGCCATATAAGAGGATATAGAGCTATTACTTATACTAAAATAACGAATCAACTTTGAGACCAGAATAGCATCCTTTCTTTTTCTGTGATCAGATTAACATATGAATTTTATAACCAGAATAGCACCTTTTTATTTTTGTAACCAGAATAATATATAAATTATTTGAAACCAGAATAATATCATTTTATTTTTTTGAAACCAGATTAATACATCATTTAAAAACGATTGAAATAACACTTTTTGAATTGAAAAAAAACGACTGAAATAACACAATGTGTTAATTCAGGCCTAATTAGAAAGTTTATATGCTATTTCGGATATAAATGTTGAAAATGATGCTATTCCAGGTATTTACTGTATCTTTAATATAGTGAACTATAAAGTTGGGTTCTACATTGCATAGTATAAAATAAACGAGAGAATCAAAGTTTTATTCTATATTATACTTGCAAGTGAAAAACGCCACGAACGTAAGGGAAATTTTGTACTCGAGTATTACAGAATCAATATTACCAATAGGCTTGATAGGGATCGACTATAGAAGACATCGGACGTTGTATATAGATATCATATACGCTACAGCCTGTAGAAGAGGCACACTCTCCTGTCATTTAGACTTTTATCGCCACATTTGCCGTATTCCTACTGTCGGTAAATACCTAGTATCACCATTCCTTCAATATAATCATTACACTCAAACATGACTCCCAATACCTGCCAACTCTCACCACTTCCTAATTCCAATTCCAATTTCGAGACTTCAAGTTAAAAATTAGGCTCTTTCTTCCTGCTCAAAATTGTAATTAGCCATACTCATCTCTCTCCTTAATTTCCAATTATTATAAAAGAAATTTAGCAGGAATACAGTGTACCATCATGAAGTCCCATACATACTCGACATGTAGTCGAAGCTTGCATACTTGGCAGTTCATATTATTTCTAGTATAAATTTCGCAATTCTTCACCAGAACTTCTTTTTTTCTTACTATATGCCATAGTTATAGAGAAGCCACGCCTTAGGCTGGTACTGTTAGGAGTATGGAACTGACTAACAGTATAGTATCATACCAAATTAGTTTTGATTTTGACTCCGAGTACTAGAACAATCACAAAGCAGAAAGTAGACATTTGTTTTCTTCTCACTACTTTATTGCCGTCAATCTTTTTAAGTATATCCTTCGTTAATAGTTATTGTCAAATTCCCCACACCATCAACTACTATCACTGAACACTCACACTTCATCGTATCCTATATGCTCATCCATACATTCCCTCAAATTGCACATCCCTATCCATAACCACCGAACCCCCAATAAATCACCCAACCCACACAAATCATTACAACCCACAACCCAAAGTACACAACCTGAATCCGTCTGAAAGCGAATTGCTTTCCATTACATTCTAAAAAACAGACTACCACTTGAATCACACTTTATATACTCGAGTAGAACTATATATCAAGATACCACTTGCCCCCCTACCCAAGATCCCAGATTATAGTACTCACACGTAAGTGATTCGAAAGCGGGGTATAACTGTATAAAATTCCCTGAGCTATTGTTATTGTTACCGTTACTGTATATTAAATCTATAGATAACTAAATATTGGTGTATGGAATTGGATAAACTAGAATTGATTTGTAGTGTTGGGTGTGTTGTGAAAGAATAATGTCTTGTGGTGTATTTATTGCACTTTGGATTTGGGAGTATGGTTGAGAAAGGAATGCGAGATTGTTGTTGAGTTTTGTGAGTATCTACTATCACTGGAATGGGGACGGGGATGGGGAATGGATTATTGATATTCTAGTTGATGTTTGTTGTTGCTTGGATATATTATGTTCTCTTGTATATCTTGAGTAGCCTATTCAGATGGATATTCATTTTCATCATAGGATATACAAAATTAATATCTACCTCACGACTTATCTCACCTCCATCCGTCCCTTTCCTATTCCCTTTCCCTTCCTCATGCATTCTCTCAATCCACTCATCTCCACCCTACCTTTTCCTGAAAACTAACTCACATTTCGGCACCCCACTAGTAAAATGATCCTTGATTCCCCCAAAGAATCTCTTCTCATCAAACTTCACACCCTCCGGAAACATTACTTCATATTCCAACACCGTTCTCGCAACCACAGAACGTAATTCCATCCTGGCTAGACCTTTCCCAATACAATTATATGTGCCCATCGAAAAGGATAGGTAAGCTAATTTATTAAGGACGAGTTCTGGTCGGGTAGTCCAGCGTTCAGGGATGAATTGGTTTGGGGATGTGAAGTTGCGGGGGTCGTGATATTTGTATTAGTGGAGTGTTGAGAGAGATACAATGTGATGAGAGTTGCTTACCATGATGGAGTTGCCAAGTTGCAATACTGACAATAGTATCACCGGGTATGTGTACATTTCCAATGGTCAGCCCATCTTTGGGTGTGACTCTTTTGGATGTAAATGTAACCGGTGGATATAATCTCAAAGCTTCTTGAATAATACCATCGAGTAATGGCGATACTTTTGCATTACTGTGTGTTGCATCCTTAAACATCGGTGCGAGTTCATCGAGAAGTTGTGCTTGATATTCTGGGTAATTAGCAATGAGAATGAAGAGGACTGAGAGGGCTGACGCAGTGGTATCACTTCCTGCACCGATTATAACGCGAGAATCGGCATTTAGAAGGGCTCGACCTGATGGTGTATTCTCTGTATGTTCGATGAGGTGACCCATTATATCTGGTTTTGGATTCTTCATCTATGGAATCATTAGCCCATATCTATTTCGCAAGGATTGTCTGGAAACATACATGTCTTCTCACCTCCACCTGATACGCCGACCAATCATTAAAGTCCTTCATCGGACCTCCGAGAAAACTTAACGTCTCAAGAATCGTCAACATCCATGGAATATGAAGTAAAGCCCCTACAGCCACGATACCAGTTTGAATATTATCCACAATTTTCTTAGCCGTGGCAGTTTGCTTTCCATCCAAGAATTGCGTGTAAATCCCAAATGCTAATGCACTCATGACATCGTAACTATACTGAATGCATAATTAATTGACCACTATTGGGGTTCCTGCACTTTTTGATAGAAGGGCAAGAAACGATGTGGTGAATTCTTCGATGCGGGGTCCATAGTCAGTGAGGGCTGAAATGTCACGGTCAGTCACGCTATACCCTGCAAGAGAAACAGGGGAACCGAGTACATTGCTTGAAAGCTATATCCCAAATCTTTCTTCTTTTTCTATGGAACTCAGGATCTCTGGTCGTATGCAGCGATTGTGGCGTCGTGGCGCCATAGAACGGACCCTTTTGCAGCTTGGAAGATGCGCCAAGAATTACATTGATGGCTGCGGGATCGAATATCATGAGTTCGCGGGGTCCTTGAATCCAATCAGCTTTGGACATGGTATAATCAAATATCAAATATTGCTTCTTTGAAAACTCATTATGGAAATCATACCTCTCCTCACATAATCCCCGTACTTCTCCTTCAACCCTCCAACAACCCGATACCACCTAACCTTCGACTCCACAACTTTTCCCAAACTCCAAAATTTGGAAAGTCTAGCACCAAATGGACCGGGAAATTTCCTTAAAGGATGAAAGAATGCTCGATATATAAGTAGATTTATCCAAAGCGATCCTATCGCCGTCGAGACAATGCCAAAAGCTAGTTTCTGGGCTTGCCGGAAAGTCAGGGTATCGCTATCATATTGAAGGATTATCGAAAGTATAATTTGAGATGCTACGACTGCAAGAAGAATCAAAAATGAATGACGATCAAATTCCCTATTCCTCACAATATTGTGGAAGAATGCATCTGCTGCAATGGCAGTAATATACAGGATCAATATTCTTCCTAACCAATGTATTGTTATCAATTCGCGACGAAAAAGCAAACATCTGGAAAACTCATGAAGCAATAGCTTGGACCTCAAAATGTGTAGTCCGGTAAAGGAAGGTGGATAAGGATGCATGTTGACAGGAGGCGCTTCCCCGAGTGGATGACTATCGTGACCATTTCTCTTCTCGCATAATAAGCGGGGCTGGACAGCTTTTGATCATAATCTAGCTATTACCCTGGGTAGTATTCCCAGCGCTTTTTTCTCCCTGCATATTCAGCTTATTAATTAAGTTTCTTGATTAGTATTAAAGTATTCCGATAAGAAAATCTTTTGAATACTGGGTTTTCGGCTCTTCGGTTCCTCCCACGTGCCTTGTCCTGCTTACATACATCCTGGAGCACGCAGGGAGTTGAGGCAATCGCAAATACGTTTTCGGTTGCAGCCCATGCTGATCGTCGATTGCACAGTAGCAAGCCTTTTCTTCCTTTTGAATAATCAGTCAACTATTAGACTTATCACATCCACGAGTGTGCCTGTTATCCTATGAATCCGGGATGAGTTCGCACCCTGAATACAATCAATCAAATCATACAGGTTCGTTTTATTTACTAACACAGTCACAACTTACACATATACAACGATCCACCCACTTCCTCCCAAACAGCTCCTCGATCCATCGAGTTTCAAACCCACTCTAAATCACTCCCAACACACCAAACACAAACATGTCCACCGGTCTTCTCCCAGCGCCTTCAGGCGTAACACCAAACTTCAGCCCATGGGCTCTATCAGAGACCCAGATTGCTTCTATCATTGCATATACGATTACTCTTGCCATTGCAAGTGGTACACTTAGCATCAGGTTATACACGCGAATTAGTATTATGAAATCTTTTGGGTTAGATGATGGTGAGTTCTCCCTGTGTATGGATAATTATCGATGGAGATGCTAATTTGGGGTAATGTGATGTAGTTGCGATTATTCTTTCATATGTAGGATCTTTGGTATCTATACATGAAATTTCATGAAGCTGACATTTGTTAGATATGTTCCATTGCATATTTTGCTGTTAGTGTCAATTGTGAGTGACGAAGTTATCGACAAAGGATGGAGGGGCAATGCTAATTGATTCCGAGGTATGAAATATGGATTCGGGAGACATCTCTGGGAAGTTACTGGCCAGCAGATGGAAATGTATCTTACTGTGAGTTCGAAATCGAAAATACCTACACCAGCCTCTCACTCACAAAACTAGCAACTAAGCACTAAACTATCCATCCTCATCCTGTGCGTTCTCACCTGTACCTCCGACCTCCCATCTCCCATCTCCCACCTCCCTTCTTCTACTTCACCCTACCCTACCCCACACCCCACACCCCTCGCCAAGCCCACCAACTAACCCCCCTTCCCCCCAGCCTCCACCGCCTAAATCCAAACCGCTATTTCCGTATCGGCTGTACCTCATCGCCTTCATAATCCTAACCTACACCCTCAGCATAACCCTCATAATCGCACTCCCCTGCACGCCCACCAACCCGTAAAACGGGTCTTGCCTCAACCAATGCAGACTCTGGCAGGCCATTTTCAACATCCTTACTGATGCTGCTATACTTACTCTTCCCGTGTATATGTTGAATCAATTGCAGTTGCCATTGAGACAGAAGTTGGCTATTGGGTCGATTTTTTCCACGGGGATTTTGTGAGTTGTGCTCTTTCTTGTCTATTCTTGTCTAATGGAGTTGGGGTTGAGGATTTGGATTCTTGGGGATGGTTGTTGACTGGTGGGTTTTGGCTGGTAGTGTGATTATTATTTGTATCGTGCGCATAACGTATATTATGGCTTTGCAAGATAATCCGGATGTGCTATACACACAAGGCAGAGCTGCAGTATGGTCGTACGTACCCCTTTCTATACCTTCCCCCCATCATATCCCTATCCCTATTATATCCCCATTACACCCCCCTTCCCAATATATCACCATCCTCCTCCCTCCCCCTCAGCAAAAAAATAAACCCAACTAACCCACCCCTTCCTTCCCCCCTCCAGATCCGTAGAAATCAACATCGGCATCCTCTGCAACACGCTCGTCGTACTCCGGCCCTTCATCCGACAATATTTCCCCGGTGTCTTCTCCTCTCATATAATTTCTGACGACCATCCTCATCAACATAATCGCATGCCCGACCCCGAAGCCAACCTCAAATCCGGACAGAGGAGAATTAAGAAATTGAAGAAAGGCGATCCCTTGTATCTTTCGACTTTGGGCTCGGGGATGGATGGGGTGGATGGAATTGGAATGGATGGGGTGGATGGAGTTGGAATAGATAGAATAGATAAACAAACAGGCATACTGCGGGAGTATGAAGTAGAAGTAGAGAGTTGTGGGGGCGATGGGGTTAGTGATGAAGTTAATGATAGCGATGGTGGGAGAGTGATGGAAGGAGAAATAAGACGAGAACAAGATACAGAGAGTACGGAAGATATGATTGAGCGAGTGGGAAAATCTAGGGGGTTGCGAGTGGTAGATGATGATAAAGTTTTGGATAATTGGTGGGGGGTTGAGTTGAAGACTTCCTCGCAAGAATTGTATCGTCTGGGGAGAAGTCGGGAGGTTGATCTTGCTTTTGCAGATTGCGGATGGGTGTTGTGATGATTTCGCTCGTGGTGGTCTCTCTAATGAAGAAGATTGTCGCACAGCTAGGCTACCCAGGGAGAATAGGGGGGGTTCAAAAAGTGTTTAAGAAATGAAGGTTATAGAGTGTGAGGCAATTGTTTGAGAAGGGCTGGGATATATATACCCTGTAAGAAAATGGATCGGATCTAAAGACTATTAGATATTTAGTTGATCAGTAACGACACAGAGAAACAACGATTAGATTCCAAATTTCAAACAACATCTGTGAGGTCAATCCACCAGCCTAGTGATCATAAACTGATTATCGCTACTTTCGTTCTCAAGTAGATTGCATATATTCCACTCACACTGAGCCAATGTCCCCTCCCGAAAATCATAACTCATCTTCCTCAAAAATTCACATCACTCAACCAACCCCAGCCTTCCTCAACATCGGTCGTGCGAGTACCCCGATCAAAACCATTCGGTGGCAGCTCCGGTTGTAAACGGTTATGATTTCCTTCCCCAGGCCCACTTGCTTCTCTGTCATCGATGGTAATAATGATTGCCATCATAGAGGGTTGATTAGCGGAACCGGAATCTGCATGAAAAACATCATGCGAAAGTGTAAACGCCAGAAAAGGTTCCACTTGTGCTTCATTGAGTATGACTGTTTTCTCCACTCGTGAATACGAATTCGAATTGCAGTAGTATTCTCCAGGTGATATCGTGATGATTCCGACGCAAGGAATCACAATATTTGCCAAGGGATTACCATTCTCAAATGTATGCGTCCGCCCCTTCGGCGGGCAATCGCTATTCCCCAACAACATCAGCGTTTCTAGTCCCTGAACCGCTTGGCTCGCAATCAAATTGTTAACCGTACTACTCGTTTGTCTGAGTGTTGCAATCGTTATACCTATCAAAACTCTATCGTTATCCTGGCTTATCCCTCCCTGATGTTGTGGGGTGGGACTTCCATAGCCCAATAAACCGAGAATCAATAAGGCGGAACAGACGAATGCTTGTTGGTCTAGCAATCTCACCATACTAAAGGCGGCAAACGTATCAGAACGCATGGTATGATATAGCTTCAAAAGATTTCGACAAGCGGCTAAGCATGCGATGCGATGGGTTTCGAGTCGGGCATCTTTGATTGCATGTATCATGAGAGGCATGTGGAGAAGAACTGATAGTTGATAGAACCAACATTGAGCAGTTATTTGCTCGAGATACTCCTCGCGGGTGATCTTTCCTTTTGCCAATGAAACTGGTGCGTTCCAAAATGATTCATCAAGATTTTCCGTGGTGACTTCGAGTCCTTTCTGGATTTCTGATGTGCATGACATTGAGAGACTTAAGCCTCTTTGATTTCTACGGATGACTTTCGCGGATAGAAGGATGATATTGTGGTGGAATAATGATGTAGTGTTGTGCTGGCTTTGAATTATTGGAATGGTACGTCCGTCTGCTGCATAAGGGAGGCCGAGGATAAGAGATAGGTAGACATCGCCGGCACATAATGATAGCCATGATTGATTTCGGTGAAGTCTTTGGACCTCGGTTTCGTTTTCGGAGAGGCGATTTGGACGATGGTGTCCAAGAAGCTTACTGTAGGCTATTGCTTGGTGGGTGAGTACCCAGCACTTTCTGTTGAGGCCAAGATTCACTGGTGATAGTTAGTATTGCATGTTTTTAGTGACACAAAAGGAGATAAAAAGCTACTACAAGGTAAACAATAGGAGCGATATCCATATGAAAACGTCGAGTGAGCATTCAGCCTAGGTTGCCAATGCTTGGGAATGTTGTCAAGATTCAGAAAGACCTCGACAATTTGTGGATGTGTATTCCCATAAAAGGTCAATGTCCAGATGATTTTAGTATACCAAATGGGTTCACTATTGGATTGCAGTCCACATTATTGAAAAACCAGTGATATATCGAAACAATAGTGTATGAAAGCACAATTCCCGATTCACTTACAATAAATCTTAGCCGAGAACACTATTGCATCAATGCCCTCCTCGGTACTCGCATAATCCGAATCATCTATAACGAGGCGATTCACTTTTTCAAAGTACTCTTGGAAAAGTGCTCCTGGTAAGCCAGGAAGTTGACGGATGATGTACTGATGAACTCTAGTGTCTAACTGTTGAAGACACACAGCGATACAAAGTATTGCTATGCCAATGATCGAAGGATCGTGAGATTCGAATGCCCAATGGACAAAGTCTGGTAATGTGGAGGTATTTTTGTCGGCCATCGATGCTGGTAGCCATGAGCCAAGAGGGTTCCTTAAATGAAATTCAGTAACGGTAATCTGCACATGAACAAGAAGCTTACCATGTGTGCCACCATGAACAGGTGGCGATAATTATCATATCACGAAGCTCCGTGGTAATCAGATCTAAAAGAAGCGCTTCGCGAGTGCGAATGCGTTTTGGCAGTGTTATTGGATCCTCAAGGGTATTCTCGTCAACCAAAGCGTAAGCGTCAAATGATGGGATAGTAGAGACCGGTGTAAGGATTCCACCAATCGATGACGGCGGGGACTCGCGTCTGATTTCATCTGGCTGGCCATCTTTTCGATCAACAATCAAGCTACCAGAGGCTTGATCAATAGTGAAATTGTTAGCCTTTATACTTAAAGCGTGATACAAGGCCTCTATCTTTGTGAGCCTATTACAAGTATCGGCCAGAGCCAGCTCTCGTTTTTGCTCTATACGTCTTTGCTCTTCTTGTCTTTTTTCTTCTCGTTCTTGCTCTGTATACATTTCCTGTGTAAGTCTTTCCTCTTGTCTTTCCTCTAGACGTTTCATCTCTTCTCTTATCTCTTCTCGTATCTTCTCCTCTCTTCGTCGTTGCTCTTGTCTTTTCGCTTCTCGCCTTTGTTCTTTATATCTTTCTTGCTTAGATTTTTCCTCTGCACATCTTATATTTTTTTCTGCATCTTTTCGCATCTGCTTCAATACTCGTTGTTGCTCTGAACAATTTTGGCCTTTCATTTCACAATTCCTACATATTGTGGATTCTAGGGCAAAATAGCATGAAATATTTCCCTCCCTGCATTCATAGCACCTGGCCTTTCCTTCTCGTTTTGCTAGGGGATATGGCTGGGGTGGCATCTTGATGAGGTCAATTAGTTTCGCGATCTCAATTTCGTCCGATTATTCAACCATATAGTTCAAAGTAAAATCTTTGTACAGTACTGTACTTTGGCATCGGTGGATTCGTACAAGTACGGAGGGAGGTAGAAGTAGTCAGAGCGGTCAATATACACAGCTAACCTAGTTGAGACTAGACCATAATTGACCTTCTTCTCTTCTTCCTAAGCCTTGGCGGTCGGCAACTTCGTCCCATATTTAGTCCGATCTTTCGTCTAATTGGCTCCGGTTCTTACCTAAGCAAGCACCTTCTCTGACCTGAAGCATCCCATCCATCTCAATTCCCTCTTCAAATAATCCATCCGCATTGTCGTCCACTTGTTAAAGTCGTTTCGTAAGTCATGTTCTTGTATATGTTGTGCGCAATAATAAAGTTACACAATGACGCAAGTGTGTCATTGGCATCCTCGGACCTCCGTCTGTGCCTTATATACCGGTAGATAACAATGCATCTCTCTCAGTCTTTTCACTCTAATTTTCCCTTTTCATTTGCATCTTATCAATCTCTCTACAAGTCATAAAGACTGGAAAGCGATTCGAAACATATAATAAAGTTCTTAATTCCCTATATTTTCAATCCAGTCAAAACAAAATGGGTTGGCTTACCTCGTTTCTCTACTCCCAATTCTTTGTCACACTGCCCCTCCCTACCCATGACTTCACGGACCAAACTATCATCGTAACCGGTTCCAACACTGGTCTTGGTCTCGAAGCAGCTCGACATCTTTCCCGCCTCAACACAAGTCTCCTTATCCTCGCTGTCCGAAACCAAGCCAAAGGAAAAGCAGCAAAGCAATCCATTCTCGCTAGTACAGGTCGACCCGAGTCTAGTATCGAGGTATGGGATCTTGACATGCAATCATATGAATCCATCAAAGAATTTTGCACAAGAGTCAACACACTTCATCGACTCGATGCTGTGCTTGCAAATGCAGGTATTGTGACCAATCATTTCAATCTGGTAGGAGGATATGAATCTATCATTACGACAAATATCATTGGAACTTTCCTTCTTGCTTTTGGGTTACTACCGAAGCTGAAACAATCGGCGGAGGAATATAAGATGCAACCTAGACTTTCTATTGTGGCTTCTGATTTGCATTTTATTGCCAAATTCGCCGAAGGTCAAGAGGAAGATATCTTCGCAGCATTGAATAATGAGAAGTCGGAATTAGGTCTAGAAAGGTCAGATATCTTTACAAACTGACGCCCGATCCTTTCTTCCCTATACTTACATTCACCAGATATGCTGCATCGAAATTAATTCAAGTCTACGGCGTACGCGAACTAGCTCACCTTCTAACCCGTGAAGCAGACTCGGTATCACCGACTGTCATCGTCAACTGCATGACACCCGGTTATTGTCAGTCAGACTTTCACCGCGAAGATGTAGGTTTTGAGTGGTTGAAAAGATGGATCTTGAGCACAATATTCGCACGCACTACTGAAGTTGGGAGTAGAGCTTTGGTGGCTAGTATTGCTGCTGGTGAGGAAAGCCATGGGTCATATATGGCTGATTGTGTGGTTGCTGAGTATGTATTTTTGTCATGCCTTTTCTTATAGTGAGAGAACGATGTACTAATACAGATGATAGGCCAGGTCCATTGGTTCGAGGATCTGAGGGTATGAAGTTGCAGAAGAAGGTGTGGGATCAACTACTTCGGCAATTAGAGACTATTCAGCCTGGTATAACTTCCAGTGTTTGAGTTCGAAAAAGAAAAGAAGAAAAAGCATGAAAATGTTGGGTGCTTCGCGTGAAGAGATAGCTTTTGGAAATTCTACCGCTGCTGGTTCCGGATTGATCCAGTGATTGGATCACGTTCTTGAAATTTTTATGACCAAAAAGTCGACAAGGAAATGGAGTGTATCCTGAAGAATGGACTTGTATGTAATTTGAGGAAACATGTCCTTAAGTCCTTGCCTTGATATCGCAATTATCTATCAGTCACTACTAGTATACGTGGAAGCTGGGGTACAAGTTTCTGCAATGTAAACATACCAATTAGCTCCATATTTTCTTCCATCAATGTGACACCAAGTTATAAGACATTTGTTTTGTACTGTATTATCAGGATTATTTATTACAATAACTTTCAGCAATAATGTATACACAGCAATCATTCCTCTATGAAAGAAACTCAAATCAAATAAAAAAAAACATCTCCCTTGAAACAATTGCCATCCACCTCAACTCAATCATCCCATTAATCCACCCACTCCATAATTACCCCAGATCCCTTCTCATCTACCGACGCTAAGTGGGTACACTCACCCTAAAAGTGGATCTCATCTCAAACCAATCAATCAATCCCACACCCAATTCATTGCGCTACCCCAGGTATTCCTCACCTTTGTGGCGCCACTAGCGAATTCTTGATAGGTGCTAGTGAATGAGTTACCCCGCACGGTGGACCAGTCAAATGAGCAGTTACTGCATCGGGATATAGGTGTTGGTGTTTCGATTAGGCTGAGCTGATTTGGAAGGGGGTTACTTATGAGGTGATTATCTTGATTTGGATTTCTTTCTTGTTACTTGTACAATACATTACAAGACAATACATTGCGATACATCACGATACAATAAATACTTGATCAATACATCAACTTTCATCAAGAGTTCCTTCCAAACTCTAAGATACAGATACCGGTTTCATCACTTGAAGATCAGATATCAACCCGAGATATAACAAAGAAACATCGTCGCAAACAAGATACCTACCTACTCTACTCAACACTATTACGAGAAGAAATCAGGCATCATGGTTGCTGTTACTGGTATTGTTACTGCTGGTGGTAAGTTGAGATTTCTTTGCAGTTTATGTTTTATATTGATATGTCTTGTTGTCTTGTTTGAGTTTTGGGTTGTGGTTGTGTTACGCCGTATGGCTTTACTGTAATACCTATTCATTTCATCACCCTTTTCTCTTTTCGCTCTCTAATATTTGAATCTATCACCTCATCACTTCATCACTTTAATACTTCATCACTTCATCATCACCCCGTCACTTCATCACTTCATCACTTCATCACTTCATCACTCCACACCATTCCACCCCTCAACCCCCACCCACCATTTCATCCCCACAACACAAACACAAACACCCCAGCTAACCCCTTCTCCTCTCCACTAGCCTCAGCCCTCGGTCTAGCCGCCGCCATCGCATCCATGCATCTCCCCACCAAAACCTACCGCGTCGAACGCAAACGACGTCTTTCCCAACCCGCTGATCAAGAACAGGGTGACATGGCTCGTCTTGCGTTGCAGAAAACTAATTCGGCGGGTTCGATCACTGAGAAGGTCACTACGAAGAGTGGGTTTCAACCGGGAAAGAAGGTTTTGGGGAAGGTTAAGGAGTAGGATGGTGTGGTGAGATGAGGTGGGGATGTGAAGGGGTAGGAAAGGGAAGGAAAGGAAAGGGGAAGGGGTGTTATGGATTTATGATGGATGGATTATGATAAGATTTATGGATGGATTATGGAACACGGTTATGGACCACAGGCAGGAACGGCCAATCGGATACGCTACACCACGCACTAGCAATGAAATTATGAAATTACGAAACAAAGAGTAACGAAGCTGACTCGAAAGGAATTGGGAATAGGCGATGGGGTTTTCACTTTTCCTAATGTTACTTCTCTTTTCTCTAGGGTTACAAGCTCACAATACCATTCATTTACACATGAGAAGTTGGCAAAAATCTAGAAATAGCTAGATTTCGTGGGAAGTGGTCGGACTTAGGTATGATTCGCTCTTTGGGATTGGATTGGGATGGGATATGAGAATAAAATGAAATGAGATATATACATTCATTCATCTCATTGATGATTGATTCAATATACTCGAGTAGAGGATTTGATTTCATACATTGTGAATTTTGATTTCTGAATAAGAACAAGTACTCGTACTCAGTAAGATTATAGTACGGTTGCGAAATGAAGTCTGGTCAATATTAATCGCTGGAAGATGGAGTGATGATGATATGTGATATCTGGAATGCAGATATGGAAATGGAATGTGAGAAAATATTTCTAAGACATCATTACAATCTTTGTAATATCGATATTATATGTGTTCTTGTATTATTGCGAGTAACTAGAGACAGCGAGATGATGAGATGGTATTATACACAGTAAACGACAATAGCCAATTGTATATTGACATTAACAAAAGATATTATTCGTAGCTCAATCTATCTATTCTATAGCAGTAACAATTTAACAAATGATATTGATAATAATTACTAATAGAAGCTTGTTTGTCAATTTTCTATCAATTTTCTATTCTATCTCTCTCCTTCTACTCGAGTATACATTCTTGATAAGCGTTTAACAGATTATGAAAGTAGCATATACTAGTAAATAATATTATATATACTCGAGTATTGCAATGTTCTATTTGCCTCCTTTATATTGCTTCGACGAGGATAGAGATATAGATTCTTGGAGAGGAGAGGGGTTTATATAATCTTAGGATTTGGAATGCGGGATGAGGAATGTGGGATGCGGGGTGCGAAGCGAGTTGTATGGATATTAGTATAGATATATGAATAGGGGGCGGGAATGCGAATAGGCGGACAGACGAAGATCAAGGGGTAAAATAAGGTGAATGCGGTTTTGTGATATGTTACTGATGTAAATTGTTAAATTGTTAGTATAGCGCCGCTGTAGGCACTTCTTCGAATCTAAGCCATACTGAACCTACTCGAGTATTTAAAAACCCGTTTCCTCGGATAAAATCTTTGAAAGTTCAATGCGTCCTTTTACATCAGGATAGAAGAAGATAGTAAGCTATGGGAGAGCGAGATTTTGTGTTTTGTGTTTGCGGCTTGGGGTGTGCGGTGAGGGAGGGAGAGGAGTGGTGGTGAAAGAAGTAGGGTAATGTGATGAGTATTGAATAGTAAGATCAAACGACAATTATTAGCTTTTCCAGACAAAAATCACAACAAGGTTTTCCAGAATATCAAGAAACGACGACAATCGAAACTGATTATTTTGCATTCTTATAACAAACAATCCCAGGTCTCGAACCACTGGCAAGATCCCTGGGAATATCATACTATGACTTGTAAGACAGCACTCTCAGAACATATAATATATCTAATGATGTTACAGTAAAGGATACTCCAAATCAAATAAAAATTAAATGTTTGATATAACGGAAGTTTTTATTATATTTATAGATATAGAACTCTAAGTTGATTCTAATAATAAAATAGAAAGTAGAAGATATTATAGTAAAAATAAAAAAGTCTACTAGTAAGAGCTGAAATGCTGTTATAAGATAACAATAATATGCAATATAGAATATTTCCTTACCTCTATATGCCAAGCAGTTAAGACCAATATCTATCAAAGTTAGACTTGCTAAAACACTTAAGTACATTACTGTATATCATTATGATATTGAGAAAGTTTTAATAAAGATGTATTCAGGATGCTCAAAGTAGGCATATACAATCTTCCCACACTATTATAACAATGAGAATATAATAGGTGAGAAACATAAAGATGAAACGATGTCTTCTTTTATTTTCCCTGATACTTCAGATCCTCCACACAAGCTCGGCATGATACTAGTATTCTCGTAGCTGGTGTAATATCCTTCCGACTATAATATATGATTTGAGTATGACTCAGTTCCTGTAGACTTGGTCTTGGCCTATATTCATCCCGCTGCTGCTTACTTTCAGAAGCTAGAGTTCGAAGAATGAATTTATAATACTCGTAGAGAGTTTGGAGTACGAGGTGGGGTCTCGGTAAATGTGGGATTCATTATGAGTGATTTGTCTATTCCATAAGCTCTTGAGTATTGAGGGATAGAGTGGAGATGTAGTATGGTAGTAGTATTCACCTTTATGTATATGTACGGGTCCTCAGACTAAGCTTTCATCCACTTCATAGCCTAAAGGATTATTTGCCACGACTGTTAAGAAAACATCTATGTCGCAAAATGACGTCACTCCTCCGAGTAGCTAGTCAGGCTATATAATATATAAAGTACGATATGACTAGTTACAATATACATCCACTCCGTATCCTCCTAGATTTCCTCCAAGTCAATGGAAAATCTGCTCGTGGTCATTCTTGTAAGGTTGCTGCAGGAGACCTGGAGTTCGAAAGTCTAACCTATATATAGTTCAATCGTCGAAAGAACCGAGAGTCTCGAATATTTGTCTTCGTTGAGATTGGTGGTAGTTAGTTTTGACAATAATAGGTACTGTTCATAAACTGCTGAAGAAGAAACGATAACAAAATGTATGCAATTTCGTTGATACTCACTGAGGGATATCTGGGATTCCTATAACTCACATCTGTATGTACTACTCATGAAAAAAATCCCCTTCAGCGATGTCTTGGTACCTAAACACATATATATGTTTCTGTAACTAGGGTTCCAAATTTGCCTTTATCTATGTATATGGAGTTGAGGATCAGGAGGAGAGTTCTGAATACATGATTCACTACTAATGTGATGTACTTCATCGCGAAAACGACTATGATGTTATTCACTTCCTCAAATCAATCTAATATTGATAAAGTATACCGGGATTATTATACAAGGATGGTATATATAGCTCTGCAAGCTCAGCCCAATGCTCTCTACCACTTTTCTTTTAAGACTGAGCTACCAATCGCCATATTGTAGATTCCTACAAGCTTGGCTCTAATACTAGGACTCGTTATTCCAAATATTGAACCAAAAGTCTGCTGTATTATCATAGTTTTCTCAGACGATAGGAATAACAAAAATGCGTACTACGACAGAGGTACCAACAATATATAAAAGACAACGAATATACACCTTTGTAACTATGCACCCAATCCTAGTGTTTTCGCCTCCTCTACTTCAGCTAAAAAGGAAACAAATACAGAGTAAAATAGTGAAATACTGTAAATCTAGTCTCTAATGACCTACAACGTAGACACAACATCCCAAATATGTATACACCAGTGTTTCAAAAACTGGTAGGTGTAAAAGCTCACAATATATCAAACGCATCCACGCTTCACTAACGATGGTAGATCACTTCTGAAGAGACTTTTGACTTCTTTTATTCTGATGAAAGAAAAATATGAGAGAGTAGATCATTCACTAATATGATTTTTAGGATATGTTAAGCAGTTCGGCTAAAAGTGGGATAGAGGGGTCAAGTCACGTCTCAAAACATACACGACTTTTAGGAGATGTAAATGAGTGAATTATATATTCCATTGAGCCTGGGCCCGAGACATGAAACTTCGCCCGCTATTTAAAAATCGGTAAGAGCTATAATGTACAAACTGATGGAAAGTATCGAGACCACGATGTGAGAACGTATTGTAAGATAAGACGAAAATTTTCGAGCAACCGATGAGATTTGAGAATTTCTGGGATAGATTTCTGATATCGTCTTATATTTGCTTCCAGATAAAAGTTTCAAGTGACGGCTGGTGGATAAAAAACTGTAAATAATGACACTAACTTCTATCCATTACGTGACAGTGACACAGCGGGACAAAAGACAACAAACTTACATACATCCTTCTCATCCCTAGCTTAAACTTCCAAACTCACAATCAATAGCCTACAACACGAAATGTTTTGAGACATATCTCGATATATTTCCTGAAACCTCCATTTGCTCTGGATGTGCGTTTAGTAACCTATGTATCTATCGTGAATAGAAAAGAATCGCGTACTTTATACTCGTAGAGATGGGCGACTAGTTCGGATTCGTATCGATTCTACTAGGAGAAAATTAATATATTATATCTCCGTTATAAACTCTACATACCTTGTCACTGTCAAATATCCTCTATTTCAGTCCCGCCGACCCGTTTTCTCAAGATCTTCATAGCTCAGAAGTCCTGTACGATTGATGATGGGTGGACGATAAACGGATCTGTGTATTCTGCAAAGTGGTCGCTTGTCATTAGATCAAGCAGAGATCCAGGTATTTTTTAGGTTTGATGCAGTGGGAGTTTCGTCCGAAAGCTTTGAAATGCTGTTGTCAATTGCTAATTGTGAATGTTATTCACAGAAGAATTTCTGTAGATGGTAGGTTATTGAGATGATTAAAAATAACTTATCAGCGAGTACCCATAATGAGAACAAATAATCCAGAGAAGGAGTATATATCGGAAGCCAAGTCTACACCTTTTTCCATCGCCTAGATCCACGATCTCTCACTTTGGGATGTAATTGTAGAGAAATGGACGAGAAAACATATAGATTTCAGTCAGGGGATGATGGTATCGATATTCAATGGCCTATACATATGCTTAGTAGACTTTATCCTGGTGATATTACTCCCAGTTCATGGACCCGGATCACATCCGAATGAGCTCACACACACCTAAATAGTCTTCATATCATTCTTTGAACTCAATACTCTTGATATCATCCATGTTTACGCTCATCCAATACGGAAAGAATTAAATCTCACCAAAGCAGCAGGAATTAGGTGATATAAAGCCAGTGCCTCAGTTAAGCTCTTAATTTCCTCAAGGGTTCTCTCTATACCAAGACAAGCAACATTAGTCTTCGAATGAACTACTCGAGTAGTAAAAGTTTGGACGATGTTCTCGTTAGAAATTCGAAGCCGGATATGAAAATCTTCGAGGTCAATATCATCCTAATTCCCCAAGCCTTCAGATCCATCACCGCTATGACCTTTTTGGTTTCACACTGTTACGAATCGGATATCTTATCCAGACTCAACTTCAGCTGACAACAGAAAGGAGGCTCAACAACAAAAATGCAAACACGGAGTATGCCTAGACTCGAGACTCAAGACGACGACCTTCCCTAGTCTCAAACGGTGGAACTTGTAAAGAATAATCTTACACCACGTTAGCGTTGTCTCTCCCATGTTGTAGAAATGGCTCAAAATAAGGCAGCTATCATCTGCCACTGGCACTTCAACCCTATATATATTCGCGGTCAGCTTCAATGAAAGGAGCTCAAGGCAAATAATTTTCAGGTTTAATTGAATACCGGCAGGTTATGATGCAATTTTGACCACTCTGCACGGTCCTTGGGCTTTTGTTTTCATATTTCAGTGCATAAAGGACCTAATATACTCATATAAAGTCAATACTTCGGTCCAGTTTCTTTTTCATCCACCCATATTACGACTTAGAGCATCTCATATTAAGAGCTTTGAACACAATATATGCAAAGCCGAAGATCCAAGTTTCGAGAATCAAGTTGGGACGACAATCACTTCTACAAACTTTCGAAAGTGTATGTGCCAGTGTTAGCAGTTTCACAGTTTCAAATTACAATCATTCTAATAAACTATCTGATCCGAACTTCATATTAAGTGACGATACGAATGAAAAAACGACGACGCTTATACACTAGGAGTAGTGGTATTACAGTATCCCCCTAGACCGGAGATATAAACAACGCATATACACAAGATCTGGGAACACCCTCTCCTTCCATCTGATGTGTCTTCTGTAGCGTTGACACAGAGATACAGTTTGAAGGAAGAGGGCAACGAGGAAAATATATGACTCCATCGTTGATACTAGATCAGAATACACTATTTGTATTCTCCAAGACATTATTACTCTGGAGACCCCGCTATTGCGGGGTTATCTGTGTTCGTGGAAATGTTATTCACCAGAATAAGGATATTAGAACGATGTGGACTTTAAACTTGAGTCTGCAGTGAATGCCACATACCATTTCCCTCTTTATTCTCTTAAATCCTGACGTCCGGCACAACCCAACAACTAGCCGATATAAAAGCAATGCATCGCTCTAACTCCATATTCCTATTCAAATCACCCTTACCGCTTACAGAAGAGCAACGTTTCGCACTGCTGTATTGAGAGTCTTGAAACTTATTTCCGCACCTGCGCTAAATATCTCTTAATAGTATTAACGAATAATCAACGGTATCAAGAATACAAACAGACAACAATAATAATCTTCCAACAAACATAGCATTGTATTTCTATCGACAATAAATAAAACAGCTTATCATCTGAACTCCAACTCCAAGACCACAATACCTACACCAAATATCAACTTGTGGCAAGCATTCCCGCTATAATTTACCAGAGATCTCCAACAATGCTACATCCTTAGCTCTCTCTTGCTTCAAGTAGTTACCAACGTAGATGTCATAGATGAATTCGAAGAGACTTAAACTTATATAATAACCTGTAGACTGTAGCTAGTCACCCGGACATCTAGTCTCCGGAAACCGCTTACGTTACATGTACTAGTAAACTCCTAATAAACTCCCCTCCCTCCCAATCTGCGATTCATTTCAGACATGACGATTCACTTACGAGTAAATATCGGTACTATAATCCACAGCCACACATAAAAAAATTCCGAAGATATAAAAGCTGTGCGAGGGAGATGCTTGATTTAATATTAATAACCGCAAAAGCGTATTTCGAGGGTATGGTCACCACCAGTTAGAAATATCGTGATATCTTTGTGCCACACTATATAATCCGTACTTCGGCTTGGAATACTCGAGTATAGTAATCTTGATGAATGATGTTTTGCTGAATAAATATAGATGTGTATATAAATACAAACATTTGTTGTTGAAGTAATTTTCCTACTACTCAAGTAGTATGTGAGATGGAAAAAATAGTACACAGCAATGAATAATAATGAAATCGAAGGATATAATTGTAATAACGAAAGGAATTTGCAGACAAAAAGTAACACATATACTCAGTATAAACACCAACGACGGCAACCTCAAATTTAAGAATTTGAAAGCAGAGTTCGATTCCTATCTATCTCATTTGATATATTATACCCAAGATTAAAAGACAAGGGGCTTCTCCATTGAAAGCCTCGAAATCTATTGAAAACAGAAGTTGATGAAAAACGTGAGACGAGGAAAGTTTCTGTGGGTTTTATAGGTGGTGGTTAGTTGGTAGTTGGCTGAGATATCATTCTTTGAGTGGCATTCCATACTAAGATTGTAATCATCGGCTTTGAGTATCTACTCGAGTATCCCTCGATCATTAAATCGTTATATTGATATGTTTAGCCTTTACTCACCAACACCCGAGCCTTGCTTTTTTACTAGTATCAGCACTCTTATTCCACCAGACGTAGGACTCAGATCTACCTTCCCACCATCCTTCGTTTCGAAACAACAGAAATGGACATAAGTAACAGTCAATCAAAACTAGAAACCCATCACATCACTTCCTAGCCACACATCCCTTTACTCAAATTTCGCTCGAACCTTGAGTCTTGAATCTGTAAATTTTCTTTTGCGCGGAATACACTAATTATACTATATACAGCCCCAATTAAGCAATCATATCATGACAACCATGAAAATCATCATTTCTCTTCGTGAAGAACGAACGGTAGGTATCTACTAGTAGGGAAAAATCGGTATCTCAAACGCATATCCATGACTGCATATGCAAGTTGAACCAAAGATTCCAATCATCGGAATCATCCACTCGGGCCTCGAACCCTTTCTCGAAACAGGGTATACTATACCCATCACTCCCAATTCCAATTAAGTTTCATATCATATCCAATCAATCTCGACCAATCTTTCACAACTAGTGAGAATCATCTCATCCCATCCCCCAACATACCCATCCCAAATTCTCAACACCCGCTCAAAGCAGCAGCGCTGCCGTACTATCCTTTAAAATCTGCGCCACATTCAACGCCAAACTCAAATTATTACTCGCCAATGCCTTCTCATAATACACCAAATGTTGTCCTTTATAAATCGCACTCTGACCAATAATGCTCAACTGCACCAGTCCCGTCTTAGTATCCATACTACCGACCACTTTTGTCTGATCCATCGTTCCTATCATCGGTAATGTATTGTTTCCTGGTACTAGCGTCATATTTTCTATCGTGGTATTTCCAACCACGCCGGCTGAGGTACTGAGTAGCATGGTGACGTCGCCCATCACGATGGTCATATCGGAGGGATTGGGAATGTATGCGTAACCGGAAAGATTTGGACCGGTGAGGGCGGTGAGGTTGACGCGGACGCCGGTTACGTTGAATCCTTTGAGTCCGTTGAGTCCTTTATATGTACTCTCGTGTTTGTAGTCTATAGTGATGACGGGTAATGCACCCTCGTGTAGTTTGGTTCTTCCAACGAGTGCGGTGGTTACGTATTCGTTGGTGATGACTGCAGTGGTGTAATCGCTGAGCGCGTCGATGTCAACGATGTTGACGAGTTGATTTTCGACGGAGACGGTGGATTTGGGATGTAAAGCGTGGATTTGGGGGAGGGGGATAATGACCATGGGGGTGGATGCATATTGACCGTTTGTGACTAGATAGGAAGAGGCGTTGAAGGGATCGAAAGTAGGTGTGTACATTGAGGGGCTGTGAAGTATACCCACTTGGCTGAGGACAATAGTGTTTGGGGTTGGATCGGTAAAATTAAGTTGAGTGATTTCGAGGGAGGCATCGTTAACTCCATCTTGGGCAATTTTAGGCATGGCCACGTAAACACTGTTTTTGTCAGTATAGGGCACAGAAATGAATATCTACTTGACTTCTAGAAGGACCTTACAGGCATAATGCAATAATGAGGAACGATATGCAGAAAATGATAAGATGAAGCCACCAAAATCGAGCGCAATGTCTCTTTACTTTGCCACCAAACGATTTCTTCGCCGGGGCAGACGTTTCATACTGATCAACCTCCTCTCGCTCGACTTTTTTATCGGAATCATCTAGATTTCCCGTCATTTTGTCGTTTTTCAATGACTGATTGTGCGAATATTGGTGCTGTGTTTATTTATTCCGGGGACAAAGTTTTCGGAGTTATTTCCGCCTACCTCATGAACTTTATAAAAATATTTAGAAAAATACAGTCAATTAATAGATATCATCAGATGACGTCGCATTACCTCTAAACAAAGATATATTTTGTAATGGACGATGACGAAGGTCAAGAAGTATCGAACAAAGAAAACTGCGGAACTTCCAACACTTCTATATATCAAAAATCAACTGTGGGGAAGTAAGGAAACTAATGATTGCACTAGACAAGTACGATATGTCAATAAAGGCAACAAGTGAGGGCTTGGATCATCTTTTGATCCCCTTATAGGGGATCATCTCCGATTAAAAGAGAAATGTCTCAAGCATGTGAGAAAACTGGAGCCAACATAGCTTACCTTAATCACATCGTTCGCAATGGCCGAAGGGACTTGTAACAACCCACTCCCCACAATTAACTGAACAACTATGTTAAGCTTTTTGGCGCAATTAAAGATACGGTACAATATACCAATCAAGAAGAAGATTGGTCGTGTGGTACAACATTCCTTCGGTCTTCTACCGAGAGAAGAATCTTGAAATCTCTAGGATCACAAGGTGCAACGCTGTAACCAGTTAAACTAGAGCAGTTGGTTGTACAATCAGATGTCAGATCTTACAGAGATTTCTTCGGTGTATTGGAGTATTGAGCCTCGGTGCACAGAACGGTGATATGCTTGTATTGGGTAAAGCTTGATATGTTAGTATGTTAGAATATTTCGATGTATTACCCCGGAATGTAACCTTACCCCTGCATCGGTGGCGATCAGTTCGCTAAGGGTGTAAAGAAGTAGCTGTGTTGGACGTATCATATCGTATAGATATCCAATACCAGTCCAACATTTGCTAGGAATTTTTTTTATTTAAATTAGCGCAATTTGCTTGGGTAACCAATACCAATTGCTCAAGAGTTGGGGAGAGTTATTGAACAAGTAGTTTGTCTTCTTAGAAGTAAGGATTAGTAAGCTCAGTCTAATAATAACATCTCAGCCAATCAAAATCCCAGAAATATATCAATACTGTGTAAATAGACCACGCTAGCCCCGCCACTTTGAGGTATTCGCTACCCCTGTCACGCGAGCTGGCCCATTGCTTAACAACTCACTCACCCACTACTGTCGGGATCAAAACTTTAATTTGGACTTGATTAACGCGCGAGTAATTCATCCGGTATGCAAATACAATATCCATTAGTCTGCCAGCGGCAAGTCCTGAGTCCAGAATACTCCAGTCGTCGGAGATTTCAGGTTTTGGAAAAGCGATATCCAATCTACCAGACACGTAGCTCAATGACCTTTTCCTTCAGGAATCTTAAAAGTCTTTTAACTCCTACAATCACCGACCGAATTGACGTTTCAAAATTCGGTGTTTTCACACGAATCGAACCATGAAGGATCGGACTGAATTTTAAATCGTGTCGTCTACCATAGTACCACTGCCCTTAAACAATGAAGCGCCGAATCAATGCGATGAGATACCACCCTCGTTGTCTATAATACATTACGACTCCGCAATCGAGTACCTGAGTTTATGCGAATCCGATAGGTCCAAAATACAAATGGAAGACAAGATATGAGACTGTGCGATATACAGCTTAGGAATTTGGAAGAATCCATAGGACCATAGAGTTGCCATGATAGTTTAGCGGGAATTACGGACAAGATTCTACAAACGCATATGAATGCATTTCTGCATGTTACATCGTGAGGTGTGATACATATGTACGGAGTACAGTACCAGTACAGTACAGGATAAGCAAGTCCGAAGCAGCGGCACCGGAAGCAATTAATCTGTGCAAATTCTAACAGTTGCCAACCAATCAAACAACGAGACTTCGCACTCTAACTATTTGCATACTACCCAAACCTTTGGAATCGAATCAGAAAATTTTGATTGTATAGGCTTATTGTCGGATCAAGTATGGAACGAAAGTCTGAATGGTTTGGTTTATGGTGGCATGAATCTTCATCGACATTTCGTTCGTTGAAATCTTTCAATATATCGTGTGGTTTGTGATATCAGGTAGCGTGGTAGCGTGAGGTAGCAGATTTAGGTAGGAGACATGTAAGGGTACTCACAAGATGTACGAGTAGGCCTAATAGTGGTATGATATCGAGGAATACTGACACTCTGTATTAAATAGAGCGAAGAACTTCGTTTGCTTGAGTCTATCTTGAGACTTCCAAAACGAAGACACGCGTAAAGGAAGATAGAGTGGCTTAGAGTTAGTTCTAGACGTCCATATTTCTCGCCGGTGTTCTTATAATGATTATTCGTCTAAATTGTAATGAATTCTGGCCCAGAACACTTGAGGCTCCAGTACAAACTCGATCTCGCTGTCAAGATTAGTGAGATGCTTGGTGCACGTGCTTGCCTCGAATAGCTTCGGAGTCAGCGCGACCTTACCTGGGTACGAATCTCTTCTAACTGATGTTTATTCGACTTGGATACATGCAAGAGAATCTAAAAATCTTGATCAATCGACGAAATTAGTTCATCCAAAACTCTAAGGCTTTTCATTACCGTCGACTTCACGTCCTCACGTGATGTTCACAAATGCCGTGTAGCCCACCCCATGCACGTCCCTCTTCGTTGTTCCTGGCTCGAAAATACATCTTCTAGTAAAAGTATCAGGACCATCTCAAATCATACCTCTCATCAGTTGAAGACCGACAGGAAGTGGTCTATAACCAGGACATCACAATCTTATTCCAAAGGACAATACAATACAAACACAGATCAACAGAGCGAGATAACATGTTTGTTGCATATCGGACTCTGGCCAGACCTAGGTCTCTAAAACGCCCCCTGAGTTTATCAGAAACCACCCTGAAAAAGAGGCATGGCCAGACTCCCCAACAGCAACCACAGCCTGCTTGGCCAAAATCTAGGTGCCAGACGCCCTTTGTTGATGCGACATGAACCACTCAGGCCAATAATGGCAAGCTAGTGGGCGGCGGTTCAAACTTATGGCTGACATCGGACATCGATCGCATCGACACCTTCAGAAAGTTTTGGCTTCAGTACATTTGTACAAGTGCTCGAGTAGTACAGTCAAATATCCAATTTACAGTGGCAATATGGAACAGCATATCGAGATCTTCAGGCCCAAAACAAAGATTATAGAGTTATTTTCAATTAGATCAGACCCTTAAAACAGCCAGTGAAATTCAATTCTACCGAAAAACCCCTATCACTCAGGGTGAAAGAAAAGATTTAACTCATACCACGTTCTTCCAACCTTCACAGCCTGGACTGCGCAGGAATTACACTTCTTCGTAATAAAAAATCACGACTTATGGATACCGCTTTGTCCACGCTCAAGTGTTTACTATCTGGAACTCATGTGCGTGATTCACTGGAAACAATTTTGATTTTTGTGCAATATGAGGCGGTAGTGCTTTATTGTTCGATAGACATTTATAAGCTCATACTGCTGTTACATATGCTGAGTCTGTGGGATGAATACTTATATGCTCACACTGCTTTGGTGAGAGCGAAGAAAAATCTCAGGAAAATCCACGTCGATGAAGTCCACGTCGATGACTATTTTTTTTACATTGGTCTTGCATCTGAAGTCAAATGCCGCGCTTGCGACCAGAAACTCGATTTCGCTTTGTTGAAAGCTATTACTATCGAAGTCGATAACGGCAAAATTGACCATGTCATCCTACAATTCTCGTTTAGACGGTTTATTTGCCAATACAACCGCTAAACAAAAAATACTGGGTACATGAGTATATGTATCGGGCAACCGAGAAGTGTTGATTTGGGTTCTGTAAGTGACCTAAAGACGAAGCTTAATCTCGTCGAAGTATCGGAAGGATTCTCGGAATGATTCTTTCATGATGTGACTCTGGGCAAGGATCCGCAGGACAATTCGGATTAGGAGCTTGAAGCACGATGCTTGAACTTATTGGTGACATTCTGAAGCATCGTTGTCGAGAGCTAATCATGGATTGCTGATTAATTGCAATCTTCATAGGATGATCAGACAGCTATGAGGTATGGTATTCCGCTGATGGCAATAAGGGCATTTCTGGAAAAACATCTACCTGGTGCAGCATGCCTTAAGGATATGGACCCTGGATGATTAGTATCGCGATGAGTCTTGTCCTTGATGAAAATCAGGCAGACAAATTGGAGAGCTTTCGGTATTCTGTCTCAAGTTTTGTCCTGGAACCTGACATTCGAATCATCCACCATGTTAGAGTTCGTTAACACAAATCGGGATCAACACAATCTCTTTCGCTTGTCAATACATAGTAATAATGTATTGTGGAAAATTTCTCCATAGGCCATTAAATCATACTTATTTATATTCGTTGTCTCCGATTCATTCCTCCGAGAGTTTCACGCCTACGATGTCCACGAGTCCTCCCTTGCTATTAATCAGTATACGTCTTCCGAGCTCGATCAACTCTTAGTGAAATAAAAATCATCGAATACACTTTTTTCATCCTTCGCAACAACATATTGTCCACTATGCCGCATCGCATCGCATCGCACCAAGTCAATACCTTTGGCTTTCATCCCCATGAAAATCAGACCGCATTCCAAATACCTGACAATAGCATCATATCAAAACAATGAGACCACAGCACAACCTGACCATCAGGAGATTATGCCGAACCTGCGCAAATACACAGGGCACATTTCCTCGCTCGAGATCGCCATATCAAACGACTGGTTTGAAAACCTCTCGGGTTCCATCATCGATAGATGGCACCCTATTATACGCTGTAATTCATTCTCTGCTTCTTCGAGTTGCATCAACCATTCTCGAAATACACTAGATACACAAAATTATTAGCCTGACTAACATATATCCTAGAATTGTTATTTTTTTGGCGAATACAAAATACGAGGGGTGGTAAATTGTCGGTAAATCAAGGTATACACGTACTGAATCTTTGACCGCTCAATTTCCCATCGACGCTGGCGCATAATGGCGAGATGAGCTCGTACTCTGAGGCGGTTGTATCGATTATCCATCAAGCAAAGCTCGAGAATGGCGATTCTTTGAGGATACGTGTGTTGGTTGAGAGTGTCGGCGAGGCGATATTTCTGCTGATGATCCATTTTTATGAAGATCTTCTTGATGACTCGAGTTTTGATAATGAGTTCTTGGTTAAAAGAAACGGTCTGATGAAGAGAATATCTTAATGAAATACCTACTCTGTGTTCCATGCGAGGGGGGTTACAGAATCTGCATCGAATATGAGAGGATTCAAGGTCTACCGAAAGTCAAGGTATCGAGGTTGGAAATCTTAATCTTATTTCTGATCAAGGAATCAATATGGCAGACTGGCAGTGTGATAGTGGCATTCTTTTGTTCACTAACCGATCATTGATCAATGATGAATACCAATAATCTGACTACCAGAAGTTATAACGAAAAGTGGAAGATAGTGGTATATAGGTGAATGAGAGAGTATAGAGAAGATGAGATTGCACTTCTTAGCTCGCCCAATAGCATAACACTATACAAAAAGCAAAAATTCTGGCCCCTTTTTCACATCTTTCTCGATGATACCAGAAAGTATGTGTGTTCGATACGAAAGGATTCTACGACTTCGACGATGGCCCTTAGCCCTTAGCCCTTGGGATATTATTCGGGTGATATTCACTCGATGCATATCAAGATCTGTTTTAACTTTTAGACGGCATTCATTTTGAGAATATCCTTTATGTTCAACGATTTCAAACCGAGTGATTTAATTTTACTTCCATACTAACGCGAACTACACCTCAGAGTATATGAGTACAACGATTGGTTTCGTGTTGTATTCTACCAAGATATCCCGCCTCTGGAAGATCATCAGCTGTTTATCTTTAGCATTCACTTCCTTTACTTCATTTCACCTTGATACATATACACATACTTGCTTCACTACACTACATTCACACAAACAAACATATTGTTTCTAACGCATACTTCATTTCTTCTCAAGTTTCAACCTACGATTACCGATGACCGAACCTCCTTTTCGAGACTCGACTCCCCAACCTTTTCTCTCTCCTCCAGGAGTCCCATTGCAATTGTAACTGATAGCACAAATTTACACCAATAACTTTTACCTCGCTCGAGCTCGAGCTGGAGCTTGAGTTTATATATACTATACACGCGTCTCAGAGAGATGAAAGGAAAGGAAAGGAAAGACTACAATTGACGATATGAACAATCGATGGAATTAATGATATGATTACTCAAGTATACATGGATTATATAACTCGAGTACAAAAGGGTACTATTTATCTATATGTTTAACAGTTTAAGATGGCGTTGAGATATGTTTGATACATATATACGAATACTGAGTACTGAGTATATACAGTATTGGAAGCGATTTACTGGAGTGAAATACTGATATACTGTAGATATTCGTGTGAAAATATATGTATTATATTATTCATATACTTGTACTATACACATACATAGCGAATTAATAGATATTATATTGCATTAAAATTTACTCGAGCACATCACAATTTACATCACATTTTCCATATCTCTCCACATCTCTCCAGAACTGCTACAAATTTTACTCTGCTCTACTCTACAAGCTCCACAAACGAATACTCGAGTACACGAAGTATAGTCTCAATTAATCATCTACCGGTCTACGAGTACTCAAGTATAAGTTAAGATATAAACGACACGCAGTATCATCTCTGCAAATGTAAGTTTGAGTTCTACTACTAGAGTGACGTCTAGCTGCCTCGGATGCCTCTATCTAATATCTATATTTGTTATGAATGATTCTTCTTCGTATCTTTATTGATTAGATAATGCTGGAATTGGATAGGAATAGGAATAGGAATAGGAATATTGGGATTTGGATTTCGATATGCAGTCGAAGTCTTATCTCGAATATAGTGTCAGTATGAGATAATAGTTTACTCTACTCTACTCTACTCTACTCTACTCATGTGATTCTGCTTTAGAGTTAAGATTCTTCAAGATGATTATGATATGACTAATGAGTAAGGTTACTAGAGTGGCTAATCAGTCAGTCAGTCAGCTAATTATCAGCTAACTCTCAATTCCTAGCTGACTCGATGATGATATATCGTCGTCGTCGTTGACTCGCTGATTTTACTGAGTAACTGCTGATCAGCTAATATATGATTTTATTTAATGATAAAATACTATATTATATACTATAATACCTTTTCTTACTCTTTATCTTCTTCTCCCTCCCTCTCCTAACACTTCTCCTCCTCCTCTTCTCCTCCTTTCACTCTCCTCTCCCTTCTCCTCTCCTCTCCTCTCCCTTCCCCCTTTCTCCATCCAGCTTCCCCTCTCCTTCTTCTTCCACTCTCTTCCTCTTTCCACTCTCCTCTCTCTTACCCCAACCATCTTCCCCCATCTCCTATTATAATTCAAAGATTTCGAGAATATCTTCAAATATATACAAAATACCTTCAAATCACCTCAAATCTACTCCAAAATCAATAAATTCTCGAATCCTTTAAGCTAATAGACTAAGTATCAGCTAAATTATTATTTAGCTGATTCGCTAATAATATTTTGAAACTCTAGTTTACTGATTTATATTGATAGCTATTAGTTATTACTATTAGCTAGCTGACTGATTGGCTACTCTGCTATTATGTTTGAAATTGTTTGAAATTGGAACGATTTTGGCTTCGATAAGATTTGGCAAGATACATTTTCGTATAGAATTGTAACCCTAACCCCCCTATATATCTTATTACAAATCCCACATCTTTTAAATCAACTCATCCCCTCTCCTTCCCACCTATCTCCCAATCCCTATCTCCCAATCCTTAATCTCTAACCCCACCAACACCCCACCTCCTTTCTTCCTACCCACCTACCAACCCACCTCAACTCCACTCCACCTATAAATATTTACCACTTTAACTAAAGAACACCATACAAAAACACAGTAAAGGGGTTGTGGTTTAGTGGTATAATGTTCCTTTAGCATAGGAGAGGTCCGGCGTTCGATTCGCCGCTACTCCAATTTATTTATTATGAGTTGATTCAGTTCACTCATGTGTTTAATCTTTTGGAGTTTTTTCCTTTTTATTTTTTTATCTTTTTTGGATGGAGGGAGGAGGGGAAGAAAGGAAATGAGGTGAGGTAAGATACAGGGGGAAGTGAGGTGGGGTAGAGAGGTGAGATATGATATGTGGTGGATGGGGGATTTGGGATTGCAGGAGATGAGGTGAGCTGAGCTGAGTGAGATAAGATATCAAAGTTAGGGTTAAGAACTTAAGGTTAGGAATAGAGAGAGGGGTTGATAATACTCGAGTATAAAGGTTCGGGGTTATTATTTCTTGGGTCTTGGGGCTTGAACAGTACTCGTATCAGTAGAGGATAAATAGGTAGTGGTAGTTTTGTTTGATTCAATTTTTAGACTCGAGTATATAGAGAACGTTGTTACTTACGTATATTCGAGTATAAGGCTTAATTATATTCTCTTTTCGATGAGGAAGTACCGGTAGCATATATGTGTGTGTTTATGAAGTGAATTGATGTGTTATCATATTTCTGGAGGTTCTTCGGATCTGGGAATTAAGTTTGTTCTTGATGATTTGTTTGGGTGAGAGGTGGTGTTGTGTTGTATATAGTAGTGTAGGGGTTTATGTTAGTGGGATGTATGAGTATGTGGGTGGATGGAACTTGGTGAGATCACAGATGTGTTGTACTATTACCGGTATTGTATGGATTTGGGAATAGAAATGGATTGGATTGGATTGGCTGGGGTGGAATGGGATGGATGGGATGAGATGGGATGGGATAGGAAATGAAATGTTATAGAGTGAAGTGATAGTTGATATTTTGTGGAATCTGGGGAGTTGTATGTATATAGCTTGTATATAGCTTTATCTTTATGAGGGGAATGAGAAGGGAATGGTGATTAGTGTTTAATCAAATCGAGAGAAATATGCTAGTGAGCAGACTCGGAAATTTGAAACAGACAGCGTCAGTACAGTTGAAGATATTCATTCTCAAGCATAGTTCAGTCATATAGACAAGAAATCAGTGGTGAAATTTTAACCAGTTTTAATTTTTAGGTATTTATTCTGAGGACATATATTCGTAATGCTAAGACAGACCAAAAAGAAGAATGATACTTCGATCTCTTCGAATCAAACCAAACCAATCCAATCCAATCCAATATTCGCCAGTCTCCTCTCCCCAAATGCATTCCATGATGTTAGAAAGGTAATCCCAAGAGTTAATATCCACCGCTCTATCCATATCCCTATCTCTCACACAATCCATAAAACATTCCATCCTATCCAAAGCCCCAAACTCCCATCCCATCTCATCTTATCCCATCCTATCTTATCCCCAAACTATCCCCATGATTCAAAACATCTAATTATCCCTCGCCCTCAACAAAAACAAACGTTGTCTATCCTCCGCATTTTCCGTCGCTACAAATTTCTGATTCACAACAGAGGTTCCGCGTGTAACAGGAGATAGTTGGAGGAAGGGATTAAACGCATTGTCGGATTCGATGGTGGGGGTTGTGGCGGTGGAGGATGAGTGGCCGTTGAGAATGAGCCAGCCGGAGGTTATGGAGGAGTTGGAGGTGCTGGAGGAGGTGGAGTAGGCGCGGTCTGAGAGGGGGGGAGGTTAGTTTGGGTGTGGTTGGGTGGGATTGGAGGGGATGGATGGTGGATGAGGGTGGGGGATGGATAGAGGGATGGAATCAAAACGGAGCTTTGATTCATAGAGTGATGAAAACTTACCAGTACGTGATTGTTGAGTGGTGGTGTTGGAAGAGGAAGACATGGTGATCTTGTTGATGGATTGTGATTGGTTGATTAAATATGAGGTATTATTTTGTTATTGAAAGGTATGAATTTATTGATATTGATATTGGATTGATTGATTGATTGTTTGATAGGTTGTTTAGATAGATATTTGACTGAATGATGAGAGAAACAACGAGGGAAAAGACGTTGAATATATACCTTTCTCTAACGTACCTTCCCCCTCCTTCCATCCCTCCTCTCACTCTTACCTCCATCCATAATTCTCAATATAGAACCATAAAAATCTTGGGAGTCACCTAATCGTGTCAGACAAAACCTAGGCATGACCGAGCGCCATGGAGCAGAAAAAAACGTATTCAAACCTCCACATCAGTAAGCCAAGATGGCACTCAATGGGTACATACATGAAGATGTGATTTGCCAAGAGATATTTTGATTTCCCGCAATTGGCTTATAGATAAACCTTCTCAGTCTCCCTCTGTAGAATTCTTGGCAAAAGATTATCAACCAAAGAATCTTCCACGGGAAGTCCGGGAGCCAATCCGGAGTCTGCATGAGGTATATGGACGTGGAGAATGTCTGGAGATATGTTTAATCGCGACAAGCCGAATTTAAAACATTTATTGGTGAAATATGTACCTGCCAAGGTTCATTTTAGTGGTTTCTTGGCGACTTTGAAGTTTGGGAGTTTATTTATGGTTATAGATTATTTCTTTAATAATGGAGTAGAAATAGAAAGGTTGCTCGAGATTCTCCACATTGTTTTCTCAAAATGAAGGGGTCTTTTCGCTTGGTGGGGTTTTGGGGGAGGAGTACCTAGTAGGTACCGGTATGTACCCGGATTCCTCACCTCCAGAATACCAATAACCAATACCAATACTAATAAATTGTAACAAGCAGTGTTCCGGCCAAGATACGCACAGAGTTCTACGAACGATCCGATCCGCTTTGAAGTTAAATCATCTTGGGAAATGATTTTAAACTATTTTGGAGGAATGAAGAGGGCTTGGCATCTATGATTATAGTATGATAAGGGTTTGGGAGATCTTGGTATGGGCTGGGCCGAGCTGGGCGGAACTTCATACGGTACAACTATTGTTCGTGCAGGAAGATCTTCGAATCACCAATCAAAATAATCAAAAATATGGGTGATGGACAGTGATCCTTGCCTTATGTGCCGACAGCAAACGGTAGTTCATTAGTTGGCCGCTGGCGCTGTCAACTTGGCGGAAGGCTGATATTTTTCTGAGTTGGTTTGTGTCTTTTTAATGAGGCGAAAGAATCTTGAATATTGGATTTGATTTGGATAAGTGAGTGATGTGCAAATTTGGATCGTCTGAAACATGTCAAGTGACCTATTATTTACGAAACATGATTTACAAGTGTAAAATAGATGAATGTTGTAGTGGTAAAGTAGGATTATGGATAGATGATCATTCAGAATCCTGTAACACCAAGACCTCCAAGTATCTTGGCCAACACTGCCTCACTTGTTGCGAAATATCAAGTTCATCCACCAACCAACCACTTGGACCATTCCAGTTTCGCCCAGATCATACATACATGAATGGGTTTACTGCACATTTCTTGCACATTTATTATGTTGTTCAAAACAATGAAAGAAAAGATGGGGATACGAAAGGATGCACGGTAGTATCAGCCAAGTTGAGCCGAGCAGCATAAGTTGTTCCACACTTTGACACCCAAGACCTTTCAAAGGCCAGTCTGACTCTCACTGCATACCTCCGTACTTTGTGCTGCAAACTCTAAGACGATGTTGGCAATTTGTAGCGATGATGATTGTACGATTCGGTCTTTGGAATCTTATCTCCAATGGTACTGCAGCTTGATGACTGACTGGCTGGTTCCCTCGGTGCATCCACTGTCCTATAATTCTTCCACGGAGTTTTTCTCATTGGTGACGATACGATACGATACGATGAAATGACAAGTCGCTCGCGCGCGGTTTGCTCTTGACGGACTACGGAGAGCACGAAGCACGTTGCACACGACATTTTCTTCAGCTTCTTCGCAATACATGCAATCGCACATTACCGATAAGCCCAGCTCTCGGCGGACGTGTGGAGTAGACGACACATACGCCATCTCCATCAGCAGCGTCTTGGTATATGCAACGACGTTTTAACTTTTACCGCCGAGCCCCGCTCTGTCATCTTCGTGGAAACTTAAAATCATCTAATAATTCGGCCCTCGAGTCCGACAGCCAAGATTTGAAGAAAAGAAAAGAATCGATAGAATCTTATCGAAGGGATTCATCACATCATGGCGCCGAGACGAGACCCCGTTCTGCATCAAGGGTAGAGATTCTATCACTACAGACTACAGTAATGATTAATCACATCTTCTGTGCGGAAAGTACAAGAAGATACTACAGTCGATGGATGGAACGTGATACGGACATATTATCTCCGAAGTTCTAGAATCTTGATGAATGCTTTGGAATATCTTCCATTACTTTCAGTGAAGTACGGTATTGCTAACTCGGTCATGGTATTTGTGATGTACAGTATGAAAGTGTTGGCAGCATGCATAGCACTGATGATATTCTTCCTCTATATGAACGAATTTTGACCTTGATTATTCCTTTTCCGATGTTTTGAATTTCGAACCTGACCTGGAAGGGGATCCGGAGTTGATGAAGAACGATAGATTATACCGATCATTATTCTTGACTCAAGTCTTAAGTTAATGTCGACGACATCTCCACTACTAGCTATTCAATGAAAGAAGGTTCGTTATATATCTCAACAGTGAAGTCGTTGCGAATCTCGCTACACTGGTATGAAATCCTCTTCCACAACAATACACTTACTGATATAAGCACTACTCGTACAGAATCAAGCATATAGTTCCAGTATCGATATCAATATCTCGTCATATCCGGTGAGGTGAGACGAGAATGAGACCGATCAAATTCGACACCATCTTTAGCTGAATCTTTAAGGATACAACACAACACGATATATTTCGGGGATATGCAATGCAAAGTTGAGGACTCCCAAGTATTAAATCGACCCAGTTACCAAACATTCATTCGATTAGAAATAAGCGATTCGATTCTTTAAGACATACTGTAATATCTTAAAGGGGGGAGAGAGTGGGGGTGTGTAGCATCAAGCAGAGATCTAGACATCTAGAAGATACAAACCCTATGATTTCCGAACCAGAATTAGCAAATGGAATACATCGGTACCGGTGCAGTAATCCGACGGATCATAGATCTCCAAGTTCAGATATCTGAATGATGATATACTGGAGTAGATATTATATTACGATATTGAAAACACACATGTCAACCTTGGGCGTTTGATGCTTTGAATAATGTTAGGAAGTAAGTTTGGAAGTTTGGAACTCAATTCAATTTACTTATACAATACAGATACTTTTCACTCCTCATTCTACTTGAAGTACACAATATTATCGATCGACTTGTTTAATAATCCTCATATCTACGAGTAAAGAGATGAGAGATGAGAGGAATGAATACTTTGCAATATTCTATATCAAGATTGCATATAGCCATAATCCATTGGGAAACGGTTATAAGCTTAAAACAAATGTAAGAGAAGAGAGTCGTTATAACTATATGTATATATATATGATATATCTACTAGCAAATCTCCAAATCTCCAAATCTCCAACCACTCTACGTATAATATGTAATGTGATCCTCAGTAGAAAATAAAGAACTACCATAATCATAATTCCCAAGCTTTTATATTGAATCCTCGAGCTAACTACTCTAACCTATTACCGGTAATCTTTACTATTTTATACTTATATTATATTATATGATATGAATTTCCCTTATGATTTTGAAATCTCTTTCTCTTTCTCATTTTCATTTTCATTTTCATTTCTACTCATACTCTCATAGACAATAAACAATAAATAGTCGAGTAAACAACAAGTTCTACTCCAGTACAAAATCAACTCCGTCCAACTACTCGAGTACGTACCAGTAGAAAAATATGATTAATCTCTATATTGACAATTGATTAACACCTCAGATCTCCCATCTATCTCATCTCACATCTTCCATCTCCCATTCTTTTCCCCATTCAAAACCTAAAAGTTTGAAACCGAAACCCATCAAATCACAATTACAAATTACATCCACACACACATATATCCACTCAAACCCCATCATCTCATCTCAAATCAGCCCCAAACCCCAAAACCCCAAAACCCCATATCCAAACCTTACCTCACCTAACCTCAAGCCCTAAATCCCCTCATCCCATTATCCCCTTATCCCCTCACCCCCTCTCTCATCCCCTAAATCCCCTCATCTCAACCTCCCAACCTCCTTCCCAACCTCCTTCCCAACCTCCTTCCTAACCTCCTTTCCTCCCACTCCCTCCTAACCTTAACCTCCCAACCTCGCTAAACACTAACTAGTCCGTCGCCTAGGTATCCTACAACGGCCACCCGGCAATAAATTAGATGTATTAGATAGTCGTTGTATAGATCATAGATTAGTTCTTTGAGATTAGATGAGATTAGATAGAATCTCTGAGATGTTGTACTGTAAATCAATTATCGATGTGATATACTCGAGTATACAGAACAGATAGAATAAGATAAGATAGGATGGGATATCTCATGGCCACTGATAATAGGGTAATAGGACATACATAGATAACTCACTTATTATCGAGTTATAAAAAGATCTCTCCGGCTTATTCTCTTAAGCATGGAATAACATTATCCAAAAGAATTGCTGTTTTAATTCCCATGTATTTGTATTTGTATACACATATTATACATCCATTCATCCATCCATCCATCCATATACTCCCCCCCTTCTTTCCTCCCACACCCCATCTAATCCCAATACCTAATCGCGCCATCCAAGCCCGCCGTAGCGACCTTCGAACTCTCCTGCGGATTCCACTCTACACACGTAATGGCCTCCTTACTCGCCTGAAACTTATGATACATTTTACACTGTTTCCAATCCCAGAAACAGACATATCCCCCACTATCACCCGACGCGATGAATTGACCATCAGGACTACAAGCCACATCGATAGCATACCCCGCATTATTGTGACCCTTAAACACTTTCTTTCGATTCTGACGAAACTTATCGGTAGCGCCATACACAAAGATATTATTATCCGATGACTGCAACGCCACCCATTTTTTCGACGGGTGGAGGGATGCGCGTGTCATGGGGTACATGTATGGTTCTGCAATATATTTGATGGGCACGGGAATATTGTAGTCCCAAGCTCGTAACGATTTATCATCGGATGTAGTGATGAAACGACGGTTTTCATCCACAAATGTAATGGTATTGATAGCTGCAAGATGGTGATCGTATTCTTGTATAATTTCGCGAGTGCGGATGTCGAATTGGATAATCTTCTTATCTGACATACCGGCAAGGAATTCATTGCTGTGATCGGGATCGGGATTGAAGCGGACGACGTGGGGGGATTTGCCGGTTGTGAATCGATTTATACATTGACCCGTTTCGGTGTCCCATAATTTCATCATGCGGTCATAGGAGGCCGAGATGAATTGTGTACCAGTAGCATTGAAAGCGACGTCTGATAGAGCTTTGGAGTGACCTGAATATGTTCGTAATAGCTCTCTTGAATGATAAGCATCCCAAATCTTGACAGTCGTATCTGCACTTCCGGAAAGAAGTAAATGTCCTGACTCTGGGAAGAATCGTATTCCAATGACAGGTTTTGTATGTCCCTTCCAGGTATGTATCATCTTCTTCGGAACAAAGTTCTTGATACTTCCAACCTCCTTCTTCAAATCCACGTCCAGATCCAATGGGATGTGCATATATGATCGTCCTTGATAATCATACTGTTCGCTCCCCTCGAAAGTCGTTGTCTCGGCACCCAATCCTTCGACTTCTTGCCGTTTTGCCAAAGCCTGCGGTGGTGCAGCAACAACAGTTCCACTCTCTATCACTGCGTCCTCCTCGACCTCTTCATATTCTTCATCACTCCGTAGTGGTTCACCTTCATCCACCTCCTCATATTCTTCCCTCTGATATTTTGCCCAAGGTCCAACATACGCATTATCACCTTCCGCTATACTTGAATCGCCCTTCCTCTGTCTCTTCCCTCGTATCCTAGCAGATTCTTCCTTGGCTTCTGCACCTGAAAGATGATTCCCTCTTCGCTCGACCGCTCGATATTGATCTCGAAATGTATGTTCGCTGATATATGTTTCCTCCGCATGTCCTGTGAGAACATTCTTGCGCTTGTGTGGATTTTTATCGTCTTTAAAGGGATTTGCAGGTCCTTGGGTTGCGCGGGCCAGATTATCAGCGCTGTATTGAACCACGGCATGTTCTGGACCTTCTGCATTTCGAGCTATGAGGGCGTTTTGAGGCGCCATATTGGGCGGGTATGCGCCGAAATCCGCCATTTTATTAACTTCACTATGAATCGAGGAGAAGTGAAGAGATGTAAGTAATTCGTCAGTCTCAAATTGTTGTCTTTATGTCTCACAAGGTTGAATTTGAGCACAAGGCGCGAGCTGATTTTCGCGATAGCGACAAGGCTGTAACAACAATCACGTGATCGTATTTGCGCAAGCTTTGCTGTGAATTATAGCTCCATGTCATTGTCACGAAACATGTCACGGAAGAGTATTCCAAAATTACCATCAGAGGCAAGATTGAGCAATCGCAAAATAACAGGATTCGTTCATATCAAAAAACATGCTGTCTCTAGCACGTTAGGTATCTATCCACATAGAACTTCTATACGAAGTCCACCTATTATGGAATCATCCCCAGTTCCTACCGTATACACCACCATTCATCCATCTCATCCAGCCATACCATTCGTAGTTAACATATCGTAGAGGTCATGGCACATATTAAACCTGCCACTCATTTTTCGTAATCCTCTAGTTCCGTCTCGTCGAGCAAGTTCTGCCCTTGGTCCTAGAACCTATAGCTATACTCATGCCTCCACTTTATACCGGTCGTCAATGTTGTTTTGTAGTCAATGCCACTCGTCTCGGATCAAGGCAACGATCATAGAGTAAAGGTAGAAGAAGAACATGATAAGATGGAAACCGAGCTTAATGAAAGATTCCTATGAAAAGAGTTGTCAGTGACTCTTCGCGGAGACATTCAGATCTGGAACCGGAAATCATCCTACCTTCTTGTGGACATTGAGTTTTCTGAAGATTTCAGTGGCATCGAGAAGATGTGCGTTATCGAGAATCCTAAGCATCTGTCAGCAAATGTCCAGCAACTCTATATTCCTGTATCTCGTATAACGTACTTCTTGACATTGAATGCCACAAGTGGCAGATTGAGAACGAGCGCGATCCAGTACCCGTTGATAAGGAATAAGGCGGTTAAGAAGCCATGAACTGCCGCTTCAGGAATTATGTACGTATTCAGACGGTTGCAAAGATCGATAGGATTGATGTAGTCACTGTGCCATTCAAAATTAGCCTTAATCCAAAATATGATGAAGCTTATTCCCTCCAGCAGTAAAGGATCTATACACATGCTTTATTCTCATGCAGTGTAAACCAACTCCCCATCACTATATCCAATCTTTCCCAGCCCCCACCATTCCGAGGTCTAAGCAGTATCAAAGTAAGAACAATAACTTGACTTACCACTCGAGATCACTATACATAATAGTAAAGAACACCTGTAAGAACAGATTGACGGCATTGATAAGTACCGCCAACAGGTACAACCATGCCTCTCCTGACATCATCTTGGGCAACCTATACGAATCGCGTTGAAAACGCGATTAAAGATCCTTTAGTATAGTTTATTAAGTTGCAATATCTGCAATGAAGGTCTTAAAGAGTAGACTCGAGGCGCGATGTTGCTTCTAAGAGCTCGGCTGTATGCGTGCGTGCGAGTCGTTGTCTGTTGTCTGTTGTCCGAAGGGATTTTTTTTTTGGTAGTTCGAGTTTATGCTCCAAGGTGGGGAAATGCTCCAAAATCGGTACGGTACGATGTTGATTACGCCTTGGTAAGGGAAGAATTTTATGTAGTGCAACTAGGGAGGCGTGATCCGACTTTACAAAGGAATGGGAAAGATTCGGATGATGTTCACAAGCGGCGAATGACGCTTTTGGATAATTTGCTAGTCTTCTATTGATAAAACCATTGTTCTAATCCTTATCCTGATAGGACAATAGCAATTCAATTCATTCGCTTACACATGTGTATATAAATTGTGTGTTAGGTAGAAGTGAGAGATAAAATTCAAAGGTGTCCTGTTGAAATGGTATATTCAGGTTCACTTGCTTGTCACATCTTTGGTGTAATCTTTGAAGCCGAAGCCGTCAAATCTTAGGGGCGACTAGTAAATCGAGCTAGAAAGCGCCTTCCTTTTCACATGGGATTTCAAGAATCACATAAACACGCTTCCCACCATTTTGCTCCAAATTTGGTCTTAGTGGCTATTGACTTGGCCAAAATATTTCTATATATTCATCATTCAAGCTGCCACTTCCTTCTTCTCACCATTAGTCTCTTCTGCGACCACTGGCATTGGTACAGGTCCACCGGGAGAGTTAGGTAACCTTCCTGTCAATATTTCAACACCGTCTTCCGTGATTAAAAGAGTATGCTCTGCTAGATATTAGTACGAAATCACCATCATCCAACATTCAGAATTACATACCAAATTGAGCCGTTTTCTTTCCATCTTGAGTAACACTTGTCCAGTTGTCGGGCCAAGTCTTATCCTTATGTGTTCCTAACGCAATCATGGGCTCGATTGTAAAGCACATGCCGGGTTTTGCTGCACCGACGGCCTTATTCTTCGCATAATGAGGAATATTTGGTGCACAATGGAACAAGCTGTTGATGCCATGACCACAGTATGCCTTGATGACGCTACACTTCGACTCCTTGGCGCGCTTTTCTATAATGTCTCCAAATTCTCTGAATAGTACTCCTGGTTTGACAATCTTAATGGCCTCATCCAGACATTCTCGTGCAGCTTCCACTACTCGTACTGTGTCGGGGTCCGCCTTTGCTTTATCACCAATATAATATGTTTCGTTAAGATCGCCGTGAAAGCCCCCGTGATACAGCGTAACGTCGATGTTGAGAATATCACCATCCTTCAAAACTCGCCTATCTGGAATACCATGGCAAATGACCTCGTTGACGGATGTGCAGACTGACTTTGGGAAATCGCAGTAGTTAAGAGGAGAAGGGTATGACTAAACTGATCAGTAAGTTCGACCTCACGTACAACAAGATACTCACATTTCTCTCCAAGCAAGCTTTGTGTACAATCTCATCGATGTAGTCGGTTGTGACTCCAGGCTTAGCGGCTAAAGCTGCGATATCCAATACTTCTCTACCCAACAGACAAACCTTTCTCATGCCTTCCTGTTGTTCCTTGGTCAAAATTTCAATCTTATTTCTTTGACTCGTCCTTTCGCTGCGCGGAACTCCATCTCTCCAGTAGTCGGGGTGCTTGATGGTTTTTGGAACTTCTCGGTGATCGGATAATGGGTAAACGGGTCGTAATGATCCAGTAAATGGAAAGGTAGGAAAAGGATTAAATTGGCCAGAAGCTGGATCGGGTTTAGAAACGACTTTTGGGGTGAAGAGATTACTGAGGAAATTACTTTGTGACTTGTGTGCTTTCTTATGTTCATTCTAAAATCTTTATTAGCCTTGCACATAAATTGTTGGAGGGGTAATGGTGGACGATTGAGTGTCCATTAAGAAAATGAGATATAATTAGACAGTACATACCCAACTTCTCTTAAAACAATCCTGCGAACAAAAAAAGCTATCCTTCGTACCAATCTTTAAACAAGTCGGACATTGTAAAGAGCCAGCATCGTTCTCGCATTCAACGCCTATGCATTTTCGTATCGATTCGGATTCTTCTGGGGCCATATTGAAAGAGATCTGCAAGAAATGAACAATCCGGGGATATCTAAACTTTTCGAGGACCTTCCACTTAATATATTCTATAATCTAGTGGTACGATGAGGCGAAATTTCTGGTAAATTTCTGTGTCAGCCGTGTTGGGTGGGTTCATGTCAAAATGTTGTTCTAAAAGGGCGTGAATGTAATGAAGCCAATCAAGCTGGATGTTTATGCCAGGGCGGTGTCCAATCTGTGTCTAGACTCTAGCATCTGTCAATCACATTATCACGTGCTAAAGGGAGGTGTGACTTTAGTGAAATGATTTCTAAACTTTTAAAGTCCTACCAGACCCAGACCCCTTCATGATTGATGAATCATATATTCCAGAGAATGCCATAAATATATTTTCAGAAAATTTCAACTTCACACTTCTTTAATTGGAGATAATTAAAGAATGGCTGGAGAATCATCAAGACAAAAGACTGTCATCATCGGGGCTGGTCCTGTCGGAGCTTTGGCAGCCTTGTATGCAGCTCAACGAGGGGATGATGTAGAAATATATGAGCTTCGAAGTGGTACGTTTTGAACTCTCTCTTGATATATAAAGCACGCGATAAACGTTGAGAATACTCAGTATACGATCTGATACACATTTGGTGAAAGTTCATCAGAGACTCAGATCTTACTTATGAGTGAAATTCAGTCAGGGTAGATTTCATGTGAAGTGTCGCCACGAAGCTATTCAGAACAAAATCTCCTAGTGGCGATATCCATAAAACACGAACGCTTCCTTTTATCTTATAATATTGTGTTGGTCTCTCCAGACCGATATTGAGAAGAGGTCCCCTCATTATTTGCCAATATTTGCCACATGATCTCTTCGTTAACAAAGTCCTAGATCTTCGGGATCCTTCCACAACACCTTTAAATTTCACAAAGTCTATCAATCTCGCTTTATCAGAACGAGGTATCAATGCTATTAGGCAATCTGGTCGTACAGAGCTTCTTGATAGTATCATGAAAGAGGCGATTCCAATGGGGGGTAGGATGATTCATGGCGAGACGGCTAATAAGGAGCTTTATGAGCAGTCCCAAAATTATGATATTCATGGAAGAGTATGGACATCTGTGATACTCAGAATATTCTTTTTACTGATGAAACTTTTAGTCAATTTATGCCGTGGATAGAGGAGACCTCAATAAACGATTACTAGACGAACTCGAGTCTTTACCTAATGTCGAATTCAAGTTCAATCACAAATTAACGGGAGCAGACTTCAAGAATAAAAAGGCATGGTTTGAAGTTCACGGTGGCAAATCACTTCAATGGTCGGTCGAAATCAGAGACCAAGAGGTAGAGGTCGATTTTGATTTTCTCATTGGAGCCGATGGAGCCCATTCGGCTACACGTTATCACTTAATGAAGTACCTCCGTATGGATTATCAGCAAAAATATATCGACACTTTGTGGTGTGAGTTTTCGATAGAGGCTCAAAAACAGACTGGAGAGGACCCTGAATCCGTATTCAAAATATCCCCACATCATTTACATATCTGGCCTGGTCAAGACTTTATGTTCATTGCGATTCCTAGCACAGTATGTATCCTCTCTGAGATCTCTGACTACCCTCTTACATGACATAGGACGGTTCTTTCACATGCACTCTCTTCATGCCATCGGGTCCATTCAATGAACTCGAAGCAGACCCTAAAGACGTCCCTTCGTTTTTCGACAAACACTTTCCGGGTGTCACAAAACTGATCGATCATACCTCATTAATATCATCTTTCACCGACAACCCTCATCTTCCACTTATAAGTATAAAGTGTAAACCCTACCACTTCCTGGACTCGGTCGTCATCCTCGGCGATGCAGCTCACGCAATGGTTCCCTTCTACGGACAAGGAATGAACGCCGGTTTAGAAGATGTTCGCGTTCTCTACTCTGTTCTCGATACCGAAAAGCGCAATTTCCCTCTTCTTAGTAGCGAAGCATGTCGTTCTCTCGCTCTCAGCGTATACTCGGAAATCCGCAAATCCGATGCCCACGCCATCAACGATCTCGCTCTTGAAAACTACACGGAAATGCGCGCCTCGGTGGTCTCATCCGTCTACAAATTTCGCAAATGGCTAGAGGAAACATTGAGTGTATACGTCCCCCGACTCGGATGGCAAACCAAATACTCTCGTGTGAGTTTTAGCAATGAACGATACTCTGAAATCGTACGCAAGAGCGAGAGGCAGGGGAAATTGATCTTGGTAGGATTAGTAGGTGTATTGACATCACCGATGGTGGTGGGAGGGCTCCTGGCTTATTATAGATGGAGAAGAGCTCATGCACCCACGAGGGGATTCTTGAAATTGGGTGGGAAGTTGGGTGTGTGGTTAGGGTGGAATACGGCTTAGAAAATGCACATGTGGGTTTATTTGATTGTTGTCTTTGTACATTTCCCACATCTGGTGTATTATCATTATCATTATAGAGAGAGCGAGATAGAAATAGAGTAGTCAATTCACATTCTCACAAGGTATTTTATACAGTACATTGACATTATATTTGACAACTATCTCAAACTCAAACTCAAATCATATCTGAATAATGTGAATATAAATACTGAGTACTCAAGTGTAGTAAACATATATCTCCAATCTCAATAGAAACTCGAGGGAGAGAACGAGAGAAATGGAGACAGACACTCTATCAAAAATAAAGAAATAAATAATGTTAGATATAAATAGTATATACTAGATTCCCCAGGCCTTTCCCTTTCCTTTCCTTTCCTTTCCTTTCCTTTCCTTTCCTTTCGAATTCAATGTTATATCATATCATACCATCACACATCATATCATCACACCACACATCACATCACACTTTGTGATATGAATATGAATATCGATCTTGAAATTGAAAACATCTATGACTTGAAAATTACAAGGTAAAAAGGTGGCTGTAACAAATGTTTGTGAGAAATCAAAATTATTGAGCCAAGCTAGAGTTTGTTTGGTATGGATATGGATGACATGATTCATTCAAATGGGTTTGTTATATATTTAATATTTGTTTGTTTAATGTTTCTTTGTTTGATGTTTGATTAATGTTTGTTTAATGTTGGAATGGCTAGACAGGATAGACAAGCTGAGTAAAAAGTGATTGAGTGGTTTGATTTTGTGATGGAACAGAAAAGAAAGGGGAAGAGAAGGGGATGTTTGTATTGTTAAGGTTATTGTTTGTGTTTGTTGCATTGAGTGAAGATATTTGTGTGGTATACTATAGTTTGATTTGGGGTATAGATGTGTATAGCCTACATTTGGTATACTTATATAGACTACTTATACCATCCATCATGTATCACAGATATACTTCGAAAATTCATATTCACATCTTCAATTTTGACTATACTTTATACTCGAGTATGTATTATCTATCTCTATGAGTATATAAGCTGAAAATAGGCGGGACTCAATGTATACTACTTGAGGAATGATATCAGTAAATAACCTTATATTAGAACAATTTCGAACAGAATCTGTGAGAAGGAGTTGAATAGAAACAAAACTCTTATTTCTTTTTTAATGTCTATTATTTCACAGAGGTATAGATTATTTACTTGCCTTAGACTCAAATTCTAATGCCACATCAATGCAATAGATGGATGCAATATGCTTTGCCTGGATGGCTGGAACTCAGGAGATATATCCAGACTGTCTAATTTTCCCTCCTGGTTTCTTCTCCAAGTTGTTTATCCCAAGTAGAATATATAGATCATATCCTTCGAGCCAACATTATACTTGGTGTCTAAACTAGTTAGCGAATCACTCTTTTCAAATCCACGAGATGTATTAGTTTTAGTCATTTATACTTACTTGCTGCTGTGGTGATGATATAAAATTACCTACTGAGTCTACTCAGTAAATGGCTTCAATATCATGATAACGGTATATTCCATATATTAACATGTTTCTCCACCTGATGATCAATACTATTGATTCAATGGTTCACATGTTGATTCACGAACTGATTCACTTGTCTTTAACTCCAGACCTGCTTTTGAAATTATCGGGTGAACTTCAAGGTTGTTGTGTCCCACTTTTTAAGCACGGTGCCCAGGTTGCCCAGGTGGTTGGTGCAGAATTAGTTGCCGAGATAGATCCTATACTATATACTCATACGACTATTCAATAACTGTATGCGATAGATTTCTACTTATTATATCAAGTTGAAAGAATACAATATCACCGTGTTACATATCTGTTACCTATCGAGGTAACCATCAACAACATTCGAGGTTTCACTACTTCTGCAGCATCACCACTCTTTTACAACGTCGGCTTTCTTCAAAACAACCTACCTCAACCCCTTTCCAAGATGAAGAATCAAACAATATCTTATACTGGAAACGACTTTGATGCCAAAATATGGCTTCCAACTAAGCTCACCATGTTCTTTACCACGATTCTGATTACGACCGTCATAGCTTGGATATTTCGATTTGTTCGATACAGACAAGCATACAGAGAATATGTAAATATAAATCTCCCCCTCATTTTGACTTAAACACGTGCTGATCAACTTCATAGGCATCTGGGATATCTTGTCCACCTTTCAGTCTCATACTAGGGACGTTGGAATCAATGGGTGATCAATATGCTCATGCACCTATGACTGCACATCCTCATGGCATCATGACCATGATTTACAACAAATACAACTTAAAGGACATGTTCATCTTGGACAATTGGCCCTTCTTTCGATGGAGACAAATTATCATTTGTGATCCAGTACGTTTACCCCCCTTCCCCTCCTTCCCCCCCCCTCCCTCCCATGACGTTTTATACCGTACGAGTAGAGTGAATCATATGGAAGCATAACTGATATCCAATAGAATCTCGCTGCACAATGCACGCAAAGTCATTCACTCCCAAAATCAGCTGTTGCCGAGCAATATGTTGGGCACATTACTGGGAAAAGAAGTATTCTACTCACAGAAGGCTTGGAATGGAAGAAGAATCGAGCATTGTTCAATCCTGGATTTGCTCTCGCTCATCTAACAACACTTGTCCCAAGTATCGTTGATGAAGCAGACATTTTCCGTAATGTTTTAGGCAATCTTGCCGACTCTGGAGAAGTTCATCCAATTGAGGAAGCGGCTGCTTTTGCGACTATTGATATTATGGGTCATGTGGTTCTAGATATCAATCTAAACTCTCAAACAGCTAAGAATGAGCTGGTCGAATACTTTAGGAAATCGATTTCCTGGACACCGAAAATTGTGGCGACAAATCCATTAGTCAATTTAAATCCTTTGGGTCCGATCATGCGGAAATATTATCAACGGAAAATGGACGGATATCTCAATCAAATTCTAGATGCCAGATTCGCGGAGAAGGGAGAGAATGTCTCAAAAGATAGGAAAAAGCCCATTATCGATATTGCTCTCGACGAATATATTCTTCAGCAAGAGGAGGATAATATCGCACTGCGGGATCGGGGATTGGACAAACTGTTCAAGCAAGTGTCGATCGATCAAATGAAGACATTTCTATTCGCCGGCCATGACACAACTTCAAGCACCATCGCTTACACCTATCATCTCTTAGGAAATAATCCTAAATGTTTAGCTAAAGCACGCGAAGAATTGGATAGGGTGTTTGGGAAAGATACTTCGAAAACCGGAGACATGATCAAGGAAAATCCAACTATAGTGAACCAGTTACCATACGTATACAGCTGTATCAAGGAAACCCTCAGGAGATACCCACCAGCAGATACTGCGCGACATGGAGATGATCTCATACTCAACTATGAAGGTCGACAATATCCCACCAAGAACTTCATGGTAGTGGTTTGCGTTCATACTATACATCATCGCGAGGATCTATTCCCGTCGCCTTTCGAATTCATCCCCGAGCGTTTTATGCCTGCGCCTCACAACTTCCAAGAGATTCCAAAGAATGCTTGGAGACCATTTGAAAAAGGAGCTAGAGATTGCATTGGGCAAGAACTTGCCCTTCTCGAAATGAAGATTATTATGGCGATGACTTTGAGAGAATTCGACATCAAATCCGATTACGAGACTTGGGATCGAAATCTTGGCAGGAAGGAACCTGGTGGTATTTTGAATGGTACACGTGGGATGTTTGGTGAGAGGTTTCCTTCTTAATTTGAGATGGTATAAAGATTGCTAACAGAATACTAGGAGATCGTGCTTATCAAGAATTGATAGCGAGTGCTAAACCTGCTGATGGGATGCCAGCGAGGATTAAGAGAAGGACGCATAATTAATTTGATCGTGTTATGATGATTTGCAAGATCTGATTATATCAACTGGAATTGAACATTGGATGATGAAAACATCAAACGGAAGTGCATCGCCACGGAGTATTTTCTTCCATTCTCGTTTGCTTCTCGGTGAGATTTTAATTGGTGGAAGTTTATGTGATGGCATGTTTAAGAATATGTAGACCAATATTACCATGCAGGTCCTTGAATTCTCATTTTCTCTGTCTATTATTACAGTATGATGAAATCAGCATTGAAGTCCCAAGATCTATACGAAGATGATGTGGTGTGGTGTTGTGTGGTATACAGTACTCAAAAAGATCAGACCTCGCTAGACCCCTGCCCAAACCCCCCTTGTCTCAACCTCGTCTCAAGCCATGACTACGGATGAAGATCAAAATAAGATAAGCGACGGTTGACATGCAGGGGTATCCGCAAATTTTTAATCAAATTTTAATTTAAAACACTTAAGCTTACAATCTATTTGGCAGCTTGTTTCCCCGGATTCGATCGAGTGGTCTGTATGTTTTGCATGAGAGCCTACTTTAAGTAACCCCTCTCGCCTTTTGAGACAAGGGGTACGAGTTTATTTATATGGTAAGCTTGGTGGACACTGGAAAGGCATGAGTTGTTTGAGCAGGGAATATACGAGACGGGATGGCTTCATCTGATGTTGGGTTTGATTCAGAATGTCATTATGGTTCGGATTGTTGATCTGAGAGGTGGACGCATTCTGAGGTTTCCTCGTCGCCTGTCGGGGAAAGCAACGATTAGACTAAGAGTGAGGTGGACGGGTAATCTTGCGAATATTGATGGGGGTGAAGAAGACAGGGGTTTTTGACATTTTTTGCTTGATGTTATGGATGTTGGCGGGGTTCTGTCATCTGAAGTTCGTCTCAACTAATCCTGGTTTCTTTCCTTGTGGATCGCCTGTCGTCAACGTGTTTGCAGTAGAGTTTAAGCAATAAATTTAACCGCTGTATAGTATGATCTCCTGCTAGCATGATGAAAATGCATCTCCATCATACGATTTTAATCGTTTGTGGGGGCTTAGCTTTTCATTCGCGTTTTTGTATAAGTTGATGATGTTTCTCCTTCCATATGACTTTTTTCTCCATCATCATCATCATTATCATCCATTCGATCTTCCTCTCTCAATCTACAGTTTAACTGTCTTTCCATTCATTTAGTTCTGTGAACTACCTCATTCTTTGCTGCAAGATTATTCTATACATTCATTAAATTAATCCTTCACACTAGGCCGGTCCAATCTTTTTAGTTTTAACACTTAACAATCATTCTTCTGATTACCTTCCCCGAACACCAATAATTGTTTATTACATCAATCTCAACCCAATCAACTCAAGATGTTTTCAAAGACTATTCTCATCTCCGTCTTAGCGACTTTGATCGATGCTCGGTACGTACCCTTATCACCAAGTAAATAAATCCTTCACATACATATCCTAACACCCCACCAGTTTCGCCCAAGAACAAGGAAACGGCGCCATCGACGCCATCAGCGCCCTAACCAACTTCGGCACCTCGGGCGCAGCCTCCACCCTCGCAGGAAGCTCCATCAAACTCCTACTCGCAGGCGCCAACCCCTGTTCAAAACTCACCCAAGCCGACGACATCATCACGCAACTCGGCAGCGACCCGGCCGTTATTTCCGCAGCCCGTGGACTCGTTGCTGCCGAACAAAACTTCAACCCCTTTGTTGTTTCTGTCCCCAATATCTGCTCAGATCCAACGTTGCCCACTACAGCTGCTCTGCGCGGTGTGGTGCCGCTTGTGGATCCGGCTGTGGGGGGAAGCGCGGATGAGAATACTAAAAGTGCAGCGAGTGTTACGACGCCGTTTACGGCTGATGGACTGAGTGTGGCGGATGTAATGGTTGCGCAGGGTTTTTCGAATTTTACGACTACGGATGTAGCGGGGAATAAGGGGACGCCGGGGGGAGCAGTAGCGGCGGGAGGAAGTGCAAGTGCTTCTAATTCAACGGCTAGTGCTGCTGGCTCGAGTGTTTCGAGTGCTGCTGTGGCTGCTGATGCTGCGGTCTCAAGTTCGGATGCTTGTGGTGCGACTACTCTTGCAACTGTTACCAAAGCAGCTAAAGCTACAGCTACAGCTACACCCAGCGCAGCTGCTATTCCATCCGCAAATGCCAACTCCGACTCTTCTAGCTCCAGCACATCCAGCGACTCCACTCTCTCCTTCGGTCTCTGCACCCCGACCCTCAAATTCGAAGGCGGACTCAACGGCCGCCCCGCCACCGAATTTACATTCCAAGCCATCGACCCTCTCATCAGTAAAGGTCAACAGGAAGCTCTTAATCCTAATATCATCACAAGACGCATCTGCGACCAGTTGACCAATGTCTGTAATGCGAATGCGGCTGCCAAAACAGCGTGTACGGCTGCTAAAGCTATGGTTAGTGCGTTGGGGACTAAGAATGCTGGGACGGCTGATGCGTGGAATACTGCGTTGGGTTTTAAGGGGGCGAATACTAGTCCGGATGGGGCGAATTGATAGGCGGGTTGTTTTGGGGTGTTTTATGGTGGGCGTTGATGATTGGGTTGAGGATTCTTTTTTACAGGGGGTCTGGAGGGGTCAGGAGGGGTCTGGGAGAAAAGTCGCAAGGAGCGAACTCTTTTCGGAAGGGAGTGCGCGGGGTGTGACGTTGTGTTGAGGATGAGGGTGGCAGAGGAGGGAATTTTGCCGGTTTTCATTATGAAGGGGAGCATGGAGTCTGTGATAGGTTGGGTTCGAAGTTCTGATAGAAGTAAAGCGAATGATGTTGTGAATTAGACGAATATCTACACCATCACAGGACTTATATGTTACTATAAAAAATGTTTGTAATCATCTGAGTAGTATTTTGACTAAGTGATATCACGCATAGAAGACGGTAACTCGTAGAATATACATTAAGAGGAAGCCGTCCTCGTCAATTAGTGTTGCACTACCATCGCCGACAGATGAAAATTCCATCGATCTTTCGTAGCGGATTCCTATTTCCTAGTACCAAACAATGAGATCAAAAAGGCCTTTCTGGCCATACGTTTTCGCCTGAAGCTGTAACGGTGCCCCTCCACCACACACGGTACCCGAGAAAATAGCTTGTGTGATCAGCTGCAAAAATACCCTGGACACTTGTCGGATTGAAGGGTGGATAGACCTTGATAGCATTCTGCTGATTCAACTCCAGACCAAGTTGTGTGCCAGATCATCCCGAAGTATGGTTCTTGGTTTATGTGCTAGATATCTTTCGATCTTTGTAGTGCCATCTTCAAAATAGATGATGACCTCTGCTCGCTCGGAGCCCTTGGTTAATTTCTTGATGGGTCGGGAATCAATTTTCATGGCTGGTGCAGTTGTAGTTGCGGCAGAGATGTCGGTAGCTAAGACTGTTGACTTGAGTATTACTGCTCTGGATGAATCGGTTGCTGTCACTTTGATGGCGAATGATACAGGCAATGTATTGTTCTATCCGCTTATACACATTGCTCATTGTTCTTGCAATGCCATTTGTGAAGGCTGTATAAGCCAAAATTGAGTTCATCATCCTGGACGATGTATTCTCTGGACTTGATTCCGAAACCGAAGATCAAATCTTCAAAAGACTCTTTGGAAAACAAGGATTGTTTCAGGAAATGGGAACCACCATTCTTCTCGTCACTCATGCAGTTCATAGGCTAGCATACTCAGACTACATCATCGCATTGGATCAATCGAGTCAAATCATTGAACAAGGAACTTTTTATTATCGGAAAACGAGTGGTGGATACGTGGAGTCTGGCCACCCGACATAAATCAGACGAAGGTGATACTGAAGAAGTCGCTACGGACGAGACGACCCAGAAGCAAAGTCCATTCGCAACTGTCGAGAGCGATGATTTACTGAATGAGGTAGCAGATCTAAACCGAGAAACGGGTGATTCCTCAGTCTACTAGTATTACTTCGCCTCTATTGGATGGGTACCGACCGGAATATTCGTTTTAATACTTGGAGCAGCAGCCAAATTACCGGAGTTTGCTCTAATTTACTGGACTCGAGTTGTAGCTGTTGAGGGCAACGAAGCAAACCCATATTAGTTAGTAATATACGGAATGTTGTCTGGTGTTTGCCTAATTGGATTCGTGGCAGGTATTTGCCATTTGATATTATATATGATGCCAAAAAGTGCGAAAGTACTTCACCAGAGATTGTTAGATTCCGTAATGGGTGCGCCTCTATCTTTCTTCACCGCTACTGATACCGGGACTACTACGAATAGGTAATAGTATTTGCCTTGTATTTTCAAATTTCTGCTAACGAGATACAGATTCAGTCAAGACATGTCTATAGTTGATGGAGATCTCCCATACACAATGGTCGATCTCTCTTTATCCACAGTTCAAGCAATAATGGGAGCTATTCTGATGTCTCTATCCGCGGGATATTTTGCTGCAACTATCCTAGTTGTCGGTCTTTCAGTCTGGGGTAGCTCTACTCACATATCCCTTGTATCTCAATGACTGCTAACTCTGATATAGTGCTACAAAAGTTCTACCTCAGAACATCTCGTCAAATACGTTTCTTAGATCTCGAAGCAAAATCCCCTCTGTACTCCCACTTCATCGAAGCCCTAAGCGGTCTAACTACCATCCGAGCTTTTGGATGGACCTAGAATTTTCGCGAGCAAAATCTCGCCTTATTAGACACATCTCAGAAGCCCTACTACCTCCTCTTTTGTATTCAACGCTCGCTGGGTTTGGTTCTCGATCTTCTCGTCACAGCCCTCGCCGTAATACTTATGGCTCTCATTGTCAAACTCCGCACCAAAATTAGTCCCGGCTACGTTGGTCTTGCCCTCCTGAATGTCATGACTTTCAACGAAGCACTTGCTGAAATCATCAAAAACTGGACCAACATGGAAACCGCAGTCGGTGCAGTCTCCCGTCTCAAAAACTTCTCCGCTACAACTGCGAGCGAGAACTTACCCGAGGAAATTGGATTGGTGCCAGAAGATTGGTCAGAATTTGGAGCTATCGAGTTCAGAAATGTCAAAGCTTCATACACATCAACTTCAATCCCGGTAATTCACGATTTCAACCTGTCAATCAAACTGGGTGAGAAGATAGGAATCTGTGGCAGAAGTGGCAGCGGCAAAAGTTCTCCAATCGCCGCTCTCTTCCGCATGTTGGAACTTCACCCCGGAAGTTCTATACTCATAGATGGTATAGATATTAGCACACTCCCCCGACAAACCGTAAAACGCCATCCCCCAAGATACATTTTTCCTCCGCAGCAATATCCGCACCAACGCCGACCCCTACAAATTTCACTCCGACACCAGCATCATCTGCGCGCTTGAAAAAGTACAGCTCTGGTCTCTGATTTTCTCCAAAGGGGGTCTAGAAGCCCAACTCGATGCTGAATTCTTTTCGCACGGACAGAGACAATTGTTTCGTCTAGCGAGAGCTATTTTGAGAGGAGGTAGCATTATTGTATTGGATGAGGCGACAAGTAGTGTGGATAGCGAGACGGATAAATTGATGCAGAGGGTTATTCGGGAGGTTTTCGTAGGGTACCGATCTTTCTTTCTTCCTCATCTCATCTCATCTGACTTTAATGTCTACTGTACTCTAGAACAAGGTAGTAGGGTAGCAAAGTGCGAAGTCCCGACGCTATTTTCGTACCTTGGGCTTGGGCAGCCTGAAGGAATTCCGCCTGGATATCGATGGATGCGCATACAGTACTATACTTTATCTACCCCTAGTAACTATCCACGTACTCCGTACATAGGAACGCCCCACGCTAAATAAATACCCTTCCTTATCAGTCATTATTTGCCTTTCGGAATGCTTCGGATGAGGCGAGATGAGGCGAGGTGAGGCATTATTTTTGAATGAATGATGGCAATTTTAGCTATACATTATTACTTTATGACATTGTACTCGAGTATGCGGCAGGAACAAATAATAATAATAATAACAAGAGAGTATATTGTAAGATTACGAGTACATTGAATTGAATGAATTGAATGAATTATATCCGGGAATCTGTCTGGACTGGATTGGTTAATTTTGCGCTGTGTGTGAATGTTGTGTGAATATCTTGTGAATATTAATTTAATGCGAGTACTGTGGTTAGTTGTGGTTAGTTGGGATTGAGTGAGGCGTTGTGGTATATTATGCCATGCAGAGAGGAAAATAGACGGTATGAGTATTTATTATACTGTACTTGAGTGGTGTCTGTTGTAATGTGTAGATCTGGGACCTGGGATATGGGATATGGGAGTTGTTGAGGTTTTGAGTATCATAGTAATGATGGGTTAGGATAGGATACTGAGTAGATAAGGAGGTAAGGAGGTAAGTAAGTACGAGTAAGGAAGTAAGTCAATAAATCTTCGCATTTAGGTTCGCGAATTCGAATTCATTGATAGATGTTTAGATGGATGAATGATTGGATGAAATGAGTTTTTAGATAGATATAATAATATAGACAGCATTGGGGAATATAATTGTTGGAGGATGAAAGAGGAAAGAGGGTGAAACAGGAAAGAGGGAAGAGGGAGAGCCTATAAGTTAGAAGCGAAAATGAAGGGGTAAATTGAGATAACATATCGAGAATCGAGGATCGAGAGATTTGTACTCGAGTACAGTACTACTGTATACCGGTACAGTAATTATGTTTAGGCGATGAGATATTAATACTGCATGAGAGTTGCTATTATTATTGTTAGTGTGCAGTGTGTAGTGTATACACGATTGTTGCTGGAGATTTTAGATATTAGATAGTATTAGGGTTCTAGGGAAGGATGATAAAGTATGGTATGATTACTATGATTACTATGATATGATTGATATGATATCGGTATGATAAGACAGATAGGCATGATAGATAGGCAATATGACAATAATACTAATAATGAGATTGGAGGAGGAGGATTGGGATTGGGAGATCCACTTCTTTTTGGTTTGTTATCGGTGGGTGGATATCGGTATGGGTATGGATGTGGAATCTGTGGATGTGGTTAGGGCTGGGGTAAGCAGTGAGCACGGTTCTTGGGAGTGTGCTCCACTGATAACTGACTGATTTGTCTGATAGGAGCAATACGAATGGTATTGAATGAATCAGATAGTGATGAATCTGATGATGGATTGATTATAAGAGGGAGACCGATCTGCTTCTTATCTTGCTTTATATGTCTACAGTGTCAAAGATGCATATGTCAAGGTGGAATTAGTTTCTTTACTGTAGATCCTATAGTTTAAATACCAAGTTTCAGTGCTGAATGGGAATGGGGTATCGAGGAGTGAGTGGATTTTGTGGGGAAATTCACGAGTAAATCGATCGGAGGTTTATCAATTATAAGTCTGGATTTTGGCTCCTATTAGTGGCCGAAAACGCTTCTTGGCTCATTTGGCTTACGGGCGAGACTCTTGCTATGAGTTTAGTTTGGGTGGTTTGCCTGATTGTAATCTCTATTGAAACTTGTTGATTTCTGTTGGTTGTGCTGGTATAATATCACTTGAAGTACTGTACTCGAGTATTGATGTTTATATATATCTATGACAGGAACGCCTCTCAATACCACCATGAACCCCATGAACGCCTTCAACGCTGTTTTCTGACCCTGCATCGTACATGCGGAAATAATACATACTTTCGGACCTCATCACATGATTCTTCTTATTCCAACCAATCGGTCCAACTTCTTTTCAATGCAGCCACTTCTTATCTCTGACATTTTAGCACTAATATCCGAATTTCACGCGGCCTCTTCTCCATACATAATGATCCTTTCCACGCCATTCCCGTTGTTGCATTAGTTCCAATCCTTTCGCAGTTCAATCCTTGGAAAAGGTTGAAATGTGATTCGGTGTGGCAATGTGGAGGTAGATCTTTGTCGATTGTAGAGATGTTATTGTGTCATAAATATTCCATGACAACTGATGACCACCAATCTGTGAGAAATAATTGCCTTGACAAGGGGAATATAGAGGAACGATAACTAAGATTTTAGCGAAAGGTACTAGGAAGATCAAGTGGAGTACTTTTTGACTTGGCCGGACGTTATCTGGAGATGCAGTGGAGGGATGAAGGGATCAAGGGGCCTTGGTAAGGTTTTTTGGACGTTTATGGGAATGCTGTGATTGAATGCTTCTTGGGGAAATATAACCGGCTTGGAATTTTCTCTTCTGGGCATAATCTATGATGATCATCAAGTTCCCAGCCAGAAGGTAAGCTTGGTGGGTATAATAATATAGACCTGCACTTCCCCCCTCGTCTTCCTCTCTTTCGTCCGTACATATTATATTACTTCAAAATAGCTCGAGAAATTGAGTCGGGAACTCGAGTTGTTGAGTCAGATTCTCCTTCATTGCATTTTTATTTGCCTTTTTATTTATCGATATCCCAATATCAATAACAAATAGAACTTCCCGCAACTAATTCTCTTATACATTTCGTCATGGAGGAGCCAAAGTTTCAAGACCCCGAGAAGGGCTATAATCAACCCCTTCGCACTGAAAGCATTAATCGGGAGGCAGCGTTTATGCAAGATTCACAAGAACCTTGGACAACGAGGTTCGTGGATAGTTTCAGGAGAGATCCTAATGCTGCGGTTACGAAACCAAGTCAGCGAGAGGGTGTCGAGGGATTCGATCATCAAGCTGCTGCTGAGGCTACTGCCAATTCTGGTTTGGCGAGAGAATTAAAGCCTCGCCATTTGCAGATGATTGCAATTGGTGGTTCGATCGGTATGTAACGTCGCTTCCTCAATGGATCATATACAAACAAGCTTTGACTCCGGCCCCTCGGTGCCGGAAAAATGATTCGCCTCGCGAATCCCCCCCCTCAGGGCCTCCGTCGCCGCTCGTCATATATACAAATGCTAAATATAATCTTATAGGTACCGGTCTCTTCGTCACATCTGGAGCTGCTCTCTCACATGGTGGTCCGGCTTCTTTAATTATCGCATATGGTATCATCGGTATAATGTTGTTTTGTACAGTCCACGCTTTGGGAGAGATGGCTGTCATCTTCCCCGTTGCTGGTTCCTTCTCTGCATACTCTACTCGCTTCATTGATCCTGCTTGGGGTTTCGCAATGGGATGGAATTATGCTATTCAATGGCTTGTCGTTCTACCTCTAGAGATCGTCGCTGCTTCAATTACGTTGTCGTATTGGCCTGGTGCAGCTGACACCAACTCAGCTGCTTGGGTGACAATCTTCTTCGTGGTTATTGTTGCAATCAATTTTTTCGGCGTTAGGGGCTATGGGGAGGCGGAGTTCGTGTTCTCTATCGTTCGTTCGCTCTTAGATTTGTTCTAAACCGAATAAAATGCTAATATTTCCATAGATCAAAATTGCGGCCGTCATTGGATTCATTATCCTAGGCATCGTTCTTGATTGTGGAGGACAAGTAGGAGGTGGAGAATACATTGGAGCTCGTTATTGGTATTCCAATACCGTTGAGCCTGACTATGCTGGTTATTCCAATATAGCAAATCAAAATCCGGATGGAAGTCCTCGGCAAATCGAATCCGGTGCTTTTAACAACGGTTTCAAGGGTCTTTGCTCCGTCTTTGTCACAGCCGCCTTTAGCTTCGCTGGAACTGAGCTAGTGGGCCTTGCTGCGGTAAGTCTTTTATGTTTTGGGTCCTTAAACTTGGAAGGGGCCACAAGCTAATCATAAAAAAAGGCGGAAACTAAAAACCCACGCAAAACCCTCCCGACAGCCATCAAGCAAGTTTTCTGGCGTATCTGTCTCTTCTACATGGTTGCCTTGACCTTGGTCAGTGTCCTCGTACCATACGGAGATCAACGACTCTTGGGAGCAAGCTCTACTGACGCTAAAGCCTCTCCCTTCGTCATCGCCATCAACAATGCCAAAGTAGCTGTTCTTCCATCCATCATGAACGTTGTCATTCTCATCGCCGTTCTCTCAGTCGGAAACTCTTCTATCTATGGCTCATCGCGTACCATTGCTGCACTCGCAGAACAAGGTCAAGCCCCTAAAATCTTCGCCTACATCGATCGTAAAGGTCGTCCTCTCGTCGCCATCATATTTGCCTCGGTTATCGGTCTTCTCTGCTACGTTGTAGCTGGTGGACAAGTCACCGCCAACACCGCTCTTAACTGGCTCTACTCTCTCTCAGGTCTTTCATCCCTCTTCACATGGGGATCCATCTGTCTCGCCCACATCCGATTCCGCGCAGCTTGGAAAGCACAAGGTCACACTCTCGACGAGTTAGCCTTCAAATCCCAAGTCGGAGTCATCGGTTCGTGGATCGGTCTCACGCTCAATGTCCTCGTCTTGATTGCACAATTCTGGACCGCCATCTGGCCCATCGGTTATGCAGCAATGAATTCCAGTGAAATCGCAGAAAGCTTTTTCTTAGCGTATCTCGCGGCTCCAGTCGTTTTGTTGTTTTACTTGCCATATAAGTTTTACTATAAAACTCCCTTCATGAAGGCGTCAGATATGGATTTGACTACCGGAAAGAGAGATATGGATACCCCAGCATTGCTCGAGGAAGAACGTATAGAGAAAGCTTCCTGGCCTCGCTGGAAGAAGATCTATAAGACCATGTGTTAATTGTTGCATGGTAATTGGGACAACGGCGTTTGGAGGGTTCTTTTTATGGTTTTGTGTATTATTTATGTCTATAGCTATGTTCTTGATTGATTGTTTCTGTGTTTTGATAGACAGACAGACAGACAGACAGATGATAAAAAGGAAGATATGTGGTCGGGGCGGGGCGAGGCGAGGCACATTCAGTATGGGTCGGGGGAGGCGGGTGGGAATTGATATGAGCTTATTGATTGTTGGGAGGCGGAATGAATATTTAATAACTTGATATACTATATATTTACTATACATCTCTCTATTTATCTATGTATCTATTTATCTATTTATCTATTGATCTAGAGTCACTTTGATGTCTTTTGCATGTCTTGAGAATAGTTGGTTATACTTATACAATTGTACTTATGGTATGTGTTATGTTATGTTATGGATTGAATCGAATCGATCTGATTATCAAGTGATAGGATGATTGAATACTATACGTATATGAATAGTATAAATATAAATAAAGATGAAGATAACCGAAGATCAAAACATATACTCGAGTACTTGAGTATAGTAAGTATTTTAGAGGGCTGTTGTGTGAAGTATATAGGTAGGTAGGTGGGTAGATGGAGGGGTATAGGGAGGGGTATAGGGGTATAAGGAAGGGATCTCGGTTATAGAGTTATGGTTTGTCTACTATAGCTGCGTACGGACGGAGTACATAGGTAGATATGCATGATCTGTGGACAATTGCTATCTCCTTTTGACTTGGTGCTGATGCTGGGTGCTGGGTGTTGGATATTGGGTTGAGTGTTGGGTTGGGTGTTTGGTGCAAGTTGGAAGGAGAGGATAAGATTATTGGATATTGGGGTTGGGGTTGGGATTGTGATGATTGAGTTGCTGCATTTTGGGTCTTTTGGTGTCGATGTTGATGTTGGGTGATTGGTTAAAGTTGGATGGAAAGGACGAGATGATTGGATATTGGGGTTTTGATCATTGAGTTATTAAATTGTTATACCTTTCGGTGTTGATGTTAGGTTAAGTGGTCGGTTCAAGTTGAATGGAGGGGATGGGTGCCCCACCCCATGGAGGCAAAGTCTTACTCGCACATGAATATAATGATTCGTTCTGTCTTTGACTGTTTGTGCTCTCGTTCGTAGCCACAACCTCTAAAGAATATATTCTTACATCAGGTAATAACAGAATACAAAACTGATGCCTCTCATTCCACAAATCTCCAAGCATCCTGATCATCCTAAATTCACACCACTTCTTCTATCCCTCGTCATATGTTCCTTGGTTCACAATCTCTCGTTTTACAATCTTCAATATTAAACTTCAAACTTATCTCATCCCAAAATGCCAACCCCATTCGATATTCTGATCATCGGCGGTGGACCTGCCGGTCTCAGCACAGCATCATCCATCGTTCGCCAGAGCCATCCCACCCTTATAATCGATTCCGGCAAATATTGTAACGACAATCGTTACATGCATACAATTCCGACTTGGGATCATGCCCCGGCTGGTGATTTCCGTGCCGCGGCTAGAAAAGATTTCGACCGTTACAATACCGTACAATTTGAGGACCGCGAGGTTTCCACTGTCAAGAAAATTGAATCTGGATCTTTTCAGGTCACCTGCACTAATGGAATGATTTTTGAAGGCCATAAATTTGTGTTGGCTACGGGTGTTGTCGATGTCCTGCCCATGATTGAGGGCTATGCTGAATGTTGGGCTATGGGCATGTAAGTAGTTTTTTCATGACCTCACTTCAGTACAAGTCTACCATCTGATCTTCTTACTAAATCAACTTTGATTACAGTACATAGTTTTCATTGTCTCTACTGTCACGGATGGGAAGAGAGAGATGTACTTTCATCGGGTATTCTTGCCGAGGGAGAAATTGCAAATGTCATTATATCACTACATGTAGCACGACAAGCACTTCGACTCTCGCGCAAAACCACCATCTACAAGCTCGGCAACCAACAACTAGCATATATCAAACTTACTAGGGAGCCGCGTACTGCTGTGTTGAAGCGATAGGCCATGTGATAATAGGTTCCGCTCAACACAGCTAGACCTAGAAAGACAATACCGAACGCTCCAGTCAAGCCCCATCCTATACTTTCAGGTTGACTCTCATCGTTTGCGAAACCAATAGTTCTTTCTAGTAAGAAAGGTTGGGCATATTTGAAGCCAGTCATGCAAATTCGAGGTATGATCCCAAGGGCAAATGCTCCTCGTGTAGCTCTCAATACTGACCAGAGTAATGAGCGCGAGCTTGTGTGATCACACCTATCCCAGGAGGTTTGAGCTCGTGTATACAGGTTTTGTGAGCTCATTTTTTCGCCGATGGGATGTAAATCCTCATTCCTAATAACACGTTGAAATCCCATGGTCATAAGAGTATTTAGCCACCAAAAGAAGCTACGACTATAAATTCCACTAGTAACTTCTGGTGAAGTATGCCGATATCTGTCAAGTAAAATGTGACGCTTTTCTACTGCCTCTGCGACGATTACCATGATTTTAACACCAAGTGCACTGGTGAAGACTGCGGCCGTTGAATTATTCGCATGATTTAGCCAAAGTGACCTTGCCCTCACCACATCGAAAGGCAGCGTAAGTAAAAGTCAGGCATTTATAAGAGCAGAGGGCCTGACGGAGTGAAGATGCTCAAGATGTGATAAAGCACACAGATACAAGGCATCTACTAGTATAAGAGCGGCAGCAGGTACTGTTGCTCGTGTCTTTAAAGTTGGCATTGTACTCGTGGTATTCATGACCAAAAGAATCGTCTGCATGATAGTGAAAACACCTAAGAATAGCTACAAGTAGTTTTAGTTTTTATTTTAGCTCTCCAAAATAATCATACCAATTTGTTGCTGTGTAAAAAGCTCGAATTGACTTTTCGAGGTTAGCCTCGTAGCATCCATATTCGAATTGGTATTAATAGAAGTAGGATGACGGAAGGTACAATTGAAAGGACAATATCTTCGAATAGTGGAGTAAAATCAAATCCCAGAGGCTTAGCTGGACCAAAGTCATTGATAGAAAATCTCAAATTTGAAGTATTGCTCGACATGATTTCGAGTTCTTCGAGACACATCAATATCTAAGTGCACATAATTGAGGTATGACAAAATGATATATAAACAAGTGCTTATCGGGAGCCTCATGGAGGGAGGTACGAACCGCCCTATAGTATCTATGTCATAACGGAGATGATACCACTACCGGAGCTGACACCGAAGAGGCTATAAGCCCTATTCCGATTCCGTTGATGGATAATCCTATCGCCATGAAGATTGGTTGCAACATGACAGAGAACATTGCGGTAATTCAAACACCAGTCTTTGCCTGGAAGACGTGATATCTAGAAATATGCAAAGTAATAAATACAGACATTTCACTACTCTCCTATTCAAGCTCGCCATAATTAGATATCAAATCGTCGTCACTAAACGCGCGTTGAACTAAGAGGATACCATCAAAAGACGCGCAAACACATCGAGAGCCTCAATTGCTAAAGGGAAATTATACCTGTCAACCAAAAGAAACCTGAATATTGCTTACATTGCCATGTAAAAGCAAGGTACGACGCGTTTACTGAGGATCATATCTCAATACCGAATGGACTATCAATATTTGAAGATTGAATGAATATTCAAGTAGGAAGCAAATATTGAGGGGAATGGAATGGGATTGAAGTTCCTAGCTTGCAATTTTCAAGTAGTTGATATTCAAGAAGAAGCTTCTTCACGATAATTTAATGGAAAATCGCCTGAACTTCGGGTACAACGGAGCTTTAATTAAGCTTCAAATCTACCCCGCCATTCTTATCCCCCTCACACCCCACATCTTTCCCACGATAACATCATCAACCCCCAAGACCAAACACATATTCCAAATCACATATCTCTGCTTGTGTACCGAATCAACACAACAAACAATATGGGTAGTACTAGAGAAGCCAGCCACGCCGGCTCCTGGTATACATCCAACCCAAGCACTCTATCCCACGAACTCGACGACTGGCTCTCCCAAGTACCCTCCTCAATCCACGATAGCAGCAAACTGCCCATTCCAGGCGCAAGAGTGATCATTGCACCGTGAGTGAGCGAGGTTCTGATATCCGTACCCATCGATATGAATTTCTAACGATTGCAAAGTCATGCAGGATATTCATATTCCGGGGCTGCCGCAGCCTGGGCCTATAAATCTCTGGATTTCTCCAACGCCAAACGAATATTTCTCCTGGGGCCCTCGCACGCTTGGTATTTGGATAAATGTGCCTTGTCTAAACATGCAAAATACGCTACACCATTGGGAGATTTGATAATTGATAAACCGACGGTTCAAGAATTGGACGCCACGGGAGAATTCCTAACGATGAATACCGATCAAGATGAAACCGAACATTCTCTAGAAATGCATCTCCCATACATCTACAAAATGCTATCTCGGCAATACTCCTCCCCCTCAGATTTCCCCACCTTAGTACCCATCCTCGTCGGAAACACCAACGCGACTACTGAGAAGAAATTCGGCGCCATCTTTGCCCCATATCTAGCCGACGAATCCAGTGTATTCATCGTGAGTTCCGATTTCTGCCACTGGGGTCCACGATTCCAATACACGTATTATCTCCCCACACCCGCCAGCCCATCTACAGACGCACGCGATAAATCATCAGGTTATTCCCTCTCGAAGCGAGATAAGAATCCCACCGAACCGCCCATCTACGAGAGTATAGGAAGACTGGATAAACAAGCCATGGATGCGATTGAAGGAGGAAAACATCAACATTTCCTAGACAATTTAGAAGAGACGGGAAATACGGTTTGTGGGAGACATCCGATAGGAGTTACGATGGCGGCGATTGAGATATTGAAAAGAGATAAACGGGTGGATGGCGAGAAGGGCAATTTTAAGTTTGTGAGATATGAGAGGAGTAATGAGGTGGTTAGGGTTGCTGATGGATCGGTGAGCTATGCTAGTGCATATGCCATACTTTAAACGTTTGACTGGATGTTGGATTTTGGATGTTGAATTTTGGATGTTGGATGTTGGATCTTGACTACCTAGCCGGAATCGAAATAGTCGGCGCCTAACAAATGTCGGACATAGTAGCATGGAATCTTGATTCTTAGATTATCCACAATCAAAATTTTTAAATGATGAATCTCGTACACATATACCAATACATCCTACTTTACTCTAGCCTAGCCTAACCAATCTGGCCTAGTCAACCGTGATATACATACATACATACATACATATAAACACATCTCTCTCTCCAAACCGAACACTCCCCCTCCAACCTCCAACCTCCAACCCCTATCTACCTATCTACACTATCTACACCACCCACTCATCAACACAACCGATCATAATAGCTTATTTGTTTCCCAATTTAACCGTTTCATCTAACAGACATGTAGGTAAATCCTATCCTATCCTATCATATCCTATCACATCTACCCAATACACCAGAACCCCCAAACCCCCAAACGCTAAAATCAAACACCCACGCCACGCTATGTCATGCTATGCTAGCCCCCCCTATCAAATATCAACCAAGGTAAATCTACCTACTACCTCTCTCTAAATTCGTGCTGTGCTATACCGTAATATGCTACACCATACCATGCCATGCCAGAATAAAAGCCATCTAGTGAATGGATGGATATATAACCTGCGTATAAGCATCCGGTGCTATATCATATCTTATAGATACACATTTGTGCACTATTGCGTGCATGACAATTGATGCCAACGCCGGTTCGGTCCATTCCACCGATGACTGACGTGAGAATGTCAGTTTTTGTCTTTCTTTTCCTCTCTTTTCCTTTCTTTCCTTTCCCCAGGAATCAACCATCAGCCTTCCCCACCCCACACTCCCCACCCCTAAATCGGCGCACTCTCCCTCCTCTCCACCGCCGCCCTATCCTCCTTCCCCCCATCTAACATCACACCCCTCACCAACCACCTATCCATCTCCGGCAACAACTCCCCGATGCGAAAGGGTTTCGTAACCACGCTATCCATACCCGCCTCTTTAGCCCTCGCAATTTGTTCACTTCTCGCATTTGCCGTGACGGCGATGACGGGTACCCTACCCTTGACTTTCCCTTCCATCTCCCATTGACGTATTTGTTGCACGCAGGTAAGACCATCCATGACTGGCATTTCTAGATCCATTAGTAGGATGTTGCACGGGATGCCTGGGACGCCTTCTGGGAGAGTGGTGGAGAATGTGGATTTTTCGAGGAATTCGAGGGCTTCTAGGCCATGGTTTGCGACGCTGACAATACAGCCTGCGGTTCGCAGTTGTTTGCTTAGAACCTGATTATTCATCAGTCCGAAATTCTGAATATACAAGAGAACAACTTACTTTTTGATTGACGATGTTGTCTTCGACAATGAGGATATGTTTTGGGGAAGACGAAGCCGGACTTTGAGAACGACGGTTCTTTACAGTCTGACGACTGGGACCTTTGACACGTGCCAGTGAATTGTTCGTAATGATATCGTTTTGGACTTGAACATCCATTTGAGGAATGAAGGAATCCTTATCATCAGGAGGATCGCAACGGCGAGTGCGAATGTAAAATGCAAAGGTACTTCCTACACCTGCTTTTGAGGCCACACCTATTTGACCACCCTGAAGCTCCGTAAGTTCACGAGAAATAAAAAGGCCGAGACCAGATCCGCCGTATCGAACATGTGTTCGTGGTGAGGCTTGAGAAAATCTCTTGAATAGAAGGTTGCGTTCCGTGTCATCTAGACCGCGTCCACTATCTTGGACTTCGATATGTAGATATACAATCTCCCCATCTCCCCATTCACTCTCCGGGGTGTTTTCTTTGTGGCTATTAGATCTTGGAAGGTAAATAAGTCCTGGTGTGCTAGGAGGCTCGAGCGCTGCGCTCACTGTGATGGCGATATTTCGTTTTGCTTGAGTTTGTGTAAATTTGATCGCATTTGTAACGAGGTTGATGAGGACTTGTACTAATCTACTGGGGTCCAGTTTGATCCAGTCAAAGCCGAGTTCGTCGAACGAGGGTGACACATGAAATCTCAGCGCGACGTCACTCTTCTGTAATTCTCCATCAAATATCTTCAGTGCGTTTTTGATAACAAGTAATGGCTGTACCTCGATGGGGGTGACAAACAATAGATCGGAATCTAACTTGCTGAGCGTGAGGATATCATCGATGATTCGTTTCTGATGCTGGGCACATAATATAATCGTCGAAGCTGCATCTGCATATCCATGAACAGCCTCTCTTGGAAGAATAACATCGTTAGTCCCTCCATCGAATTCTTTGACAGAGATTCCAATCATATCTGCACACTGAATAATAGCTGATAATGGATTCCTCATTTCGTGGGATGTCATGTCGATGAAATTCTCCTGTTGACGTTTTAACTCAACTGCTTCTAGCATTTTTCGTTTCTGGAAATCCTCTGCCCACTTTTGTCGACTAATATCCGTCATGCAACCTAAAACGCCAACAACGGTACCATCATCTGCCTTTTCAGGATAGGCAGCAACTATTGTCCAAATTGCACCGTCGATTTCCTCATCTCCGATCTTATCAGCACCCTTGAAGAGTGTTCGTAGCCGAATTTCAAAGGCGACAGGTTCCCCATCCATGAGCTTTTTCCAGTTCAATTCCATTAAAGGTAAATCTTCTTCCATGAGGCTTCCGTACCAGCCCTTTGCAATAAACTTGTCAGCAAATGTAACGTTAGGAACTGGGGACTAAGTAAATTGTAGGGTCAGTCGATGCAAATGCCACGATATTAACGAGCGGTGAAACGAGTTGGGGTAAATGCGCAGCCCAAATCATATTGTTATTGTGATACCTAAATGTTTGACGATTATTGGCACTCCAAGTAGTAGTGTAACAACATCAAAAATGGCAGCTTCGGAATCCCGGATCCACTTGGACAATAAGATGACAAATTCAAGTGAGCTCGGAATGTGTTTCGTCCAAATCAAATGGCGAAAACCTTAGGATGAAAGTATCAATCACAACGTCAACAAGACGATACTTCATGATTGTTCAACCCAAATCGAAGTGTGCATGCATCAATGTAGTCATATTGGAATGCAAGTAAGGAGATCACAACATACCAATCCGTAAGAACCTTCTTTGTCAAGGAAGTGTATGGGGATGTTGGAATTTCTTGGGTGTTCCGTTAAACCATAAAAAACTTCATTGGCATAAACTATATTCCCATCCACATCAACATGGAACATCCCAACAGGGGCTAGATCGGCCATCCTCCTGAAACGACTTTCAATCTCTGCAGCTTCATGAGCTTGAATCTCGAGCTTCCTTGAAAGCCGATTGCGATCTTGATAAGCACGTTCGGCGGCCATTCGACCACGTTGAAGATCATCTTCAACAAGTACTGCCGCAGCCATTGAGGTGGCGAGTTGTCGAGTGAGAAGTTCTATGAATAGTCTATAGTCATCATCGTATTCTCGTCGAGCATTGAGTCCAATTATAAGAAAACCAAGAACAATATCGGTAGTTGCCCTGATTGGCAAGAAAACGACGGTATCCCAAGCAAGCGTACCCTGAAGAGCTGTGGTCAGGGATGCAGGGATAGTACCATCTTTCCGGTGTAAGAGCGTAGGCGAATCTGATTTGACAAGCTCACTGAAACTTGGTAGGAATTCCTCCAGCGAGCACTCAGAGTTGATATGTTTCGGCACGTTCTTCTCGGCATCGGGGACCCTTACAGAGCCTTCCAGCACCCAATTAGAATTATGACTTAATGCTGAAGATTCGGAGAGTGTTTCATTGACATCGTTTCCAGCGGAGTATAGCAGAGCAAATGGTAAATCTGGATGGTCTGGTTCGAAACCTCGTAAAAGCTGCTGCCAAAACTCCTTGGGCTCTCGAGATGAAGCAATGAATTGCCCTAGTCGTAACAAAAATATCATTCTGCGATCTGCCACAACTTGCCTGGTGGTGTCAAACACAGGATTGTAGCTACATATTAAATTAGCGCGGGCCTTTAACCGATATATGCATAAGAGGGATTAAGACTTACACCGCAAGATCACAATCATAACTGTTGCAACTGAACGGCATGATCGATAAAGCGAAGTACGTCTCCTCCAAGTATCCATGTCTATCAATATAAAACCTTGCATCATCCATGGTCGAAGGTTTACCAGTTTGATATGCCTTATTGAAGAGATCCTTGAATATGACTTCAATCTCAGGCCATGCTTCCGAGAAAGGCTTTCCCATCATCCCTGGGTGCTTCTGTCCTGTGACTAACTTATATGATTCGTTGTACATCATGACTCTGCCTTGGCCCCAAAACATCGCCGCAGGTCTTGGATCCGACATGAGAAAATTGCACATCCTACGTAGCTCAAGCGGCCAAGATTCTATGGAACCAAGCTCTGTAGATGCCCAATCAAAATCGAGGAAAAAACGCAGATGAGGTGACGGTTCTACGACTGTATCCGGAGCTAATATATCGAATGGACCAAGTGTAGAATTTTCCACCTCAGAAACCTCCTTCAAAGTGAACGGCTCTTGTGCGGGCGGAAATATCGATATTGTATCTTCCCGATGAAGTCGATATGCCTCCAGTTGAGATTCCAGGGAGGATCTAGGCGAGTCGCCAGATTTCGACATAGGTCGTGCCTTCTGAGGCGAAAGGGTTTGCGATCGATGGATCATGGGTTTGCCCCCGATGACATCTATGCTTCCCCCCACATCTCCAGCAATGACCCTCCATCTTTCCTTCAATGTCTGCGCAGTCCATTTCACTCCACAATGTAGAGTTACGGGTATTTTTCCATCTCTGAAATCCCCTCCTGCCCATTCCAAAAATCCCCTATGCTTTTCATCTTTTGTAGCCGCGCCCAGATCAAGAGATTCCCCAACTTTACTTCCCAACAATTGTAATTCCTTCAACCGCGGATTCGTATATATCGGCGTTGTCTCATCTGGCTTCGTGAGGTCAAGTATGAATACCGCTCTTTCGTCTGAGTCGAGTAATTCGAGAACTCCTATACTGCGCAAATCTTCCTGCGACGCGAGGTGAGTCGAAGTTGGATCTACAGCTACCGATGTGATCTGCATTGGATATTTTACTTCTTCATCTGTAGAGGAAGTTATGGCGAGACGGTTTGATACCGACGGCAGATTTTCCATCGCAAAGTATTACCGCATTCACCTACCGGTACTCGTTTGTATTCCTTTCTTGCTTGGGCAATAAGTCTGGCCGACCGGCTACTCAGTGAATCTTAATCCCTTCCTTCCTCACTTCCGACTCCAGAGAAATTCAATAGTCGAAGAGCATACAGCTCAAATAAAGGAATATCGTCGAGAACTTCGTATGTTGGTTGTTGTATGTGTGATTGATGGTGGGGGTAATTTTGTTACCTACTTCTTTCTTCGGGCAAATAAACAAAATGGAAAATACTGCTGAATCAATAGTGACATTCCTACTGAGAGATCATGGCGATAAGGTTGTATGTTGTAGATCGCGAGAAAGAAGAGATTGCGCATTCCTAATCGTGTTCCTTCTTTAGTGGATTTGTATCTTTTGGGATTTTTGGGTCCCTTTCCAGATCCAAGTCTAGGAAACAACAATATACTTTATACTAAAGTGGGACACGGGAGGGACGGGACGGGACAGACGTCTTTTCAAGATGTCTTGAGGAGATCGGACTATGAATAGAAAACAACATTACCGAAGTATTAGAACATACAGTAAGGGAAGACAGAAACGTTATATTTTCATCAATTTATCATCAATTCCGGATTCTGTTCCCACTTACCCCTTCATTTTCACGGGAAGAGAGAATGCAATCTGCTAATGTCGAATTGGCGATACTGGACAGAATACGAAATAGTCCATCCTCAACGTGGCATTCTTCTATTGTAGTAAGTATATCATTATAAGGAAAAGCCTGAACAGTATGTTGAGGAACCAATATATTGGTTGGTAATGATACAAAACGACACAAGATATGCATTTATTTGATTTGGGCATGTTCTGTCTATAAGTAGAAGAGGTTGAAAGGTTTTAAAGTATCAAATATTGGTTAATGTCATCGTCGGCCGTGTGGCTGGTTGTAGGTTGCCCAAGTTTATACGGAAAATGTATCTGTCGATCTAATCTTGTCACAGCACAGCCACCTGGGAACCTCTGGACATCAAGCTGTTTTAGTTCATTATAATGATGATGATTATGGAAAGGACGAAAGCACTTGAGTCATACTTGGAGGCGAATGTAGAAGTGACGAGTAGAGAGAGGATATAGGATAAGAATGCTCATGTGTGTTAATAGTATAATCTAGATGTATTGAAATATGGAATATTGAAATCCCCGATCTTAATTAAGCTCTTAAAAAAATGCCTGCATCTGATTATTAAACCATTCTTCCTCCTGAATAGGTATTGCATGTCCAACGCCTTCTCGGATTTCCCGTTTACCTGGTTGGAGATATGCGATGAGCTTTTCACCATGGGGAAAAGATATTAGTTGATCTTTTGTGCCACTGCGTATTATGTTAGTAGTTCTTCGATCATCTGATACCAGATGCCTTTAGTGAACAAAACCTTTGGGGGGAAACTCACTGCATGACAGAAATTCTGTCCCTTCCCACTTTGTCTCCTAACTCTTTTAATTGCGCGGGGCTCTTGTGATGCCAACCAGCAGCAATGGCCTGTAGCAGAAACCCGATTGTTTTGAAAGACTTAGGATCGAGCCGTTTCTTTAGTTCGGCAGCAGCAAAGCGCTCGTAGTTCGTGGAGAAGCGTGCGTAAGGGAAAGGATGGCCTGGTGGGGATCGAACCATTGAGGTTGATTCCGTTGGCAGATGGACTGGTGATGTTAATTGGTTGGCGCAGAGAAGGTAAAAAGCGGCAGATTAGATAGAAGGTGGAATGGCAGAGAAAGACGGAGTGTACTAAGACTTAAATAAGGGATGGACGAACTAGTATCTGGCAATGACAGCCACGAAGCGGGGAACAGTGACAGAGATGCATCGAGAACAGCTCGATCAAGTGGCTTAGGAACGAACATCATAACTCTTGTGCGCATGTTCTCAAAAAAGGTGGTTGTGTTTTCGATATGAGCACACGTGGAGAGTAAGTTGAGACTGGCAATTCGATTTGGTATCATCAATGCCTTGTGATATAAATGTCAAAGTTGTGCCTTGAACGAGGTGAACAATGGAGTATCATGGAGAACTTACCAGTTCCTGTGCAATCATCCCGCCCATACTAACTCCAGTAATGTTCAATTGTCGATCCTTCGTCCAACCTAGATGATCGAGCAGCTCGATACAATCTTTGGCCATTTCTGAGGTAGAATATCGAATGATGGGAGTATCCGATAGGCCCATTCCTCGATTATCAAATACCAGAGAAGAGTATTCATTTTCTCTTTCGTGACCAAAGTAAAGGGTTTGTCTTTGCCATGTTGACTTATTGGAGCCCAAGCCCATAATCCACTGGACGGAGACTCAAGATTAGCATACGTGATCATATAAAAAGTAAGCATTGTGCCGCGGGCCACGAGCCATGAGCCTCTACAAACAAACCGAGTAAGTGATGGGCAGATGGGGATTCGAATAACCGTCGATATACTTTTATATCACACAGCCTGTCCCTCATCTTCCAGTCCGCCATGCGCTTGCATGTGATACACCTTTTACAACAAAGCTCAAAACTACTCTATATCAACTTACTACAACCTTCGTCTCGCCACTGCCATGAACCTCCCAGTCAATATTGAATGGTCCTCCTCTACCTTTTCCAATGGGCAACTTTCCACTTTTCGTTGGCTCCAGTCTCCATATCGTGTCTTGATACGATTTATGTGCGAGTATCTCAGCCACACTTGGACGTTTGTCAACTGGTGGTTCACTGGAAGGGATGTGAGATTAGTTCTGGCATATATTTTTGGGCATAGGAAGTATTTTACATCTCGCCCATTATGTTTTTTTGAGGTAACTTTGATGAATATGGTCTCGCGGACTGTTTGTAAATGGAAGGGACGCGTTACCGGTCCAAAACCTGGAAACGAAGCGGAATGGCTGATCTCACACGTGATGTCTCTCAAACCTAATGTCAACTATTCTCAACCACAACCACAACATCAATATCAATATCGACACATCAATGATATTGATTCGGTCCACACTGTATTGACAGCATTACAAGTATTCTGTTACCAAATCGCATCAAGTTCTAGTGAATGAGACATTTGACATGTTGAATTGTACTTTTATCCCGGGATCTTAAGCAACTAGCGATCAATTACTACAATACAGTGAGAGGACCCATTTGTAATGGAACATGAACGAGGCAAAATGGTGAAGAGTTTCATGGACTAATATTAATTTTCCCCTTTTGTGAGGCGCTTAAGATCTACTCATAAGTGGTTTATATACTTTCTCGATTTACTCAAGTGATCAAGGTCTTGTTGTATTGGAGTTGGCATCTAGTCTCCAGGCTGAACGATCATACGATGCAGGCCAGACACCATTCTTCCCCGGTGCCAAAATCCCCTTGGGGTCAAGAGCGTTCTTGATTTTCTCGTTTAACTTCATCTGCGCATTATCGTTCCAGCCGTATGTTTCGGAAATCTGGTCCATCAAGGCAATATGAGTTCTGTACTCTCCCCATCCGTTATCGGCACAAACTTGAATGAGCTCACGGATAAGCTTGTTAGCCCGACGTTTCTGATCCTCATCTTCACGGTCGAATACTAAGCATACAATATGATGCATCTCACGCATACCAATGGTGAATGTTCCGATGAAATCGAAGCCTGCCTCGAGAGTCATCTTTTGCGTAAGGGCGTACTGCTTGGTCGCATCTTCACCAGAGATCTTGGAAATAGGCGAGAAGAAGAGATGGGCACCGTTGGGTAGCCAATCCACCCAGGAAAGCTCATCAATTGTTGGAATACCTTGTAGGGTCTTTGCACGAACGTGAAGAACGCACTTCTCCTTGATGTCTTCCGGAAGGAAAAATTTGGCACCTTCAATAGTTCCAAAAGCATCCTGAACGACTTGCCAGAGGACATCGCGTACAGGCTTGGGGCCATACACCGCGCCGTAGAAGTTCCAACGACCAAGATTAAGCTTCTTAGCTATGGCATCAAGTTCTTCTTCGGTGAGGGGTCGATCAACATCGTAGTATGATTTCTTGGTTCCCATTACTGCAGCATCAAGGAGGATATGTCGGATTGAAGGCACGTTCTGGATGACCATTTGTAGTCGGAGTGGACGGATGATATCAACGATCTTTGGCAGATCAGTGTCTTTTGGGAAAGTAATTAGATAAGGTTGGTAACCTCCTGGGTTTGGCATAAGCTAAAGGTTCTTTTGTTAGTACTATCTCAACACGCAAGGAATCGGGTGTTGATTTTACTTACCCAGATACCCATCTTAGTCACAATACCAAGGTTACTTTGTGAGAAGATACCATCATTATATGGACCAAAACCGTAAGGGAACAACTGGCAATTTGGTCAGCTATATATCTCCTTGAGGTTGGATTAAACGTACCTGCCAGCACTTGTTTCCTGGCTGTTGATCTATACTTCCACCCTCAACCGTTGGTTGTGTTGGGTCGGGCAAAGCTCCCATACCTGTTCTGATGAGCTCTCCGGTAGGAAGCACGACCTCGAGACCGCAATGCATCATAAAATGGTCTGCTCAATGCATCAGCAAATAGTTCCCCTTCCAAATGACAGACTTTACAAACCTCCGTATGGGGTATATCCAACACCACGCTCAATGGTGTTTCCAACAACAGAACCACCACCCAAATCTGGAGTATCGATCCAGAGTTGGTCATCTAATTTATTCTCCTTCAAGTAGTCGTATAAGCCAAAGAAGGTTACACCTGGCTCTAACAGTGCATATGCTCCATCAGTGTTAACCTCTAGCACCTTATTCATGTTTTTGCCCATGTCTAGACCTATGCTTCCGGGAACTCTTGGGGCTGCCCCTCCATATCCCACATTTCTGCCAATTGAGAATGGCCAAAGCGGGATCTCGAACTCGTTGCAGAGTCTGACAATTGCTTGAACTTCTTCAACGTTGCGGGGTGCAATAGTGGCGGATACAACAAAGTAATCTTTGTCGAAAAGATGGTACATATCGTGCGCTTTGGAGGGGTCGGTATAGAGCTCTTTTGTGAGCTCTTCTTTTTTCTTGATGATGATGATATTTTCGGCACCAATTATCTCTTCAGCACGAGAAATGTATTCTGCGAATTTTTTTGAAGTAGTTCCTGGTGGCAGGGCAAGAGGATCGTTTGCTCCTGGTGTAGTAGCTATGTTGGGCACCCGGAGGGCGAGAGGGGTGCCAGTGATGATAGAAGGGGCCGCCATTTTTGTTTGGAGGAGAGGAAGGAATGCGGAGTAAAAGGAATCAAATGTGCTTCAAAAAATAAAGAAGAATTCCTATCGAGGCAAGAGCAAACATCTGATTCTGATTCATGTGCTGCTCGAGAGATAGATATACTTGAAAAGATGCGGGAGGCCTATCAATATCCGCGGCTTGTTGTCTAACCTGAGCTTGTCTGCGAAACCATGAGTGGACATGAATTCCTATCGAAGAGGCATGATCTTCCGTCCAAAAATGCTGCTTGGTGGGTCACATGCGGAGCAATTCTCAGTTCATGAATAACAGATATCTCAATAGTAACAATCATGCTGTAGTGGGGTCATTGATTGGCACACCTGGATGGGTTTCCAGAACGATATCTAACGCCGGAGCCGCCTGTCATCGGAGATGTATGGACGGCAATTCAGACTTCGAAGCAATCCATAAATCTGGAAAGGGGTAACAAGCTTTCTATATACTCGAGTGCAAAAAATTTGTTATATTTCGACATGCACGACGTTGCCAATTTCACTACAAGTACACTACATAGTCCATTGCTTTCCCCTCATTCTGAAGAAACAAAGCCTCGGTTCGCAAGCGCTGAACGGGTAATAGGGTGTTGAGAATAGCTCATATGTATTATATATGGGTCCAATATATGTACATTGTACCATGCCTGCTGTTCTATGTCCACAGAGCTATGACACTCTGCGAGATAAAAACGTAGATTTACAGACAGAACCTCTCCATTTTTCTACCTTCTGATTTCATAGCTGGACATGGAAAGTTTGAGTGAGTGTCTACCCTACTTCCCATGAAATTTTCGTGGTCAATTTTGATACACTCCATTTTTTTGCATCCGACAATCATGCCACACGTGGAGAGCTCTCTTTTGAGATAACGAAGAGATTTCATATATCAATTGCGGGGCTGGATACCCTGATCCTTGCAGTATCCCTTGTAACCTATCAAGGGACCTTGCATACTTCTTGACAGTATCCTTGAGCCCTCAGAATTTCTCACGAGAGCTTTCCTCATAGCACTCACTACTTACTCATTATTTAAAACATATGTACGTACAGTCCTTGACAAAATATTGATGAGAACTGATCCTTCAAGATTATGGGGAAATTCTAAAAAGCAAGTTTGCACTATCAGATTGTCGTGGTACTTTAGCTTGTAGTGGAATTATTCAACTAACAATCTGGAATACATATCATTTTTGGTTCACAGCTTTCACTAAGGTTTCCTAGTATTAGCGGATGTGCGCTCCCGCACACACGGACTTCACAGCGGCTCTGAAGTCTGAGAGCTAAATGACAGTTCAGCCCTCAGGATAAAACGTCCCGAGGTAGAAATTGGCTACGGGAAATAGGCCGGGGTCTATTGGGAAGGATAATCCTTGTATGAAATGAATTGATCTTCCTAGGAGCATAACCCTTGATTTTCAACGGTCTCCAAGTTGGAAGGAACTGTGCCGATAGTTCCGCAGTCTGGGATTCCGCCATACTTTAATCTATCGACCTCGAATTAGGTCCTGGTCTGATCCCGGCGGCGGGTCCACTCAACCGGATCAATCTAGCGATCCGTCCGCCGCGCTAACATGTCTTCAAACACGTCTAGATCTTCGCTAAATGTGGAATTTCGAGAGAGTATCCGCGATAGTTTATCTTGGGATCGACTTGGTCCCCTACGGTACTATCACTAACCAGGGGAGAATTAGATCCTTGTGAAGATTGGATGTAGCCTATAGAGAGGATATGGCCAGTGTCTAGCTAAGGTAAGGAAAAAAAAAACTGGTAACCCGAGGTGCCTCAAGAAAGTCAGTCGCCGAGCAGCGCTCCCCATCGATCTTATATTAACTCATAAGCTTATAGGTATCAAACTTCAAACTTCCCATTTTCGAGCCCCTAGTTAGGGGTTATGGTCAACATGCAGTCACTGATCGAATAAGAAAATTTCGATTCTGTACTCATCATGAAGATCACCTCTGGATCCCAGCATTTTGTCTCCTTCACAGGTTACTACTTTTTCAATCTTCAATCTTCAATCGTTGTATTGCTTGAAGATATGCAAAGGTCCATCTTTTAAATGAAGACCCCATTATTTATAAATATTTCGTAATCCCCATTAACGAAACATTCGACGAATCCTATTCGAAGTATACTAAGTGCAACTTACAATAACGACGTCGATATCTCCTGACTGTACAATTTCAGTGTCAATCGCCAAGAGAAGTCACTCGTTAACATCTGGGGCGTACCAGTCCGCCGACAAGATGGTTCACCTAGCAGCTTTGGGACCTACCATTATCTTGGTGATGTGGGTTCAAACATTCTTCGCAGCAGTGTTCGTAGGACTACGGATGTACACTCGATACTATATTGTCCAAGCTACAGGATATGACGATTGGCTTAGCGTAGCCAGTCTTGTGCGTACCAAACCTTCAATCTACTTTCACTAGAACTTATTCTAACGACACAATCGTCGTCGTGCAGCTATTGTTCATAGCATATAGTGCATTCTGTACCGCAGCCGCTGTCTATGGATTGGGATCTCATTTTGCCGACCTTACAGCCGCTCAGTGAGTACTATTGATACCTGCAAATTTGTACACCTCGATGTTTAGCTCAGTTTCGATGCTTTAGTTTTTGCATTCTCTTTACTTTCTAATGCAGACCTAACTCACCGATTTCTCTCTGATTAATTCCCTAAAAACAAATACTGACCCCCCTGCGTTCTAGATTCATCATGTCCAACAAAATGGAAATTGCCGGCCAAACCTGCAACATCATCGCCATCGCCACCAGCAAGTCCACTGTAGCAGTCTTCCTCCTGCGCCTGGTCATTGTTCCTTGGCACAAAGTTTTCCTCTGGTTCTGCATTGTCAGTACCGTCATTGTCTGCGTTAGTTGCGCCGTTCTCGATTTCTTCCAAAGTTCACCCATGGCGGCAGTTTTCGATCCGTCGCTACCTCATGCTGTCAACTTCAATTTCACGGCCAATGCGATTTTCTCCGGAAGCTATACGGCGTTGATGGATTTTACGTTGGCGCTGTTCCCGTGGTATTTTCTGGCGCATGTGCAGATTAAGAAGAAGGAGAGATTGACTATTTCGTTTGGTCTTACTCTGGGTGTTTTGTGAGTGTTTTCAAGACAGGATAGGAGTTGAGCTGCGATGCTATGGCTGGTTTCGTAAATTGGTGCTAATGGAGATTCATTTTAGTGCCGGGATATGTGGTATTGTTCGAGCCGTCGAATTGGGAGGGCTAGCGGCTCGAAGTGATTATACTTGTAAGTTTTCACACCACCCATGAAGATGGGCAATCCTCATTGATTTCCGAAAATCCCCCAAAGTTTTTGCAATGAAAACTAACCCCCTCCTCACAGACGACACAGTCCCCCTCATTCTCTGGGGTTCTAGCGAATTACTCGTCGCCATCGCATGCGCCTGCATTCCCGTTCTCCGACCCCTGTACAAACAACTCCGCGGCCAAATGAAATCAACCGACGAGCGCAGCGGTCCCTACCCCAACAAAAGTAACAGTAAATTAGGTCAAGCTTATGCGTTAAGTTCGATGAGCCGCGATAAGTTCGCCGCGACTAAAAGGCAACCCAAGGGCTCGAAATATAGCGCGCAGGTTGATAGTGAGAGAGGTGTTGCGGGAATGGATAATGGAAGTGATGAGAGTATATTGAGGGAGGCGTGGAGGTTTGGGATTAAGGAGACGACGGAGGTGGATATTTCGTATGGGAAGGAGGGGGAGATACGTGGGGATGAGGAGATGGGGGTGGGGAGGGGGAGGTGAGGGGCTTGAGTGGATGTTTGTGTGGAGAGAGAGGGTTCCCACCGAATGATTCGGATATGATTTGTACGAATTCGGTGATGATGCTTGAGATGGTTCTAAATCAGATGCTCAGGTAATTCAGACTAATGTTTGTTTGTTTGTTTGTTTGTTTGTTTGTTTATACGTTGTTTATATAATGATCCCAAGGCGTCTAATGGCTCATGTATCGGTATTATAGCCACTTTCTTTTTTATATAGAGAGAGGTAAAGAACTCACGGGTTATGGTTGACACTGGATACAGGGATTTACAATTTCAAACGAGCAATCGGATATATATTAATACAATAATGTTGATAACAAATAACAAAGAATAATCACAGATATGCTACTCAAATATAGATAAGAACTTCTGTACTCCTCGTATCGCTAACCAATCAATAAACAAATTGTAGAATGATTATACTAGAGTTGCGATGGTAAAAGCCTATAGTTCCGAATATAGGAATGCGAGCAATGCGAGGAAGGAAGGAGGGAAGGAGGAAAGGGGCTCGTCTACTGTAATCTGGCTTATGAATTATTACTATAGGGAATCAATCATTAACGGCTGACCACTGATTAGTGAGTGATATTAGTATAGGATCAACAGATGAGAGGCAAGTTGATTTATTATTATAAGATTTATTTTTTTGGCTAAGTGGGGGTACATGTATATATTTTCGTTCTATGCTTCTTGCCATTCATTGATAATAATAATGCCCTGTTCATATATCAAATGCATACATGCTATGGAATATAGGGAATATATGGAATATACAGCAGCTGTGATAACCTTATGGGAAGATCAATCAATATTTATTATCTTATCCTAACTCCTCAAAATCCATATTGCATATTTCATAACCTTGAAATCGTTGAAAAGCAAACAGAACAGAATAGCCTAGCCACAAGACTCACCTCACCTACTCACTCACCCAACTTTCGAATATCACAGAGACTAACTAACTATCTCACAAAATGAACACTCCTCTGACAGCGATTTTGTACGAATTCCCCAGACACAAGACAGAGAAATCAACACAAATCAACACAGATCAACACAAAACAAACTCCTGCACCTGTACCCCTCCCTCCATAAACTCTCCATCCATCATTCCATACACGTAAGCCTCTCCAACTAACTCCCATTTTAACCCATCAGCATCAGTATTCCTATCCCCTCCCTATCCCCCTTTCCCCCCACCGCATTCCCCGGGCCCTCGCCCAGCCCCCAACCCCACATACCCCCTCCTCGACAGGTCGACACAAACAGTCTCTCCCCCCCCCCCTCCAATACACCATCACATCCACATACCCATACTCAGCAAATTCCTTCAACTAAATCAACACCCCCCACATTCCCTAGCAAGATCATCTCATTCTACTCAGTAATTCCCACGCCCCAAGATGCAAATCCGCCAAATTAATTCCTCGCCATTTCCGCATATATATATATATATCAATACTTCTTCGAACGTTATCATATCCACATTCTTTTCGAGAAGAAAGAAAGCGAAGCCCTTGTTTGAAATGTTGAAATGTGGAGATGGCGGGTTGGCCTGCGCAGGGGATGCGCGCCAGTGTGCATCGGATCATGTGGGTTAATGGTGGGATGTGGGGTTTGGAGTCGTACCGAGCGAGCGAATGGTTTGAGCGCGCTCGCAGAAGGAGGATATTTCGTTAAAGTATCGGGTTTGCATTGCGTGGAGATGGAGATAGAGATGGAGGTATTGTTCTGTGCTTTTGTTTGCAATGCCGCGCGTATTGTTGGTGGTGAATAGACTACGGTACCTAGATCCTGACGGTGACGATTATAGTCCCCTAGCCCCCTTGATCCTAACAAGCCTCGAATATATATCTGCAGAGCCCGGGACCATATAAAAATTATAAAATGAGAATATTCCCCAAGCGGAAAATAGAGCTGCGTTTTTTTAGGTTTCGCATGATGGTTGTTGGGTGCTTGATGTGAAGTCGGGGACCCAACTAGAAAGATTGGGTAGAATTTTGGGTTGTTGACATCATGCTAAAATACCAATATTGTCATGTTCCAACAGATTTCGCGCGGATGTAAATATCTGCACCGTTTCCTCGTCGGAGTCAATATTGGTATACACAGGTTGGATATTCAACGATTTAGCATGGTAAGCCATTCCTATTCCTAACAATCCCTAGATCAAGTCTCGTGGATATCTCGCCTGACTTACTAGATCTTTGGTTGGCTTTAAGCAACATCTCTCAAGAAGGTTCGTAAGATTTGATCCACCGGAATTTCGATACTGTTTTCTAGCACCCAGAAGGGGACTAGCGCTCACTGATGAGGACTCAACAGACATCAAGATTTCACGCAAAATCAGTCCCATAACTGGATCATTAGCTGATTTAACAAGACCGTGCGTATTGAGGACCATAGGCGCTTGCATGGTGAGAAAGATCTAAGCTGCTTCGAAACAATGATGGAAGGGTATGGTCCGCTGACCACACGTTACCATCAACTCTTTACCTGGATAGAACTCCTGCATGATCCAAAGCGTGTTCCAATACTCTCGTCCCGCGATTTCAGACCACCCAGCGTACGGAAAATTGGTGCCAATCTCCATAGCGAGATGATATAATGAGCGTTTCTCATCCGCAAGCGGGTCATCTATTTTCGGGCATTGAAACCGTAGCCTTCATGGCCATCTCGAATATATAATTCACAATCTTTCACATTTTCCACGGTGATGGAAAGAATTCCCGCATCGTACGCTGCCAGTCCTATGCGTTAGGCCGCTTCCATAGCCTCATCGGTTCCAGGAGTCACAGGGCCCAAGAAGACATCAACAATATTTGCACAACTGTAGATATCTCTCATCAATTTGATTTGCTCGGCCTTCTCTTCTGGATCCTGTTGGTTGATACATATAGCATCTATCCAGAAGACCATCAACCTTGTCTCATGCCGAAAGGCCTTTAAAGCCTGTTCCAAACTAATGGTACATTCGACTTCTATCTCATAAAGCAAAATCTTGGCAGGTGGAAGATTGAGATCACCCCAGCAGGAAGACAGAGCATGGTAGTTGGGGGTATCTTTTAAGCATACCACATGTACAGTAGAGTGCAAGACACTGTGAGTTTCTTAGTAATTGCAATGCGCGAAGTTGTGAGTATATCACGAACCACTCGATTCATCTTCTAAACTAACGGGAGATTCTTAATCGGAAAGACTGTCCGGTAACGATGATTTACATTGTGAGTCGGTATGGCTTTTTGAGAGGATATGTAATACTCGAATTTGAAGTTCATGAGAATTGATAGAAGTATACTGATAGACGCCATACTGTCTGTCGAGGCATTATCAATGCATCAACGGAGGAAACGATGTAGGAGAAGGGTCTAGAACGCATTGTCGAAATGAGCTTTTTACCTCCAATTACCTCAATTTCAACTGAAGAGATGCTTCCCGAAACCAAACCTTGCAGACGCCTCATTCCAACATTATCACGCACAACCCAAACCTCAGCCACATTGCTGATGATAGGGACGGAAAATTGTAAACGATCAAGAGATAGAATTGTGTGAATACGCAACACCTACCTTTGAATCCAAGTTGATATGGAATCTTTCTGCGGTCAATTATTCTGGACTCTTTGACAAAGAGGGATGTTGACTAAAATATATATGCAATAACCTTATGTGGCGCATTAAATATGAGCCACAATCACTTGAAAGCTGGCATATAATTTTGCCACTGGCAGGCTCCTGGTGAGCTGGTAAGTTGCTCAATGCCAGAGAGCATAGAACTAAAGTGATGGCCTAGTAAATCGAATAATAGATGAATAATAGATTGATCAAGCTACTAGCAATGATATGTATTGCAAGAGGATGAAGAACATATAACTACCTAGCTCATCATGTTTTTGGGACTGAGGATTGATGTGATATGGTGAAGATGATTGCATTTAGGATTCGCTATGGTATATATGCTTACAGGTATGCTCAACGAACAATCTAAGGGTTGTATGCATTCTTCCCCTCTACCCTTTCCGATCGATCTAGTTGGCGGGATCTTTGATTTCTCCTGATATCCTTGGGGCGAATCAATCATTTTCCTATGATCCAGTCATCTGCTCAGGCAAGCAATTTCTTAATTTGCCTAAATCTTTCTTTGCCCGCTCCTCAATTCATCTGAACTACAACATTACAACACCCACTCCACTTCCGGAATCGTGAATTCTATTCATCTTATCCACACCACCCGCGATATTGTTTGCCTTGTAGTTGTACAAATAGTAATGTAATTGACCATCGCCAGCACCGAATTTCTGTTTTTCCAAAAACAAAGTATTGTCCATAAGCGTCAACGCATTAAAGACATCGAATTTGTAATTCTTAGCAATGATAAGTGCATCATGCATGAGTGCATTAAGACGTGCGCCAAGATCGGTTCTAGAAGCAGCTGGGTCAAGGCCAATGCTTGAGGCGTAATAGAAAAGGTAAGCGGCGCGGACATTAGTGTGCTTGGGGTGGCCGATGACAGAGGATTCGAGACAGTAGAAGGAGAAGAAGTCAGTGAGTTTCTTGGTTGCGGGATCCTATAAGTATGTTAATATAAGTTGAAACGAGGGATGGCAAGAGAACTTTACCTCAACAACGTAGGACCAGACGACTTGCTCGGGAGAATTCTCAATTTTGTTGAGAAGCCAATGCTCTACCTCCTCTCTGGTGAAAACTGGTGCCATGTCAAATTTCGCCAGATATTTCTTTAAAAGCTCCAAAACCCCATCAATATCTTTAGCTTCCATAGGTCTCAGTCCTTTAGTGGATGTGTTGGTCGGTAAAGCAAATTTACGAACTTGCCATTCTGGTCTACTATTTGGGGGTAGGGGACTGAATTTGACATCGTGTAATTTTTTCCAATCCAACGATCGGTGGTAATACCTGCATGTACTAAGTGGCTTGGGTAAGACCACACCAGCAGTATATATTGCCTGCCATGTTCCTTCTAGGTAACATCTACGCGTAATCTCCTTGATGAGCACGGGTGCTAATCTCTTCGACCGAAGCTTTTTGTGGATGCAAAGAAAGTTGACTTCGGAGGCTTTGAGGGTCTTATTTCGTACTCGAAGTGCGACGGGTATAGCTGATATGAAAGCAACCAACTTTCCTGATGCAGTAGCTCGAACACCAACGTGCCATTCCTTACTCCAGCCTGGTGACATAAGCGCCCTGAAATGTCAGTAAAAAAACATGCCAATGTTAAATCCATATCTTACCATCTTAAAAATGATTTCGAGTAGTTGAACCTGAACATAGCTTCATCGTCTTCGACATAGTGGCCGAACAATAACTCGAAAACTTCTTGCAAAGCCTCGTCACTTGTCATATCCATAGTAACCCAGTTGAATCCAGCTACCAATGGACCTGGTTCTTTTGGTACTTGTGCCAGATCAACAATTTTAAATGGACCTTCTTCGATAACTTCCGAGCTTTCTCCAAACTTAGGAACCGGTTGTGTTTGCCAGAACTTGTATGCGCCCATCTCCTTAACGTTCTTCCCGCTCGAGGCCAATCCGGTCATGATATCCTCCAAACTAAGCTTTCGTATAGCTTCTGCAGCTTGTTTTCCGGAGAGATCGCCATCTACAGCACCGATTTGTTGTGCCAAAGCGGGGTTTAAAGCGAGTAGGTCTGCAATTTGAGATTTACTGAGACCAGCAACAGCTTTTGAAAGGTCATCTCTTGTAGTATCTTCGCTTGGTCCACTCGATGGCGCTACTCCAAGTGTGGCCTTTATCTTATTTCGCTTTGATTTCTTCTTCTTCCCAGTTGCTGGCGTGCCAGTCTTAGTTTCGCCAGGACTTATATCTTCAGTGTCTTCTTCATTTTCGGATGCGACTTCTGCTTGAGTAGAGGAATTAACTTCAGGGGTATCTTCCGAGGCGATTTGTTTGCCCTTAGGCTCGGGGTTTGTTGAATTGTCTGCCATGATATGTTTTCTTGACAATGTACAGGATGAATAGGGATGTTGACAATCAAGATGTCTCTAAAATCTGGAAGTGGAAAGCTTGTTGGCGGGGTTATGAAGCTAATGTATGATTGGTGAAACAAAGCTCGATCAGTCCCAAACAGGAAGCGGTGAAGCTTGTGATAAATCAAGACAAATCAAGCTTTCATATACACAATTTAGGATGAGGAACTTGAGGAGAAGAGCTATCAAGACAGCATAAGGACAAGAAGCATTATCTAAAGCTAAAGTGTATCTTTTTGAATAATTTAGCAATACAAATAACAAAGTCGTCCCTGAAAATATATGCATTCTTCAGGGAATAATACATCAACAGTAGGTACCGGTATTCATTTCCAGTGTTCAGTCCAGTCTCCAGTCTATCAAAACAGGCCTTCGACGCCTTCTATCTATGGTATGTATACATCGCATCTATATTTATATCCGTATCTGGGATCAAGTAATAAACTGCCTTGCCTATAAGTTCACTGTTGCGAATATTCTCATCATGGTAATACACCTCCATTGTCGAGACCAAATGCTTTGAACTACAACACCCAGGAGTTAGTGATTATTCATTCGGGGAGGGGAGGGGGGTGTGGAGCAATCAAAGCCATCTTATGAAATGAAGAGGCACAAGATAAAAACATTCAAATAGAATTGGACATTTGGGAATGCGATATGAAAGAATCGATCAAACTTACGACTGCTAATGATAGAGGCGCATAAGTCAAAACGGTACTATGAGCTAGAGATACATTTAGTCAGAGCTTAGACATCCTTCATTGATAATATATAGATGCTTACCGCCATAACCAACAACTTCTTGTCGAATAATCTTGTCGTTTCCAGTCTTCCAAGTCGAAATGAAAGCACCATCACCCATATCAATGGTGTTTCGCGCTTTCATCTTTTCTAACAACTCTATACCTATTCCACTTTCCATAGTACCATTTGCTGCCGCGGCAAATAGTCCTTGGGAGTGATACCATGGGATCTCGTAATCATCCAAAGCATGGATAATAAATAATCGTACCCGCTTGCTGATGTGAACAAAATTTGTGAGGCGTGAGGTAGAAGGCCATTTGTCGTTCACATAGCTGATGAATAGTTTTTGTAGTGCGGGATATGGCCGCAACGGTGATAGCACTGGTATCCAACCTGCGATAGAGTAGCTTGTGAGTAAGTTTGAAATATCTGTAAAGCCGGCGACAAGAACAACACCCGCGAATTCAATTCCTCGTATGGCAAACCTTTCTACCACCCCACATGCAACTGCTGTCCCTAAACTCTGTCCTAGAATTACAATTCGAGATGATGGAACTTTGGCGACCTTCAAAGCCCAATCGACTGCCGCAATGCCATCTGTGATGAGTCCTTCTTCGGTAGGGAAGCCTGTTGATCGACCAAATCCTCGATAATCAATGGCTAGAATATGAATATTTGAGGTACTCCCATCAGGCATCGCCCGGTATGAACTTGTCCGTTCTCCTTGGGCCACGCTCCCAAAAGTCTGTCACGTAATCAGCTCATGGCCTTAGATACAAAAATGGAAACTCTTTATACCCCGTGGACTTTGGTTGTCTGTCAGCATGTGATGGAGGCATGATTTCGAAAGACTCACAATTGATGATAAGCCGAGCATCTGAATCATCTCTAAGCAATTCAAACCCTCTCGTAAGACTTATATCATCAACAAACCCCGAAGGCTGCTTCAATATCTCAGACTCATGCTTAACATAGAGTCCCAGAGGCATGACGTGCCAAGCGTATAGAGTTTCTCCATCCGGAGTACTGAAATTGAATGGCGATACTTGATTCTCTACACTGGATTTGAGCAATGGAGGACATATATGTATATGGCTCATATTACTGACTAGCGAAGCCAAACTTCTCTGGCTTATCTATCTCCGTTGCCCAGGCCTGTGGCAAATGCAGTTTGTGCACATACATAACACTGGAGTGGAGGGATGAGCAAAATGACATATTTATTGTTTGGTCAGGATATGCAACTTACTGTCTTTGCAACCATGGATTTGTCAAGGCAATCAATGCAAGAGCGTGAAGGGAAATTCCAAACAAAAGAGAAAAGTATGCTTTCTTAAAGATGGGAGCTAGGGAAGGCATTTTGGGAAATGGTAGAAATGATGGTATGAAATGGTAAAAAATCAAAGCAGGAAAAACTAGAAAGAGTAGAGAGTAAAGAAAGTCAGGCTGATGATAGTAGAAGGATAGCTATCAAATCATTGTAGTATGAATTCTATTCAAAGGAAGATTGAATTATCAGAAATGATCAGGAACATAAGGAAGTATAGATAATAATTATGTTGGCCATAAGAGATATCGCCGCTCAGCTCATCAGCCGCGCGGATATAGGAAGAGGGTTATGGATATATTAACCTATCCATTTTGATATCTAAGAAACAAGTGAGGTATGAGATATGAGTATAATGAAGAAAGTAATTAATCCTTGGATATCGGAATATATGAACCATATAATTTTTAGTAAAATATAGCAAAACCTCGATATTCTTATATCAAATTCCCGATTGATTCTAATAAGCTTATTTCTTATTACTAGTATATTAATCTATATTCTGATTATATAAGTTTAAGTTCTTATTCTATCGATCTAAATCCATTACTAATTATTTAATTATATAAAATACATTACTCTATTTGAATAAGATTATTAGCTTGATTGAAAATATATAGAGATTTCGAGATCTTCAAAACCTAAGAATATCTTTAATATATCTTGTTTTTATATTTATAAAAAATCAGGGTTTTGATGTTCCGATTATCCGTTTCTTAGTACTTATACTAAATTCACTACTTCTGTACTTGTACATGTCACTTATTATTACCTTATTACTCAATAGTACTTCTTGCCGCGCTTCACTTTATTTCACTTCAACTTCTACCTATAACCTCCCTCCCTCACCCATTTCACCCATTTCAATTGCTTTCTACCACCAAAATTTACACAACGCGTCAACGGTAACGCGTACCTACTAGAATATTTAAATAAATCAATCACAACTGAAAGTTATCGAGAAAATGGAAAGAAAGAGAAAATTACCTGCGAGGTCTTCTCGTGGAAGTGAGTCTGCAAGCAGCAAAAAACGAAATGCTACACCACCAGATCCATCAACTCCAGCAACTCCCCAACCACAATCTACACCACAACCACCAACTAAAGAAGCTCTACCAAAGAGTATTGTTACCGGCATGCCTTTGCCTACAGTCGATGAGCCCCAATCTGAGAATCTTTCTTCCAAAGAATTTCAAACAATTTCCGAGAGGTGAGTTTAATACCAACCAATACATAGTCAAATTACTGAAGCTGATACCAACATCTCACAGCGGAGTTCTTGCGGAATCATTGCAAAGATCACGACAGAAATGGGTCAGCGAAGGTATATTTGAGAAATACTGGACGAAACCGACGAAGAAGAAGGGTGTACCAGGAGAGCCTTTGAACAATCCAGGAAAAGATACCATGACGAAGCTTGGAACTTGTCAAATAACTATCGAACCTCACGTATTCGATGCTACGATGTATGCTGTTAAGGAACCAAAGACCGCCTTTCCTCCTCCCCAACAACAACAACAAATGTATCGTCCAATTATTCAATACGGTCCCCCAAATGGAGTTATGCCACCTCCTGCTCCCATACAAGCACCAAATTCGGTACAACAAAGACCAGTCCAGGCAACACAGCCAACACAGCCAACAACACAAGCGATGAACTCGAACAATACTGCGCCAACTGCCCCAATGGTTTCTACTCCTCTTTCTATTGGCCAAGCACCATCGATGAATAGCGTTCCAATGAATAGACAAGTTCCTGCACAAGGCCCAAGCAATTCGAATACTAATCCACCTCAACCTCCAAACACGATACCACCTGCGCCCCAGCCAAACAAAAGTACAGATCCTGTTATTCAAATGTTGGCAGAGAGAGCAGCGACCGATGCCGACCTAAAGGCTCTAATGAGGATCGTAGCGAATGGTGAAGCTTCAGCTGCTGAACTTAAAAAGTTCCAAAATCACATTGATGAGCTGAACCAGTTATTGAAGGCACGTCAACCTACCGCGCAACCACCCTTCAACTCCAATTCTCATCCACCGCCGACACCACCACCTACTGCTCAATCTAATGGACCACAAAATACACCGGTCATGACTAAACCTGCCACACCTCCAACGCCCGCTCCCGCGCCACCTCAACACCCTCAAGCTCTTCGATCAAAAGGTCCGGTAGCTCCACCCAAGCCAGACATTTCGGGTGTTGTTTTCGAGTTCAATGGAGGTAACGGTGATCGATACCTTTTCCCAAAATACAGCATCCTTGACTATCTTCCCGGCGGCCAAGTCATAGCCTCATTCCTCATTGCCCGTAAAGGCAGCAGTAGTGACTCCCGTTCATATGATCCTCAACTTGATTACTACCAACCAGTTACGATGCGTCTTTACGCACATCAAGGTAAACAACTCGACTCATTACAAAAAGTGGTTGCCTCCCCGGACGAGGTTCGAAGATATATGGATGACATCATGGATAATATGACAAGAGCCGAATATGTTCTACTGGCTATGCGTCTACCAAAGAATTCCGAGCCTGAAAAGGAAGGTACACCTACAAGCTCATCGGACCAGCTAGAAATGGACGCCAACAATTCTAATCTGCCACATTGGCAAACTACAAATGAGCCACCTCCTCCACCCGTAGCAAGAATACCACCTTCGAAAAGACTTCTTACCGAAGAAGAAAAATATCAATCTTTCATTACATCAGTGTCATAAATTTTCCACACGAATGCACCTACTGGAATATGCAACAGGAGTTTCATTTGTTTGTATTAATTACTTTATGGAGGGGCGCAATATGGAATGAAAAGGAAAATATGGATGGAGCAGGACACAGGAAAACGGCAGGGAAAGATCGAGATACTCAAGGACACATTCTATAAAATGAATGATGGGAGGCAAGGAAAGGAATGGATTGGATGGTATGGCGTATGAGGCACGGGAAGCCTTTTTACTTATATCTTTGGTCAAAGATTTCTTTTTACTCACGGTTTCACTCTTCTATTGGTCTGTTCTATTGATCTGATGCACTCATGCATAATATTTAGGGGGTAGGAAAAACAAACTCCATAGGTTGTGGATTGCGGATTGCGGATTGTGGATATATACTTATTCAAGTCGAAAGATGAGATGGAGGAAGATGACTATATGAAGGAAGGGGAGGGTAATAGCATATCATGATTGACTATTGATTCGAGATTGAATATTCAAAAGTGATTCGTTGCTTCTCAGCCTTGGTTTTATTTTGTATAGTAGTATAGTAGTATAGTATATCTTGATATCGAATCGATCTTCAATCTTGTTTCTTGGAGGTTCTAATATAATTAATTGGTGCTGTGCTTGTTTTTCTTTTTCTTCTTTTGTAATTTCTACTGAGTCTTTATTTTTATTTTTCAATGTTGTTATGTATTTTATAAATTATGTATTATGGAGGAGGGAGGAGGGAGGAAGGTAGAGGGGGAGATGAGAGAGGGAGGGGTGGTGGGGGTATAGGGGAGGCGGGTATAGAGAAGGCAGGTATAGTTGGGATTGAGAAGGGATAGATAGGGATAGGAATGGGATATGGGAGGAGGGGTGGATTCACGCATACGGGAGGGATTCGACAACATAATGGATGAATGTATACATGGTTTCAGTAATCAATGTGATAGTTAGGATGGGATGAAAAGAGTTTTTCTATCGGACTGACTATGTCATTCATACGGGATTTAGCTGGAGCCTGTATGATGGATGGGTGGATGAAAATGCATCTGCATTGGAATTATATGCAATATTAGACATTTCTTTTTCAGTTTGCCCTTTGCTACTTCTTTTCTTTTGAGGTATTGGCAAATTATGGAGTGCTATCGGTAATGTACTCGAGTATAGTAATTCGGCTATGTGGCTCATCAATTATAGCTTTTCAATGTTCAAATCTAATCGATATATTGTAGGTATTGTTCTCAAGACTTCTGATGAATATCGCCTCAATTAAGAATACCATCAAATGGGCAAACTAAGTATATATCACCTGAAGTAAAAAATAGTGACATGAAAACCACCAGAATCGCCTAGAATCCTTCAAACGTGCGGGAAATCATCATACCCACCTAGTCCAAACCCATAGAAAATTCCCACCTACTCACCAAGGAAATTCCTAGGATCAAGAGCCTTTACATCCACACCTTCAAGCTCATCCCTCATGATCATTCCCGCAAGAATCTTCCCCGTCCCCTGAGAATTTTGAATTCCCCACTCGTCATGACCAGTCGCTACCCATAACCCCATCACACCTGGCACCGCGCCCACAATCGGACCTACTGCTTCTCCTTCTGCATGTTTTCGAATCTGAGGCCTGCAGCATGCTTGTGCTAGTACCAACTCGCCACTTTCTATTGCTGGGGAAATGGCCGATGTTGCGTTTCGAATATCCGCTATCATATTTGGGTCGATCTGGACTTGATCTGTGGTTTTTGGGAGTGGTGGATAGTCGTTGAAACCACAGATGTAGATCGTTTCGGGGCTGGATGGATGACCAGGACGGGGGTAGATTTCTATGTTGTCTATGATGGTTTCCTTGTCCTTCCATTTCATCGGATCTTTCTCTTTATATTGTGGAAATTCCTTCGAGATTGGTGGGTCGAAGATCGGAAATAGAACGTATGGACTTGTTGATCTCGAAGGTTTTATCACGATGCTATGGCTCCTGACACCATATACGGGAATACGAGGAACCAGTTTAGATGACCAAGGACCAGCTGCGATAATTAAATCCGTTGCATTGATTTGCTTCGTATTTCCATCTTGGATATAATTAACGGAATCAACTGTACGATTGTCCAAAGAGTAATTAATCGATTCAGCAGATCCGATGATTAATCTCGCACCTTGAGCTCGAGCAAGCTCTAAAAGATAGCTGGTAAGGTATTTCGGATGAACTTGGGCGGTATTTCCTGGTTTACCGATCTCAGTGAAGTCTTTGATGCCGGAACCATTGATCCAATCCAGTGTTTTAGGAACGTCAACACTTTCAGATACTGAAAGTTTATCCTGGGTATGGTAGGTCACATCGGCGCAATGAACACGACGATAGCCCCAAGACAAATCTCCCTGATACTTTTCAGCCAGTTCGGCGTGTAATTCGAAACTAAGAGGGGCGAGACAAGATGGTGTTGCCCATGATGCTAATAAACCTGATTGAGTTTAGATTATATTATCAAATATAGTCTAGGCTCCTGAGGATCATTTGCATTTTTGTGCACGTAGATCAAACTTTGTGTGAGATGCTATCACTGACCTCCAGCTTTTCCAGAACATCCTCCTGCTATTTCTGTAGCTTCTAAAATTGTAATACTGTGAATTGATGAGTTGTAAAAACGGTGTTGGGTGAGCCAGTAAGCTATCGAAACACCGATGATACCACCGCCTTAAGTGGATTAGCAAGGAACCCAGAGCAGAGGTAATAACTACCTATAATGACAATGTTTTTGGCATCGGAGGATTCAGATCCAATGTCGCCCATTGTGATGATTTGAATGGACAGAAGAACAGTCAGAGATCAGTCTGAAAGACGAAATGTGTGTTGTTAATGGAAGAATTCCAAGTTCTCACTATGGTTGTTGAAGAAGTTGTGGGAAAGTACATTCTTTTAGCCAGAGATTGATAAGGGGATCTTAAAAGATACAGCGTCTCTTCTTATCTTGACTAACTGATTGACTGGCTTCAATGACCGATACCCAAATCACTTGGAATAGGTATGGTCAATACAACACTCGTATCATCCCGTTGATTCGTCAATGGGAAGACTTTAGAGATTAACACTGCGTGGTACAAATGAGTAAGACCTTCCTTTTCAGTTCGGAGCTGCATCTTGCAATTGGAGAGTTCTACCGAGAAATCCATGGCAGAATTCTAGAATCGCTTGACTTCCACTTAGTCACGTGTGAAAGATTCACTCGAGCTTCTTCCTCGATTCCTCTCTTTTCATACAAACAGCCTACATGGTCTTACAATGTTTGCTTCTTACCATTTTCAGTTGATTGAAGGAGAGAGATTGGGTCGATAATTAGAGCCACCACAAAATGCGTGTATTCACTTTTTCTCCAACACTTCTGCTTGCTTCTGGTTGAGCTAGCTTCGAGGTAGAAGCATCCTGTGATACTAGAGCTTGAATATACAGATTGACACGGGATTGCTGTTAGTCGTATGTTGTGTCACTTCCAAGGGATGGGCAATTTTCAGAGGTCTCTACTGGACGCCAAATGGAAACAGCCGAGACTTCGAGAGGCTGATCGAAAGAAAACGATACTGGGTGAGTTGGAGCTGAGACGGTATTTTACATCGTTGGCGCAGATTCTATTGTGAAAATTGAGTATCTCGTGATTAGATGAACCACGAAAAAAGAAGTCTTGCGTTTCACGAGAGTCATTCTTGACCAAGCCTGAACTAAGAAGGCCAAACGCCACCTCAGCTCCTAAGACATGGGGGATTTTGAAATTTCCAAAGTTAGATGTAGGCATGAAACACCTCGGAATGGCATTGAGAGCCCTAATACATTCTTTTATTTCGAGTTAAACCGTTCATTTCCTTTCGTTTTCAGCTTATTTGATGGTTTAAGTCATTTGCATTCTCCACTGTCTAGTCGACGCGAACACTTCTAATTATTTTCTTTGTTAAAATTTCTTGATTTTATGGGCAAAACCCCTCATAATATCAATTTTCAGTAGCATTTTATGCTTTTAATTCTACACACACAAAATGGGAGAAAAAACCACAAATTCCGAGCCTCTGATGCAACAGCAGCCTATTGCTGTACCGCAAGAACAACAATTTCAACAGCAGCAACAACCATCAAACTATTCTGGTCCTGGTGCTATCCAACAATCAACATGGTCGAATAGTATCTGGGATTGTTTCTCTCCAGGCGAACTCTGTACTGAACCCTGATTCCACAAACTATATTCTCAGCACCGAACTAACAAATTTCAACCCCTCAGGTCTCAAAACAACCTTCTGCCCATGTTTCGTCTATGGCAAGACGCAGCATCGTCTCAATCAAGATGCCAATCTCATGGGATATGAACGATTTAATAACGACGTATGCTATTCTTTAACATCTGGCTAGTTTATTTCTGCACAAGCTGACTTGCAATAGTGTCTCTTATGGGCGGGAGCTCAATGCTGCGGTTTAGGACCCGTATTCACATTTCTTCAACGTCGGCAAATACGGGAAAAGTTTGCGATTGGCGGAGAGAGCGATGTTACGGATATTGCACTTAGTTGGTGTTGTCATTGTTGTGCGGTGATGCAGCATGAAAAGGAAGTGGTGGCGAGAAATCAGAGTCAGAGTGGTGGAATTAATCAACAGGGATATCAGAGATCGGAGCCAATGGTGGTGGCATAGGATGGCTAAGGGAATGTATTTTTGTGGTTTGGATGGTGGAAGTGCCCGAATGGAAAGAATGTGATACTTGGGATGAGAATATATGGAGCACGATGATACCGATTTGGATTTGGATTTTCTTCTTTCTACTTTGAAAGCACACTTTATATATTTTAAAACCTCCAGCACCAGAGTTTCTTTGCGATATGTGAAATTATGAGGTTAATAAATTCTGAGGTTAACGCCAATGTATCATGTCTTGGTATAAATTTTTGCTCAAAAATAGCCCAACCACCGACCAACACCGTTATATCAATCCATATCCATACTCCCCAAAGACCTTTTCCCTTCCCTTTTCCAATCCCCATCCCCATTCTCAATTCCCAAATCCATTATCCCTCACTCGACCCTCTTCCTCTTCCCCTCCCAAACCCCCTTCGCATCCCCATTGTCATCCCCAACCCTTTTCAACTTCCCACTTCCATCTCCCTCCCCTTTCCCCTCCCCACCCCCCCTCTCA